GCAAAGCACTCAATTACATCAGCTCCTGAAGTGCAAGGGATATACACCTCACTCCTGCTGATTAGCTAACTAGGGATCTGCTTCTTCAAACTTATGCTCCAACCTGGATAGTTGGAGCAACAGCGTGACCACAGCCCTTCCAACTCACTTAAACCCCATCTGGTGTGATGTATGCAAGCAACTAGCAACTTCTCCTGTGTGGCAGCTCCACCTGCTCCTGTCACTTTAAGCCCCACCTTGTCCTTGGGAGACAGCAGGGGAGAGATAGCAGAAGTCTCTCTGGGACTGTCTCTTCCACCTCCGAGTCTTCCTGCAACTCTGTCCTGGCCTCCTCTCTTCCTGTCTCTGGCTGACAAAGAGCCCCACAAATTGTTGGCCCTTCCACTGGATCATCCTCCTGCTCCCCTGCCTCTTCTGCCCATCTCTCGGACTGCTGCCTGTCCCTAATAGCCACTCACCTGACGTCCTTCCTGCTGCATCACTGCTGCATACTGAGACAGAGAAGGGGGTGAGGTGACAGCAAGATTGGCATGGTGCAAACGTGCTGGCAGGGCACAATCTGTCTGTACAATGCCAAGCTTGCCCCTCCCCCTTTCTATCCTGGTATGCAGCAGCAAAGCAACTGGAGACCAAGTAAGCAGGGCAGCTCCACCACACCATCTACTACTGCCAGAGAAACATCTGACTTTTGTGTGGCTTGTAGCCTACTATACAAAAGTATGCATCACATCCATTGCCCCACCTGTGTTTTTTTCTTTTGCCTCCTGCCATGGCTGATATTGGCATATCCCACCACCCTCAAATGCTATCCACGAAGGACTGGAAAAAGTTCCCCACCCTGATTTGGACATTAGAAAGTGAATCAGTCGGTATAAAACTCTTGCTTTAAATCAGGCATAGACAAACTCGACACCCCAGGTGTTTTGGGACTACAACTCCCATCATCCCTAGCTAACAGGACCAGTGGTCACGGATGATGGGAGTTGTAGTCCCAAAACATCTGTTGGGCCGAGTTTGCCTATGCCTGCTTTAAATGAATATAAGTATGCAAGTGTTCACAGGCAAACTCTTTATACTGTAAAACCATTTTGTGGTTTCCTGTGTGGAGAACATTAGATTTCTTGTCCTCATCCCACAGCCTTTGGAGTATCAGCATTACACACACTTAACATCCTAACTGTATCAGGATGGTGAACAGTACTTAAGTGTATAAGTAATCTTCTGGAAGTGGTGCCAGGTCTCCAGCAGAATGCAATTCTGTGCAGTGGTCAAACTTCACCTCCTACACCTCACAAAGCAGGAAAAATAAAAGCAGACTGAGAATAAAGGAGCACTGAGGCTCTCCACTCTCCCTCTGTAGGAATCAAAGGCCGGAACAGGAGGGTGAATGTTAAGGCCCCTTATTTCCAAGGCATTAACTCCCACTGGCCATAAGGCTACCATCAGCCCTGAGCCCATCCCCACGAACAACCCAGCGCCGTCTCTGTCGGTTCTTGGCGCAAGGTCCGCATTTTCCAAGCCGTGCCCCTGGTACCTCCAGTAGGGCGATGGCCCCAGTGAAGTCCCGCTGGGTCAGCAGCTCCTCCAGCTGCGGGATTCGCTTGCCTTTCTTTTTGCGCTTGTCAGCGGACTGAGAGCCGCCCCCGACGGCGGGCTTGAGCCGCGAGAGCATCTACAAAAGGCGGAGGGGAGGGAAGACAGAGCAGAGATAGGTGAGGGGGGCGGGATGAGGCTCCGCTAGTCGTCGTCCCCCTGCCCCCCATTCCCCAATTTTCCGAGGAGCCCCTTAAAACATCCCTGCCCCTCACCATTTTGCCCGCAGGCCTAATCCGCAACCACTACAACCCGCGGCTGCTTTACTGTTTCGCCAAGGACTCTGTTCCCCTGGCAACCGCGCGGGCGGGCGGTAGCTAGGGAAGGGGAATCTGGACAGGGAAACGTCAAATAACGACCGGGTGGCAACTGCCAGCCATACTCACAGTTCCGCCGCTGATCCCGCGCCACGTTATCCCAATTTGCTTCAGGAATGCGTGCGCGCTGGCGACGCAGCAGAGGCGGGGACGCAGCCGTGGGTGTTTTTTCGGGGAGCGGGGAGGGTGGAGGAAGGAGAGGCCCACTTGAGAGCCAGTCTCCGCCAGGGCTGCATTTTACAGACAAAGCTGGGAAGCTCGCTGGTTGTAGCTGCTCCGAGAGGCACACATTTTGCGCTGCTCCCATAGGTTCTTAATTCAAGCGACACACGCAGACAACCCGACGCAGTCGCTGATTTTTCTTTTCTTTATATGTGAAAAAATTATTGCCAGGGCGGAAAACGTATATTATCACCAGTGTCCTGCGATTTAAAGCACATTTGTATGACTCCTGTTATAAATCAAAATGAAGACCCAGGTGGAATCTAGACACATCTAAAAAAAACGATGTGAAAATGCTTTTCTTAAAAAGCATTTTGAAAAATATATTGAATTTGCCACAAGCTTACCATCGCCATCTGTGTAGCTGAGTCCCTATAGCTGCTTGAATGCAGGCGTAATTCTCGAACAGGATTATTAGGCATTTTCTCCTGCAACAAGACTCTACTTCCTATCACCAGCTTTGGGTTGGGGCTAGTGGCTGGGTGGTATTTGTAGATCTTGATACCATTCTGCGCTTTCTGCAAATGTTTTACCTATATATTCTTACACACTCCTCTCGTGTTGCAGGGAGCAACGAAAAGTTCCAGGACCATTGCTACTGAGGTTTAGTTTCATTTGGATGAGAGAATGCTGGAGACATAAAGATACCTCATTCTGTCTGTATCTTAAAAACTGTCAACCTGCCAAGTATTTGTTGCGGACTCCAGCTCTATAGATGAATAGCTCATTCATTATAGTAATTCAAATACACCAATATTCTAATGTAAAATCCTAGGCTCTAGACATTACTTGAAGCCTTAAAGTTTAAGGCAGAGTAATAGCAATAGACACATTCACAGTGATCATACAGCAAACCCACAAGAATATTTTTTACTTGCAACCAGATCAATGTATTTCCTGCCACTAGGGAAAACATAATGGATAGTGGTCTGCTTAGTGGGAGAGAAGTAGCTTAGAGAGGTTGGGGATCAGTGTTTTCATGCACAAGTTAATCACAGATAGAGGTTTCTTATTTATATTTTTGAAGATTAAATGTGCAAGCTTCTGCAAGCTTCCACCTGTATCAAATCTACTTTTATGACATATAACCTGATAATATTTAGTATTTACATAGTGTGGTATAGAGGTCAGAGTTTTGGATGAGGAGTAAGGAAAGGAGGAGTAAGCCATGAAGTTGATTGGGTGACATTTGTCCAGCCACTCAGGGCTTCTTCACATCATGTCCTGCGGCGACCCTCCACCCCACCCCAAGGAAAACCGCTCTAGCACTCAATCGGAACAAATGGAAATTCAGGTTTTCTCTGAATTGATGTTTGCTCTGATTTAGAGCTAAAAAGTGGGGTTTCCTTGGGAAACAAGCAGGGCAAGCGGAAAAGAAGAAGAAGAGTTTGGATTTGATATCCCGCTTTATCACTACCCGAAGGAGTCTCAAAGCGGCTAACATTCTCCTTTCCCTTCCTCCCCCACAACAAACACTCTGTGAGGTGAGTGGGGCTGAGAGACTTCAGAGAAGTGTGACTGGCCCAAGGTCACCCAGCAGCTGCATGTGGAGGAGCGGAGACGCGAACCCGGTTCCCAAGATTACGAGTCCACCGCTCTTAACCACTACACCACACTGGCTCTCCTACTGCTTGGACCCATGCTTTCTAGGCATGAGACAAGCAGAGGTGTGGACAGGCCCTAATTCTCAGCCTAAACTCCCTCACATGACCAAAGTGACTATTCATCCTTACAAGAACTTTTCACAGTAGTTGAGTGTTTTTATCCATATGGTGCAGATATGTGAATGCAGCTGAAAGTTTGGTTTGACTAAGACCACCAAGTGAATTTATAGCTGAGGCAACATTTAAACCAGGAACTTCCTGGTTCCCATGCCATTTCCTTAGCTGCTATAGTAGCTCTCAGATTAGATAAAATATTAGATAAAGAAGATGCAACAGGAATTTAGAACACAAAGAAATACATAAAGTAAAAATTATCACCAAACTGATAAACAAGGCAGTCCTATTAAAAATGCTTGCTTATAAAAAGCAAATAGTGATTTCAGAGGAGGGGGGTATTGAACTGTGGCATTATGCCACAATTCATACTATCAGCAGTATATCCGTTACCTGCATTATCTCAAAGATTGTGTACTTTGAGTGATTAATGAACTTGTTTATACCACATGCAATGTTTTTCAGTGACTTGGTTTATTACACGTTAAGAGCTACCAAAGGGTGTAGTGAATATTTATTTTAAAGGTTTATATTAAAATATAAAGAAAGGCTCAAAAAGGCAGTGTTAGAGACACCTAAATGCTTTTTGAAAAACAGTGTGCTTTTGGAAGATGGACACCCCTGGTGGCTGTTGCATGTACAGTAGTGTAAATGAACACAAATAAGAAGTAAAAGTAGTGAACAAATATTTCTTGCAGTAATAAAAGACATAACAAAAGACAAAACAGTAATTTCTCTCCCTTAGGGTAATGCTCTTATGTTGCTGTAGGCCAAAGAGGAAGAGATTATTTATTTAGAGTATTTGTGCACTACTTTTCAGCCAAAAAGGGACGCGGGTGGCGCTGTGGGTAAAAGCCTCAGCGCCTAGGGCTTGCCGATCGAAAGGTCGGCGGTTCGAATCCCCGCGGCGGGGTGCGCTCCCGTTGCTCGGTCCCAGCGCCTGCCAACCTAGCAGTTCGAAAGCACCCCTGGGTGCAAGTAGATAAATAGGGACCGCTCTGGCGGGAAGGTAACGGCGTTTCCGTGTGCTGCGCTGGCTTGCGACATGCAGCTTTGTCACGCTGGCCACATGACCTGGAAGTGTCTGCGGACAGCGCTGGCCCCTGGCCTCTTAAGTGAGATGGGCGCACAACCCTAGAGTCTGTCAAGACTGGCCCGTACGGGCAGGGGTACCTTTACCTTTTTACCTTTCAGCCAAAAAGGCTCCCAGAATGGCATATGTACAATAAATTGAAACTAAAGAGTCCCTGTGCACAAAGTTAGAACTTAAAAAACACAGCATACAAGTGAAAAGGGACAGGGATGGGAGAGAGGGAGAGTGATCTTGTATTTTGCCACTGGAGTTCTGGCTGGAGAGAGGCCCAAATGGGGAATGCTGGGGGCAGCCTTGGAGCTGCCAGATCCAAAGCTTCATTGTTTCCCAATATTGTGTTCTATTCTGATCCTGGATCCCACAGTACCTAACTGGAGGTAAAGCAAGGCAAGGCTGGTCAGAAGTTGCAGAAGTTTTATAAATAAATAAAAAGTAGTCATGGCCATTAATTTCAGTGGGTCTGCTCTGAGTAGGACTGGGATTGGATACAACCCTTAAACTGGGGGAGAGGCCACCCCCCCATTAAAGTGGCAAGAATAGAAGCAGCTGCTAACAGCATCTCCATGAAGAGGAGTTGCAGCAGCAGAGGCAGGGATAATATGAAGGCAGGGGACATAAAGTGTGGTTTACCCCAGGCCCTGAGCCTTCATAGTTCAGGAGTCCATGAATGATTACCTTCCTTTATACTTAAAAAGTAAGGCTGTCATAATTCAGCCCCCATTGGAGGATTTGTAGTGCAGCATCAGAATCCTGAATTTGCATGAAGTTAGAGTGCATTCCCCATTGGAGGATTTGCCTCATCACAATCCTGGATTTGCAGGGTGCACAGCAGGGGAGCAAAAGAGAAGACAGAATTCAAACTGGTTTTGAACAATAGAGTACAGATTTGAATAAAGAAAACAGAGGGGGGAAGTGGTGATTTGAAACAACAGCAGATATTTGAGTAGAGTAAGCGGGGGGGGGGACACTGAGGGAGGGAAAGTGGAAGTTTAAAACAAGGTTTGAGTACAGCCCCATATGCAAAAATAAATTTATAAGTCTTTAAAGTGCCACAATATTCTCTAATTGTTTTGCTTGTAATATAAGTTAGGCCTTACATGTGAGGAAATGAATACTGGTCTGATTGTCATTTATCCCTCAATAGTATTGAATATTTTAAAATTTGTAATTTGGCCTTTGCATTTGTATGGGGTAGATCTAGACAGTACTTTAATAAATTCCCTTTATGAAGTTTATGTCATGAACTACATCATGGGAAAATAGTTTGAATTGCTGCATGTTGAATACTCGGATTGTTTGCACAATAGGTGTTTAATTTCCTGTTTGTTCAAAAATAATCTCTGACAGTTATAAACCTTACAGTATATTGTTTGCTCAAGGGAACTGTGGGTAATCTTAGAGTTCATGTTCCTATTTTCAAAGACAACTTAATGGTGCAATCATTCTAACAATCTATGAATGTTTGGAATATGAAATGTGAGTGTGTATACAACATATTAACAGGTTTTTTGTTTTAATGCACTTTTAATAAGTGTTTTTTCTTTAAATTTGAGTAGATGACTGGTTGAGACATTCTGTTTTTGAACTTAATAGGTCTCAAGAGAAGGTGATGTTCAGTTTAGGAAAGTGTAACGTTATGTACAGTAAATGCTAATTTCAGATATACAGTGAAGATTTCTGAATTTGGATGGCTATAACTAACCAGGAAATAAATATTTGAGTCATGGCGGATTGATCAATGAAAAGTAAATTTAGTGTAACATGCACAAGCAAGAACAAACCTCAGCAAGCCTCAGGGTCACAGTCCATACCCACACCCCCAAACACACACAGCCAGAAAGAGAAGTTAAAAAGCTTACTTTTGCTTTCCCAAACTTTGGCTCATTTCATAGTGTCATCTGGTTCAACAAATTGTGATTAAAGCTATCATCACTTTCAAGCAAGCCCATTTCAAAATGGGGTTATAGATTGGGGCTGATTGACATTACCAGTGCTTTTTTTCCTAAAAAAATATTTAGGGGTACTCTTATTTTGACTCATTGCCAGAGAAAAAAATTGGGAGTGAAGATTGGTATCAGGAATAAAGGGGGATTAAAGATCTATATTGGGATCTGCTGCCCCTGTGGATCCTGCCACCTGAGGCAGTTACTTCACCTTGCCTCGAGTGGACCAGGCCTGCAAGGAATCCTACTTAGATCATGTTGTACAGTTACTTAGGGTAGCACAATATATTGGAGTCGTTCTAGGAATGTTCTGTGCCATTTGGTGTTCGTTTTAACCATATCTAATTTGTGAGCAACTCCATCACTTCAAATATAAATATAGCTGCTGGTATTAATCATGACACTAATTCTTTCTCTGAAGGCAGTGGGGAGAGGTTGAGAACCTGCATTCATTTATAATCCATACATTTGAGTTAATTTATCTGAATTTTGACAAATGGATCAATAGTAGATTGTTCATGGGCATTTTTAATTGATTGGTTCTTTGGAAATGCCATCCTATGAATATGTGTGTGTGTACACATATGGAGAATGATACAGCCAGAAACTTCTTGTTAGCAGCAGGTCAAACACAAAAAATGAAACTAAAAACTCGAAGTAAAGCACAGTGTTTATTTAGTGCACACGGGAACTTCCTTTTTGCCTCTCATTTTACAGCTACCACGAGTTACTTGGAAAAGCTAAACAAACAAGGGGCAGCCATCTGATTTATCCTTCTGCATTAATGGTCTTTTAATTTTATTTCCATTTTAACTGGTTTTCTTCCATTATCTTCTTGGCCCCTCCTCTTCCCCCTACCCATCATGTTGTGTCTTTATCTCACGGTGACTAATGCCTTGGTTTTATAGCTCTAATGTTCTCAATGGCAAACATGAACAAGCAACCTTTGGCCCCTTCGCATTTCAGAAGTTTTGCTGCTCTTATATGCTCGCAAGCAGAAGTACCCGCTGGGCAGGTGCGGGTGGAAAGGGAGCTAAGAAAGGGAACGGAAGGACGTATTTGAGAGAAGAAAAACTTGACCAAATATCCTCGCTTTAAAATATCAAGCGTGCAGTACGCGCAAGAAGCAACGCTGGCATGGACTACGAGGCATCATGAGAGAACAAAAAGTGGATCAGATTTTTGGGGGACTGCTCTTCTTGGCCCAGCTTCTGTGGCATGCTGGTGGTGTGATCAGATGTGACAAAGGTGGCTACATGATCAATGTAATGCTCATGAATGACTCTATGCTTCCAGTGAGTGCAGGAGAAATAGAACCAGCTGTGGAATGGGGCATGGAACTGGTGAAAGATGACCTGAAAGGTAAGAGCATTTCAGTATCTTTTGAGGGTCAAATGTCAGGCCCTGAGTCTATACAAAAGAATGCTTCCACAGGCTGTCTTCCTTTCTGCCTAGCACTGCTGCTCACGTATTATCCGTCTTTCACCACGTGAACCATGCGGTAGTCACAGTTGTTTTATTGTCTTTTGGGTCTTGGCAGAAAGGTGGTTGATGGTTATGATTACTTTGGTTATGGTTGCCATTATGTACCGTAAATCTTTTCAAGTTGTAAGCTGCCTTGAGCATGGTTTTAACTATAGAAAGGTGGGATAAAAAAATAAAATGATGATGACGATGATTCACTACTATACTAATTGAGTGCTTATGTGTTCCTTAAAAATGTGACAAACCTGAGCTACTTCCTTTCCAGGGAAAATCCCCCACCCTACTGTTCCATGAGTGTCTATTTTAAAACCTTTTTTAGTTACATGAAAGACACTTCCCTATCTGCAACTGAAACAAACGTCACTACCCATCAATACAAGCAAACAGAGGATATGATCCTACTTCACGGAATGAATGTCATAAGAAGTGCACAGTGGCCAATTTGCCTTCCACATGACAAAACTAGTGGGGATTGTTTAAAGTCTGCTATTCCATTAACATTTCTCTTAAGGAAATGCTATTGTGTTTTTAATATTGTGATTTTATGTTGTGAACCGCCCTGAGATCTATGGGTATATTTAATAAATTATTATTATTATTATTATTATTATTATTATTATTATTATTGAGAAAATTTACATACTTGATCAGGCAGCCCTACAATCAATGCCTAGTCAGATAATTATCATCTCTTTATTATTTATCTACTTATTTACACTCTGCTCCTTACAACTTGGTTTACAAGATTCACAAGTTCATCATCTGTAAATCAATAAAATCGAAACAGCCAAAAAGTTGTCAAATAAAATTATGAATTGGAATCATACTTTATTTTTAAAAGTATGTTTTAAATCAATATTTTTATATTATTAAACTTGGGGGTGCCTCCTGCTTGCATTGCTCACCTGCCACCCACTTACCACCCAGCTACCACCTATGTCTTAACAAACTGTCCTAACTGTTCCTCTGCAGCACGCCTGGGCTGCCCACCACAAACACCCCTCAATAACTTACTTACTTACTCGCCTGCCTGCCTGTGCCACTGACTGTTTTGTACTCATGTTGCAGCAGGCTGCAGCATCATGACATTTGTTCTTACAAAAACATCATATAGTTTCAATACCTAACACTCCTGCATTTTGTGTTACAGCAAACAGCGTGAATGTGAATGTCAGTGCCGCATTTGATGGCATCGACACGTCGCTGTACGTCTCCAATGGTTGCCGCACCAGCACATGTGAAGGTGTGGAATTCATCAAGCAGATCTATGTGAGTATTAAGGCGCATATGTAGGAATCATCCTTTTAGGTCAGGAGTGGGGAACTGGATGCCGCCAGTGGGCCAAGTCCTTAGCTCCCCTTCCACTTGCATGTCAACTTTAGCAGTGGGCAGGACCACTGTTAAGTCGTGGGTTGACATAGCAGCCGGCACAGCGATTTCTTCAAGTAGCTCTTTATTATGGTAAGCTGGAATACAACTGACTGCGACAGCTCAGCCGGCCTGTATTTATAGGCAGCCGGCTGTCAACATTGTAACCACAACAGCCCAGAGTTCCCGCCTAAAATAACTGCCGCGGACCTGAGTGAAAACTATCTACAGACCTGAGTGAAAACTATATACAGTATCCCCCTGTTGGCCCAGGGTGAAACTACACTACATAACACCCCTCCCCACCGAGATAAGGCGTTAGTTACAATCGTAATGGTTTCCTTATATACAGCACTACGCGTAATGGTTCCATTAAGCACAAAAGCATATCGGTTACATTTCCCATACTTAGACCAACAGTGATACCTGTCCAACAACATAGTCCTTTAAATAAGTTGGGCGCTTGGAAACTCTGCCAGACCGCCGGGAACTGGTAGCCAAGTCCGGAGGGCCACACAGTTCTCGCTGAGGCTGTGGTGCGACCCTAGGTGGCGTTGGAACCAACTCCCCTGGATCCGCTGCTGTGGGTGGAGCCTCCGCAAGTGGAGTGGTCTGAGTCTGTTCTGAAACGGCTTGGTTCGGCTCCACGCTGGCAGTTTGCGAGGGAGGTGTAGGTGGGGCCTCGCCATCTGTACGTGTCTCTTCTGGAGCCGCAAGCGCAGTTGGGGGCACCTCGGTAGTGTCCAAGTCCCCAACCCTGCGCCTAAGCTGGTCTATGTGCCGTCGCCACAAGCGTCCGTCTTCGAGTGCCACCTGGTACGAGCGAGGTCCAGTGACCCCCACTACTGTGGCTGGCACCCAAGGGATGTCCCCCACATAGTTCCGGGCAAAGACCTGGTTTCCTGGGACAAATGACCGTGGTGCGTTGGCACAGCCTGGGGGTTCAGCCACGGCAAAGTCTGGGTGTAGCCGGTCGAGCGGTGACCTGAGGCGGCGGCCCATAAGCAGTTCAGCAGGACTCCTCCCTGTGGCCGCATGAGGGGTGATGTGTTGCACGAACAAGTATTCGGCGACCCGCTCATGCCAGTCTCCCCGGTCCAGGCGCGCCAGTGCCTCTTTTGTCGAGCGCACCATTCTTTCCGCTTGCCCGTTGCTGGATGGATGAAAGGGTGCCGTTAGGGCATGGCGGATGCCCAGTCCCAAAAGATACCGCTCAAACGTGCCTGACGTGAACTGCGGTCCGTTGTCAGAGACAAGGACATCAGGACACCCATGCGTTGCAAACAGGCCTCGCAGCACCCGGATGACAGCTTCGGTAGTGGTGGAGGGCATCAGTGCGACCTCCAGCCATTTGGAATAGGCGTCCACCACTACCATAAAGGTCCGGCCGTGAAAGGGGCCAGCCAGATCGATGTGCACCCTCGACCAGGGTGTCTTTGGCGTCTCCCAGGTGTGTCCCTTAGCTGCCGGTGGTGCAGGCCTCGACTCCTGGCACGCTTGACAGGCGGACACCCAGGCAGTGATGGCATCGTCCATATTAGGCCACCAGACGTAACACCGAGCCAACGCCTTCATTTTGACAATTCCCGGGTGGCCAACGTGCAGAGCCTCCAGGACGCGCTGACGGAGTCCCTGGGGAATCACGACGCGGTCTCCCCACAGCAGGCAGCCACGATGAGCTGAGAGTTCATGTTGTCTGGTTGCGAAGGGCTGGAACTCCGATGCAAAAGGCCCTTGTGGCCACCCCCTCCACACCCAGTTGAGCACCCGGCTGATGGTGCGATCCTGGGCAGATGCGGAGGCCACAGTGGCAGCCGATACAGGCGCTGCCGGAAGATCCTCAATCAGAAGGAGCGATGAAGCTGGAGCCGGGTCTTCCACAAATGCTGGAAGAGGGCAACGGCTGAGGGCGTCGGCATGGCCCATCGATTTCCCCGGGCGATGGATAAGCCGGTAGTGGTAGGCAGCCAGGAAAACAGTCCATCGCAGCATGCGTGGTGAGAGGACCGGTGGAGTTGGACGATCACCGGCGAGGAGGCCCAGGAGTGGCTTGTGGTCAGTGATGAGGTCAAAAGTCCTGCCATAGAGGTATTCATGGAACCTCTTCACTCCAGCCACAAGTGCCAATGCCTCCTTGTCGAGCTGGCTGTAATTCTGTTCCGTCGGAGATAGTGTCCTGGAAAAGTAGGCGAGCGGTGCTTCTCTTCCATCTGGAAAACGGTGACTAAGGACAGCACCGATGCCAAAAGGTGAGGCGTCGCAGGCAAGGACCAGCGGCCTGGATTCACTGTACTGTACCAGCACACTGTCTGAAGAAAGGAGAGCCTTGACCGCGTTGAAGGCCGCCGTCTCCCGATGACCCCAGGCCCAAGGCGTCTTAGTGCTAAGGAGTCGGTGAAGAGGCTCAGCCACTGTGGCTTTGTGGGGCAGGAACATGTTATAAAAGTTCAGCAGCCCCAGGAATGCCTGCAACTCCGTTTTGTTCTTTGGGGTGGGGGCCTGCTGGATAGCGCGGATCTTGGATGTGGTTGGATGAAGACCGGAGGCATCGATAAGATAGCCCAGGAACTCTACCTGTGGAACGGCGATCTGGCACTTCTCCCTCTTTACCTTGAGCCCGGCCTCCTGGAACCTGGTCAGCACGGCACGGAGGCGCTCGAACAGCTGCTGGTGTGAGTCTGCAGACACCAAGACGTCATCAAAATATGGTACCACGCCCGGAAGCCCTTGCAGGAGACGCTCCATAAGGCTTTGGAAGATGCCAGGAGCCACACTCACCCCGAACTGCAACCGGCGGCAACGGAAAGCCCCCCGGTGGGTGACGATCGTCTGGGCTTCAGCAGTGGCATCATCGACTGGCAGTTGTTGATAGGCTTGGGCAAGGTCCAGCTTAGCGAAGACCTTACCCTCACCCAGGGAATGCAGCAGGTGTTGGACAACAGGAACCGGATAAGCGTGCTGCTGAAGTGCCTTGTTGATCGTGCACTTGTAGTCAGCGCAGATTCTCACCGACCCATCTGGCTTGACAGGCGTGACGATGGGGGTTTCCCACTTTGCGTGGTCAACCGGCTCCAAAACTCCTTGGGCGATCAGTTTGTCCAGTTGTTCGTCCACCTTAGCCTTGAGAGCAAAGGGAACCCGGCGTGGCTTTAGCTTGATGGGGGCGACTTGTGGATCAAGGCTAAAGGAGATGGGCGTACCTGTATATTGGCCCAAGGTGCCGTCAAAAACCTCGGCAAAGTCTTTGACCAGACCCTCAGTCTCTGCGTTAGAGATGCAGTTGATGCCGGTGACTTCCAGGCCGAGGGCATCAAACCAGTCTAGCCCTAGGAGGCTTGGCCGCTGACCTTCGACCACCACCAACCGGAGCAGGCCCGAAAAATCCTTGAAAGCGATCCGGAACCGGCCAACGCCTACCACGGGAATGTCGTTTCCCTGGTAGTCTCTCAGGTGTACGCGGTGAGAGTCGAGTTGCCTTTTGGACACTCTGGGTACCAGTCTTTTGATGGTGCTCCATGACACGATGGACAGGGCAGACCCGGTGTCGATCTCCATGTCACATGGAGCTCCTTCAATGAGCACCGTGACGTTCAGCTTGCGTCGCGTAGGCGAGTCGGTTTGGCCAATCGTGGTTCCAGACGGGCAGCGGCAGTTGGTGAGAGCGAAACAACTTTCCTTGGCAGACTGGAGTGAAGACTTGGACTTGCGAGTCGATGAAGGGGGGGTGTCAGACGGAGCCGATCGGCAGACCTTAGCGATGTGGCCCCTTCTGGAACACTTCCTACAGATGGCGTCTCTGAATCGACACTTGGCACGGGAATGGTTGCCTCCGCAGCCAGCACATTCCGGTTGGCCCTTGGACTTCTGTTGGAACTTCCTGCGCTCCCGCTTTGTCTGGTGCACGTCATCGTCTTCACTGGAGGATGCCTCATCACTGCTGGCCTCTTCATGATGCACTGGAACTGGCTCCCTAGCAAGACGTGGGCTGCTGGACTTGCGGATCTCCTGGGCGGAGCGTTCAGCAGCTTCTGAGGCCACAGCCTCCTCAATGGCTTTCTGTAGCGTGAGGTCTGGCTTGGCTAGGAGGTGCCGTTGCAGATGGATGTCCCGGACCCCGCAGACGATTCGATCCATCAGGGCATCGTCTAAGTCTCGGAACTCACAGTGCATTGCAGCCTGTCGCAGGGCGGTGGTGTAGTTGTTGATTGACTCCCCCTCTGCCTGGTTCCGGTGGTAGAACGCATGGCGGGCAGCAATCTTGGACGGCTTTGGTGCGTAGTGGTTGCGGAGCTTCTCTTGGATCGTGTCCCATGGTGTTGCCTGGACTGCTTCAGGTGCAACCAACGCTCGGGCCGTCTCAAACACCTCAGGCCCACAGAGGCTGAGGAATAGGCCCCGCTTCCGATCCTTTGATACTGCTGTCAGCTCGTTGGCTTGGAGGTAGCAGTCGAACCGAGCGAGGTAGGAGTCCCACGATTCAGAGGCTGGCGCAAACGGCGGTAGAGGCACAAGTGAAGCCATGATTCCGATGCCGGCGTGAAGGGCGATGGATGGAACACAGTGCTCTAGCCAGAACAGTCAGCTCTGAATTGGTTCTGCCCAGTGATTTCGCTCAGTGATTTCGCTCTGTGATTCAGCTCAGTGATTCAGCTCAGTTCAGAGGCTGGCCGCATCTGGCTGTGCTCTGATGTCCATCTATCCCATCCTCGTCGCCAGTGTTAAGTCGTGGGTTGACATAGCAGCCGGCACAGCGATTTCTTCAAGTAGCTCTTTATTATGGTAAGCTGGAATACAACTGACTGCGACAGCTCAGCCGGCCTGTATTTATAGGCAGCCGGCTGTCAACATTGTAACCACAACAGCCCAGAGTTCCCGCCTAAAATAACTGCCGCGGACCTGAGTGAAAACTATCTACAGACCTGAGTGAAAACTATATACAGTATCCCCCTGTTGGCCCAGGGTGAAACTACACTACATAACACCCACCCACCTGTCAGTCACATAACATAACACTGATATCAGAGGAAGCATTCTCCTCTGCCCATGCAATTCGCAAACCTCGCTTTTGGCACGGACCTGTGTCTTTACCTGCCAAACCCCTGACATCAGGTATTATGTCAGGTGTGGGGCATCTGGGTGTAGCTTAGCCACAATGGCCTAGTGGGGCCTAGTGGGGCAAATGGGGAGTCCTGGTGGGCCTAGTTGCTTCCATAAACCAGGAGTTCCTCACCAAATAAAGAGCAAGTGCTGGCTAGAAACCAAATACATCAAGCACTGGCTTGACGTACATGTTTTAAAAATCTCATCATAATCCATGATTTTAAAAACTGTTACATTCCCTTCCAGTTATGTATCAGTGTGCTTCACTGTAAATCTGCTTGTGCTACCATTTTAATACAGTGGTACCTCAGGTTAAGTACTTAATTTGTTCCGGAGGTCTGTACTTAACCTGAAACTGTTCTTAACCTGAAGCACCACTTTAGCTAATGGGGCCTCCTGCTGCTGCCGCACCGCCGGAGCACGATTTCTGTTCTCATCCTGAAGCAAAGTTCTTAACCTGAAACACTATTTCTGGGTTAGCAGAGTGTGTAACTTGAAGCATATGTAACCTGAGGTACCACTGTACTTAAAGGGCACAGTTATTCATTAGACAGAAACCTACTGTACATAGTTTTAATTCATGCCCCTGTAGAGGCCATAACGTCTCTCTTACTTTTTAATCTCCATTTGTAGGCTCTGTTATCCAACACTCATCTTGTTTTTATTACTGCAATGTCTTAGTATCTTCCAGCCATTTGCTCTATTACCACAGTATTACTTTGCATCTGCATGATTGTCCATTAAACTTTATCCACCCCTCGCCTCATGTCGGTCTTTTCTATTTCAGGCTGATAAAAAACTTGGGTGTACTATTCTAGGCCCAACGTGCACCTTTGCCACATTTCAGATGGTCTCGTAAGTATCAGCTGAGGTGTTCTATTCAAATAAGGCTAAATATTGAATAAATGTGATGTCGGCTTAAGAGCCTAGCAAACACTTGTGAAAAAAGGGGTGCCCTGGCCACTTTTGGCTCTTGCCCTACCTACTTCCAACATGTGACTCCCAACAGATGCCCCTAGAAGGAATGCGGTGAGAAAACAACGGTTCCCTGCCCATTTTAAAGCATGAAAGAGGAAATGAAATGAAGTCTTGCATCAATCCTCTTTATCAGCACCATTTAGAAAGAAGAACTGAGCACTCTTAATGGTTTAATTAGTGCATATTTTCATAGGATGACATCTGGGTTCAAAGCAATGGGACTGACGCTGTGGAGCATGTTTCCTTTATGTTTGTTCTCACACACAGAGGTATTAACTATTCAGAGCCATCTGCCCAATTTTTTTGTGAGAGAATTTGTAGTATAGTACTCATAACTTTTTGGCTTCATATTTATTTTGAAATCAAGGCAAACAAAAGAAGAAACCAAATTATGTGAATACTTAGAATTAGCAAAGATGACAGGTAATCAGAAACCAAACAAATCAAAAGTTTAACAGTGAGTGGGAGTGGAATAGAGTATATTTAGAAAAACATTGCTCCCAAACAAAATCCTTAATATGCTTTGATTAATTTTCGCAAATTAAAGAACAGATAGATAAAGTATGTTATGTAAGAGCAATGAACGAAAATGTGAAAAAGGACACAGTTTAAAAGAAAAAGAAGATGTAAGGACCTGTAGTGAGGTGGAGGGGAAGTCATCTTTAAAGACATATGGTTGTAATGCTATTTAAAGTGGAGGTATTCTGATTTTTCTTTATGTACCTTATTATGTTTTGAATAATGAGTGGAATAAATGTATTATTTGACAAATTTAATAAAGATTATTGCAGAAAAACAAAAGAAGAAAGGATTGGAAATATGGCCCATATTGATAAAGTATCTATCAATGTAGCAGCCGTACTGGAAATTATTTTCTTTTCTTCATGTGTGGTGGTCTTGTAGTAAGGCTTACTGGGAAATGATATATAATGAATTGAAAAGGATGTTTAAAATAACATTTGTAAAAAAAACAACCCCAAAACCAGAAGCTTTCCTTTTGGGAATTATAGAGGTAGAACTACCTAAACTGTATATAAATATATTCATGTATGCAACCACAGCGGCAAGAATGTTATTTGCCCAAAAATGGAAAGAAGAAAAAGTCCTGACAAAAGAAAACTGGATATAAAAACTTTTGGAACGTGCAGAAATGGCGAAAATTATTGGAAAAATAAGAAATCAAAATAACAAACTTTTTACAAAAGAATGGAAATGGTTTATTGTATATTTACAAACAAACTGTAAACAGATAAGGACATTGGCGGGATTATTGTAATAACCTGCAGTTTCATAAGAGCATATATTTAAAGTAGATGAATAAAAGAATAAGTTAAGTTAATTTAGAATATGCAGGAAATACAAAAAATAAATTTAAGGAACTGCATAAAGAAGAGGAAGTCCAGTTTTGAAATGTTAGAATGATTGTAAAACTACTGAAATGTATATAATTTAAAATCATAAATAAAAATGAAAAACTTTTCTTTTCTTTTGTAGATTAGAGACGGAGTTGGTCCCACCCCTGATCTCTGCAGGGAGTTTCGGGTTGACTTGTGATTACCAAGAAAAGTTAACAAGGCTGTTGACTCCAGCCAGGAAGGTGAACTACTTCTTGGTTGATTTCTGGAAGAATTCCACGTTGCCATTCAAAAGTGTCACATGGGAAACTACTTACATCTATAAGGAAGACAATGACACTGAAGATTGCTTCTGGTAGGGAATTTTCCTAGTATATCCAGTGTTTCAATTCTTTTTCAAACTCTTTCTGTTTTTACATAAAAGACTTAAATCACATATTGATAGTATTGTTGACTACTTGCAATGGGAATTGGCTATGCCATTTCCTGCTTGGCAGAGTCTTCTACGCTGTTTGAAATAACTGGAGTGTTGGTTGGGGGAGGAATTAGGGTATAGTATTAAAAAAAGAATTCCCTGGATGCCTAAGATCCAGGTTTGGGGCAAGTACTTTGTTGAGAGAACCCCAGCAGAGATTTAAAATCACAAAATATACAGCAAAGTAAAGTGTGGAAATGTAAGAACTTTAAAATATTTGCTTTTAAGCTGCTTCCAAAGTTCCCCCTTTCCTTAGCATAGAAAGAGACCACACATTTGGTAAGTTAAAAATGATTTACAGTGGTACCTCGGGTTAAGTACTTACCCGTATTTTTCGCTCTATAACACGCACCAGACCATAACACGCACGTAGTTTTTAGAGGAGGAAAACAAGAAAAAAAATATTCTAAACGAAATAGTGGATATATGATTTTTGTGGTTCATGCTGTGGCCACAGACATGTGATCTGACAGTGAGTTTGGAGTAGCCCAATGCAAAAATCCTGAGGATCCATGTGGATCCATGCTTTGTAACCACGGAGGAGGGAAGGAAGGGGAACCATGGATCCTCTGCTCACGACTGCAGCAGATCCCCCCCGCCACCCGTAGGCATTCGCTCCATAACACGCACAGACATTTCCCCTTACTTTCTAGGAGGAAAAAAGTGAGTGTTATAGTGCAAAAAATACGGTAATTCGTTCCGGAAGTCCATTCTTAACCTGAAACCATTCTTAACCTGAGGTACCACTTTAGTTAATGGGGCCTCCCGCTGCTGTTGCCGCACCACTGCTGCACGATTTCTGTTCTCATCCCGAAGCAAAGTTCTTAACCCGAGGTACTGCTTCCGGGTTAGCGGAGTCTGTAACCTGAAGTGTCTGTAACCCGAGGTACCACTGTACTTACAAACTCTTCAAGAGTCGGATTCATATGCTTTTTATATAGCAGTAAGAAAATACAGGCAGTAAAACGTAGGTTGCAAAGTGATGAATGGTTCTAAATTATTTGTATAGAAACATAAAGATGGAGTGAGCTTGTTTACTCTTGCTTGGGGATAGGGTAAGGACCCAAACCAATGGTTTCAAGTTACAAGTTTATGACTAAACATCAGGAGAAACTTTCTGAAAGTAAGAGCTGTTAGACAGTTAGATTTCCTTGGAAGGTAGTGGACTGTCCTTCCTTGGAGGTTTCTAACCAGACGTTAATGCTTTAGTTGACATTCCTGCATTGCAGGGGGTTGGACTAAATGACCCTTAGGGTCCCTTCCAGCTCTACAATTCTGTGATACTATGTTCAACAATTTGGTTTCTGAATTCTGCACCAACAGCAGTTTCCCAATTGTCTTCAAAGACAGCCCGACATATAACATATTGCAATAGTCCAACCTAAAGATTACCAGAGCTAAGACAACAGAAATTATGCTATCCCTGTCAAGATAAAGGCACAGCTGGGCCACCAAATGAAACTGATGCAAAGCACTCGGCACTTTCAAGGCTAATTGATCCATAAGTACCCACAAGCTATGAACCTGTTCCTGCTGTAAATGACTGCTAGACTAGTGGGGATGGCAGATTTTTTTAAAAAATGAACCTATGCTTACAGAATAAATATATATTGGTTTGTTCATGATATTAATTGTTCTAATAGTACTGATATGTGTGAGGTACCTTACTTCTTAGAGGCCCTCACACCAAACCTTTAGCCCAAATCTATGCCATTGCCACAAGCTGATTTGCAACATTCATTTCCTATTCCAATTTCAAGGTATATGAATGCTATGGAAGCTTCAGTGACCTACTTCTCTATAAACATGAAATTCCGGGAGATCCTCAGGAGCTCAATAGAACTACAAAGGATTGTGAATAATCCAAAAAGAAAAAGTAATGGTAAGGAGAAAATAAGAGTTTAATTGTTTCTTTTTTAATTTCCCCCTTTTTTGTGGTTCTTATTTTTATCTACATGCAGCCTTGAGTCCCGTCAGGGAAAAAGGGAGAAAAGCGAATTAATGAAAAAATAAATAAATAAGAGTACTTTGTCTCTGAAGTCCATTTGGTTATACACTTTCTGGCTATTTATAATCTGAATATCAAATGGCGAATTCTATTAATGGAAGAGGAAAGAAGGAGGGAGAGAGAGAGAGAATTTCAATGCTGTACAGATTTTCCCCGCTGCTGTTTCCTGAACACTTGTCTGTTTCGCTACTGATACTGGGCTCAAACAGGGCGCTGCTTTCCAGAAGAAGTCTTAAGACTCTTTTCCTAAAGACCTTCTTGCATAGATTGTTTCTGAAGATGTAGCATCATTATGAATATTATTTAGCTGTGCATTGTGTAAACTGTGCAATTGGTTTCCAGAAGACATGGGGACTGCGATCAACTTAGCTTTAAAGGAGATTAGGCAGTCGTGGAAGATAAGGCTTTGATAGCTACAAGCCACGTTTGGCATATATTATTGCCTCCAGGATCAGAGGTAGTACTACACCTCTGAATACTGGCAGTCATTGGATGGGTTTAAACAGTGGGGGAAAGATTGTTATCGGTGTCCCGCTTGGGAGCTTCCTGAAACCATCTGATCTTCTACTGTTGGAGTAAGTATTCTCAGTGCTTTTCTCCTAGAAAAATGGGCCCCAGTATTCACATGAAGTTGCTACAGTAAGTACCACATTTTAAACCAGTGCTTTTCTCCCAGAAAAATGGTGCTGGTGTTATGTACCCTTGAGTACCCTCAGGAAAAAGCACTGAGTATGCTGGACTAGATGGTAGGACTTTCCTCTGCTCTTTACAGACATGGTCCACCCTTTAAAGCTCTGTGTCTAAGTGCCATCTCCCCCCCCTTTTTTTGCTTTGGGGCTTTCCCTGCGAAAACCTGTTCTTTAAAGCTCAATCAGAGCAAGCAACAATCCCAGGGCTAGGTGGGGGGGGGACACACACGCTCAGACACGGAGCTTTTAAGCGAAGACCTGTGTCTGGAAAGAGCCGAGCAAAAGGTGTGGATGGGCCATTAGTCTGATCCAGCAATGTTCTTTTTATATTTTTATGCAACTACGTATTTCTCGCTCTATAAGACGCACCAGACCATAAGACGCACCTAGTTTTTGGAGGAGGAAAACAAGAAAAAAAATATTCTGAATCTCAGAAGCCAGAACAACAAGAGAGATCGCTGCGCAGTGAAAGCAGCGATCCCTCTTGCTGTTCTGGCTTCTGGGAGAGCTGCGCAGCCTGCATTCGCTCCATAAGACGCACACACATTTCCCCTTACTTTTTAGGAGGGAAAAAGTGAGGCTTATAGAGCAAAAAATACGGTATGTCCTTCCTCCTTCTCATTGTCTCCTAGAACACTCAACTCCCACTCCAGCGCAGGAAATGAGCCTATTGCTTCTCTCCTTTGCTCTCGGGAAGAACTTTCAAATGCCAAGATGGTAAACTACTGGAAGGCTACTTCCTCTCCTGATAATCATCACATGGCTGTGTTATCCAATTTACATTATTGATCTCTAGATCCTGCGGAAGTTTTCTGGGACCCACATGCCTGCAATGAGGATCTGCTCTGATGGTTTACCTCTTCCTCTGTTCTAAATCCTGTATTTTCAAAGTAGGAATAAAAATGGCTTATCCACTGACTCTCTGTCTATCATGCTCTTGTTTGCAGTGATCATCACATGTAGGTCTCCAGGTGACCTTAAAAGACTCCTAGGAAAAGCAGAGGTGGATGAGGACATAGTTATCATCCTGATAGATCTTCACAGGTAAAAATGTTACAATATCGGGGGTGGGGTTGGAATCTAATTAGTAAAAAGGTCGTTTTATATGTGGAATAGTTTTCCCCTCAAGAGTCACATTGAGTGCTGAGTATATATTTTCATTTAAATAATAATAATCCTGTGTCAGTGCAACCTAAATTTTGCACTACAATTAAGAATGGGGGTTACTCTGAGACCTATATAAATCCTGTAAACAATATTATTTTATAAATGTGATTTTCTGTCACTGGTTCCAATTCTGCTAGAAATGGAGTGGGACAAAGCACGGAGAATTCCTTCATTAACTTCTAAATTTGCCACCATAAGGTCTAGAAGAGAAGCCTGTGTGTGAGTGTTTAAACTGCTGCTGCTTGTTAAGTTCTGTTTTAACTTATTTCCATAATTTGTTATAATTGAAATGCACGTCTTCAATAATGAATAGGTGTATATCAGCAGGGAATTATGAAAGTTTTGCTTAGTAAATCTGTTTTCCATTTCCTCCAAATTGAAGCCCATTCATTCAGATGTCTTTAGATTGTTCTAAGATCCTAACAAGTATAAATCATTAAGGAATTTGATTATAATATCAAAGCTTTCTGCTGTATTACGTTTCCGTGAAGCTAAGCACTATTTACTACCAAAGGGGTTCTAAGAAGGGAAGAACTTGTAAAATGCTGGATGAGAACATAAGAGTTCAGTTTTTATTGTTATTCTGGATTTGGAACTGCAAACTGAAGGAGAGAGAAATGTTTATTCATTACCATGTTGAGATTTCCACCAGTAGGCATGCTACAAGACAGCTTTGTTTTTGGTGGTGATAACATAGGCTAGGTATATTGTGTTGGAGGTAAAATATAGTGATAGGTGGAAAGGTTAGGCCTCTCTTTTAGCACACCACTACTTGGCTTCAAATTGCACAAAAGCAATGTGTAGGCTCGGTTGTCTAACTTTATATTCTAGGCAAGTTCCTTTGAGACTCCTTTTTAAAAGGTAACAATCATACAAATGCACTGAAATATAAATAAGCAACCCATTCCTTCGCAAAATCAATACATTCACCACCTGTATGCTGCCAACATGCACTTTTTCTTGTTGACTTTTAAAAATCTGCGAAATGGGTGAGCGATATTCAAAACTTGCTTTCACATTTTTCATGAATGCACTCAGCATTTGCAACAGTGTTAGGAAACAGGGCTACACACCTCACACCCCAAGCCATTGGCAGCAGTGTCAGTCTCAGTCGTACTGCATCAGAGGGGTCTTCTGATCTTCTCCCTCTTTAACACATCTTGCCAGCTACATATAGTTCTGTCCCACAGGTCCAAATACAGACCAGGCAAAGGATAGACGGATGCCCCAAAGGACCCAGTTGCAGGGATTCCAAAGAAAGATGCACAAAATGCCCCGAGTGATCAGTTCTAGTGCTATATTGTGGAGCTATAGCAAGAGACTTACACACAGCAATGCAATGCAGGATTCCTTGCTACCACACCTTAAGATGGCTTTGTCTGTTGGGGGCTAATACGTTAAGCATTACTTATACAAAAAGCAAGTTACAAAAGCTGGCAACAATAGCCCAATTACGGCAACTCACCCCTGCCTTAGAGGTCGCTTCCCACCTTTCATCCCTCTCTCGGATATGGGAGTAGCTGACTGAACCAAAACTACAGCTTCAAAGCAAACAGATAAGCATATATGATACCATTTTACAGCTCGAGCCAATTAGTCCCAGGGTCATCTTGAGTACCAAGTTGGTGTTTACAGGTCTTTCAGTACATTTTCACTGTTTGGTTCTACACACCTATGTACACAGGCATAGCAATACAGACTCATCTGGATTTGGGTCTGAAAGACCAAGGTATGGGTGCATTAAGGGTAAGTTGTAAGCAAGTACAATCTGTGGCATCGCACAACATCCTTGCTAATCATGGGGCACATCTGTTAAGGCCTCTATCTTGGCTTCTGCTTTCCTGGTTTAGTGTAGCTTGAATAAACATGGGATAGCCTTGTCTCTATATTAAACCATCAGGGTTGTTGTTGTTTTTAAAAAAAGAAAAATAGTTATTTACCGTAATCAACATTTGCTTCATTTGTCATTTGGTTGACTAAATGCTCTTGCTTCTTATTACATTTGGGACTCTTGTGCTTTCTGTTTTCAGCAATGTGTACTATGAAGATGCTCCCTCATACAGTTACATGAAGAATGTCCTTGTCCTGACTCTGGAACCATCAAACTTCACTGCAGTTTCAAACAGTAGTGGGATTCCTTGGACTCCAGATGCAACGCCTTGGGTGATTTTATTTTATAATAATTTATTTGCTCACTGCTGTTGTGCTCCTACAACACAGCCCTGGAAAGAGAGCCCTTTCTGATCATAATTGTTCCGCGGGTCTGAAGGCAAAGTTAAAGGGAGCAGCAGCAGACCAGTATTGCTGAATGCCGATTTTCACTATGTAAACTAAGCAACAGTGAAGCAATGGGTTGCCAGTGATATTCAGCAAAGACGTCAACCTGCCAGTTTTCCTTTCAGTTCCAGACATCCTGAATCTGTGCAAGCCCCCACTCCTACAGTCACCCAGCCTGCCCAATACTTAAACATTTTGAATGTACAAGACTGTGTCTGAGCAGCCCTTCAATAAATAAGCACATTCCAGTTGGCATCCCTCTGTAGGAGTAGAAGTAGCATTTGTTGCAACATCAAATTACAGTATAAAAATATAAATACAGTCGTACCTTGGATCTCAAATGCCTTGGCTCCTGAACAAATTGGCTCCTGAATTATCAAAACCCGGAAGTGAGTATTCCAGTTTTTGAACGATTTTCGGAACCCAACATTCCAGTGCGGCTTCCAATTGGCTGCAGGATGCTCCTGCCGCTAATTGAAAGCCGCACCTTGGTTTTCAAATGGTTCCGGGAGTCAAACGGACACCCGGAATGCATTCTGTTGGAGAACCAAGGTACGACTGTATAAAAAATATTTTAAAACACAAAATACATAATAAAATTAGAAAAACAAACAAACTGATTATCACTGCTCCCACTGCACATTTAAAAGGGCATTGGATGTCAGTGAGCCAAAGATCTGGTTGAAGAGGACCATTTTCACTTGGCGCCTAAAGGTGTATAATGAAGTCGCTAATCGAACCTCCCTGGGGAGAACATTCCACAAACAGGGAGCCACTGCAGAAAAGGCGTGTTCTCGTGTTGCCACCGTCCGGACCTCTTGTGGAGGAGGCACATGAAGAAGGGCCTCAGATAATGAACACAGAGTCTAGGTTAGTTTATATGGACAGAGGCAGTCCTTGAGTTATAGCGATCCTGAGCCATTTTAAGACTTTAAAGATCAAAACCAGCACTTTGAATTGGGCCCAGAAACTAATTGGCAGCCAGCGCAGTCAGGCCAGGAGCAGTTTAAGAATATGCTCATCTACATTCATGTGGGAACATGCAGGTTCCCAGAGAGGAGCTTGCGGCCACCCTGTTCTTCCCCAGCCCTTTTTACTACTGTGCTGAGCTAAGCCAAGGTTTGGTTTGCTTTAGCACATCATCCAAACTGGGACTTGTGATTAACTTCTCTCCTAACCACAAGCTGTAGCCAAGGGACTGGCAAAGCCTCTGGAAACCAGAATGGGAAGAAGTAGGCCATCTTTGACCAACTCACTCAGGAACACATTGGGCCCAACAATATGAGAAGCAGTGGCTTAATCCTTCTCCTTTTACTATCTCTTATAGATGAAAAATGACTTTGCTGTTGCCTACTTGGATGCTGTCTTGCTCTTCGGACATGCCTTGAAAAAACTTTCTCTTGCAAGCCATTTAATTACTCCCACTAGCTTCAACAGCCAGTTTCGGAATGTTACTTTTAAAGGTAATCACATATGTGTTTCTCTTAATTCTCATTAATGGCCAAGGCAATACAGTAGATTACTGGAAGCAAAAACAGAATGATTTCAGTAAAGGGGTTAAAAATATTGATAAATGTCAGCAATAGTTTTTCTCTAATTAAATGTATCAGCTTTACCTCCAACAACCCTGCCTCCATATTGAATAATGGTAAATCTTTCCCTCTTTACACATATAAGAGTCTCTCTGTTCTGATCATATATTGAGATAATATTTCATAATGCTGTTCTTATTATGTATCTATTTGTCTGCACCAAGTTCTGTATCTCCAATTCCCACTTCCTGTTGCATTTGCCATGTTTTCCCAGCCTTATCTAATATCTCTTCCAGGCTGTGGCTTCTGATGCTCTGCTCCTCCTACAGAAATTGAGATCGAAATTTGTCCTTAACAAAGTGTGTCTTTCCTCACTAGTCTCATTCTTCTTATTGAATATTATCAGTACAACAGAGGTGCTGTGAGATGAATGGTGAATATTGGGTTGCTGGCTTCCCTGTCATGTTCAGGGAAAATTATCAGGCTTTGATTATTATTTTTCTCTTTACAGGTATTCTTGGTCCTGTAGTCCTGGATAAATTTGGGGATGTTGATGTCAATCTCACCCTTATGTACACGACAAATAATTTAGAAGTAAGTATACGGCCAAACCATGCCTCTAGCTGGAGTTGCAAGTAACCCGAGGAACTGTTTAAGGTTTTTGGTGTGGGGAAGTGGTTGGTTAGCATCAAAGGCAGCTATTAGATGGTGCACCGGAAAACACTGCAGTAGCTTTCCCCTTGCCTAACTGTGCCAGTTTGTATTTCTCCTTGCCCTCTGTTATTCCAAAAAGGGTTTCTCCTATATTTACCTTTCAAAAAATGAATTTGGAGGCTTTATGTACCTCCTGTGGTGTACACCAGTGTGGTGTAGTGGTTAAGAGCAGTAGACTTGTAATCTGGTGAACCGGATTCACATCTCCGCTCCTCCACATGCAGCTGCTGGGTGACCTTGGGCCAGTCACACTTCTCTGAAGTCTCTCAGCCCCACTCACCTCACAGAGTGTTTGTTGTGGGGGAGGAAGGGAAAGGAGAATGTTAGCCGCTTTGAGACTCCTTAAAGGGAGTGAAAGGCGGGATATCAAATCCAAACTCTTCTTCTTCCTCTTCTTCCACATGCAGCTGCTGGGTGACCTTGGGCCAGTCACACTTCTCTGAAGTCTCTCAGCCTCACTCACCTCACAGAGTGTTTGTTGTGGGGAAGAAAGGGGAAGGAGAATGTTAGCCACTTTGAGACTCCTTTGGGTAGTGATAAAGCGGGATATCAAATCCAAACTCTTATTCTTCTTTTCCTACTCAGAGCTAATGGGCACACTTCTTGAATTATATTTATATATCTCTATCTATCTATCACAGCGGGTGGCGCTGTGGGTTAAACCACAGAGCCTAGGGCTTACCGATCAGAAGGTCAGTGGTTCGAATCCCCGTGACGGGGTGAGCTCCCATTGCTTGGTCCCTGCTCCTGCCAACCTAGCAGTTCGAAAGCACATCAAAGTGCAAGTAGATAAATAGGTACCGCTCCGGCGGGAAGGTAAACGGTGTTTCTGTGCCCTGCTCTGGTTCACCAGAAGTGGCTTAGTCATGCTGGCCACATGACCCGGAAGCTCTATGCCGGCTCCCTTGGCCAATAAAGTGAGATGAGTGCCGCAACCCCAGAGTCGTCTGCGACTGGACCTAATGGTCAGGGGTCCCTTTACCTTTACCTTATCTATCTAGCTCCATCCCATTCAATCTTGTAGGCACAGCACCAAAATAGACACGTTGTTAATGCATGCAATTAGTAATCATGCAAATAATCTTTTAAAAGTAAATAGCAGTCAAGTTTGACAACACTGGGGGAGCATTTAACCAGATGCAAAAAGTAGCTGGAGAGGGGAGCTTAAGGGCCACAGCAATGTAAATGGGATAAAGCTCATGCCTTGGTCCTGATGGAAGTCCCCCTTCCGCCATGGATGCTATTTGCTGCTGGGAAATAATTTTTGCAATTACTAAATTGTGTGAATGCTTTCATTTCTAGTTTGGCCCACAGAGTTGAAAAGTGCTGTTATTACCTAGCATGAGCAGAGTGATAGTAGATGAAAGCAATCTATTTTGAGTGAAGGAAAATAATGTGAGGCATAAATGCATACAGGAAAAAGGAGGGAAATCTCCCCTGGTGACTCAGTAGGTGGGCAGGAAACTATGGTTACCGGCTATGGGACAACCCAGGATATTAAACCAGGGTTCAGGTAAAATGGGATGCCATGGTTAATTAGAAGCTTCCTGGTTCAATCTCTGTTAACAAGCCAACCAAAACCAGCTCAATATGGTGGAGATGCAGGGGATCCAGAATGGAGGGATGGAAAGTGTGGGGAGAGTGACTGAGGTTCTTGGCTGACATTATATTCACATCATGAGTTTTCTTGGGAAAAGGAGTTTCAGACTAAAACCTTCCTCTATTTTCTAGTACAAGGCCCTCCTACGGTTTGACACTCATCTGAATGAGACAGTACCAAAGACGGACAAACCATCATTCATCTGGAAAAAAAACACCCTGCCTAGTGATATTCCTGGCACTGGTGAGACAATCTATTTCTTGCGAAGGGGACTTGCACAGAATCAATGAGACTTGTACATCCAGTTTGAACACAGGAACCATTAGGCTGGTAGTAAAACCAATAATTTACCTTTAAAAAAATATTCCAAACCTGTCTTTTTTTGTTCTTTGAATGCCGAGTTCTGAATCAACTTGTCAACTTAAACAATCTTCAGTGTATGCAACAGTACCCGACATGGGAGTATTTTCAGATAGCATACAGTTCAAAAAGACTGCTAAATGAGCAGTTTCCTATTCCCCTGGCCCCAGATGTTAGGAATTTGTGAACTAGGGGAAATGTACTAAAGCACTTAAGCAGAGAGTTACACATCTAGCCTCAGAGCTCAGCAGCTTCCCATTGTAGCACTGTGTGGTGTGAATTTTCCAATTGTTTGTCTCCCCCACAATTGCTTGTGAGCTCACAGCTTGTATGATGCAATTCCCATTAATGCCAGAAATGTTCTCCCAGTTTTTGCTACTGTTGAGATAAAATATACTGTGACTGTTAAAATTATATGGCGCCTCAGCTGAGCAGAGAATAAATATGGTGCTGCATAGCTAGAATGCAATGTCTCAAACTTTCAGCATAGGTTCAGCTTGGTAATTTATTTATTTTTTCAAATTCTAAAAGCATGATTTCTTAATTTACCTAGACATTGTTCTTTCTCTATCCAAATCAAACTGCATAATGAAATGCCTTGGCTGTCAAGGGTAGTTTCTCTGTTTTTGGCTGCAAATATTATTGCATTTATTCTCAAACTAGATGTTAAATTGAAATGAAGTAGCGGATGCAATACAAAAGAAAAAGAACAATGAAAACCTGAGCATATTGTAAAGAACATAATGTTTCTATTTTTCAATACCTTGTTTAATTCAAAAGTTATTAAGTGCCCTTTCATAAATTTCATCTCAAATTCAGAAATATAGTGTCATGTATCACAGTAACAATGTGCAAGGCAGAAACCTGAATATTTTGCTTTAAATTAGGTGCAAAAACGTGGAGGGTGAGAGAAAGTCTTGTGAAAGCTCTTCTTTTTCATGAGGGGATGACTGAAACCACTAGAGGGCAGCGGAACCTCAGAAATATAAATATGTCATCCAATTTCTAAATTCCAGACATCAGCTTGTAATTTGTTTAAAGCGTGCTTGGAGCTATTTAGCCTTTTGTCACTCAGCCCAAGGTGCAGGGCAAAAAACCATCTTGTAACTTGCCAAAGACATTTGCTTGCTAACTGATTTATTTATTGGTGACCCAATGTCCTGCTTTCTGAGTAGGATCAGCCAGCCCGGGTGTTCTGACAAGGATGACCTTGTTGTCAGAGAATTAAGGAGAAAATAAGATTGGCCTTCGGTGAAGAGGTAGATGGAAAGCATGGGCATATGCCAAAAAAAACAAAGGTCAAGTGTTTGCCAAGTAGTTGCTGCAAGCATTTTCAAAAGAGTTTAGTGGAAATCATGAGGCCTAGACTGATGGTTGTACAGGCTTAATTTTTTCAAAGGTTAACAATGCAGTCTATACATGTGCAAGTAAATCCCATTGCATTTAATAGGGCTTACTCCTAGGAAACAATACAGGATTGCAGACCTGTCCACGCTTAACTCAATAGAGCTTATTTTATTTGTTAAATTTATATACCACCCTTCATCTGAGGATTACAGGGCGGTTTACAGTATAAAAACAAAAAATACATAACATAATGGGAAACAAAACTATTACCCTCTGCCCAGTTTAAAAGGCCATAGATTGTTAGCCAGAGGCCAGGGAGCAGAGGAAAGTTTCCCCCGGCACCTAAAGATATGTAATGAAGGCACAAGGCAAGTCTTCCACAAAGCTTGCTTCTGACATTTATAAAATTACACTGCACATTTTTATATATTGACATGTGAGGTAGAAGTGTTCAGAGCACCGCCTTGTCCTGGTTTGTGGGGATCAGTTTCAGTTGTTACAGCCTGAAGATGCAGACAGTGTCTAGCCTACTATCAGTTCTCCTGAACCTTGCCCATCATGGCTCATAAAAGTTAGCTAGGATTGTCTGACAGGATGGATTCAGGGCGTGGTTAATGCCTCATTTAGGAAAGCAGGAGGTACTCCTGGCCATTCTGAAGGGGACAGAAGTGAGCTCCCTGTTTTCTACCCTACTTTTAGGCATCAGCTTAAGATGAATTTATTTTTCGGTGTTTATGGTTTTGGCTGATGTAAAAGATAGATTGCTGCTGGATTGTCTGAATGTATGGTTTATCTTTTTGATGTTTTGTTTTGATATTTGCTTTATATTATTGGTTTTAAGGTTGTTGTATTGATTTGTGTATTTTAATATATTGTTATATACCACCCTTTGAGGGAAGCTTCAAATAGAAGTCCAATAATAATAACACACATAGCTGTTAATAATAGGGGATAATGGCTGGCAGGCATCCATTCAGATTGATATTATAAACCAAGGGTAGGGCAACTCCAGCCCACAGGCCAACCTTGGGGTCAAATTTGGCATAAAAGCCATTTTTCAAAAATCATGCCCACCTGCTGATCAGCTTATGTCACTCTTAATTCAAGAGGGTTAGACAGGCCTTTATCTAATGAGATGTCAACTGGGAGTCTTTAGGTTTGTCTCTTTGAATTCCTGAGGCAGAGGGATGCAGGTATTATTTTATTTATTTATTTATTTATTATTTTCATTCTATTTATATACTGCCCTTCACAAGATCTCAGGGTGGGTCACAGAATAAAAGCAAGGTAAAAACACAGTTAATAGTTAAAACAAAAACAACAAAACACTAACTTTGCCCTTCCCACAAACACGTTTAAAAGGCTGTAGGATATTAATCAGCCAAAGGCCTGATTAAAAAGGAACATTTTTGCCTGTCGCCTAAAAATATATGATGAAGGCACCAGACAAACCTCCCTGGAAAGAGCATTACGCAAATGGGGAGCCACTGCGGAAAAGGCCCGTTTCCGTATTGCCACCCTCCAGACCTCGGATGGAGGAAGCACACAAAGAAGGGTTAATTACACTCTTGATTACCCTGAACTTTCTTCTTAAGTTTGTCTAATTTCCCGTTTCTCACTTTTACAGGGCCGCACATTCTGACAATAGCTGTTTTCACACTTGCTGGGGTTGTGGTGGTAGTTCTGATCATCGCTCTGCTGCTCCTGAGGTACAGTCCTCATTTCCTCTTCCTCTGTCCTTCCTTGACCTAAGTCCACAAATCCTTTCTGAAATTTACGCTTTTGAAGTCTCTGTACAAAGGTCACCTAGCATAAAGGTAAAGGGACCCCTGACCATTAGGTCCAGTTTCAGGCGACTCTGGGGTTGCGGCGCTCATCTCACTTTACTGGCCGAGGGAGCCAGTGGCCATCATGACTAAGCCGCTTTTGGTGAACCAGAGCAGCGCACGGAAACGCCATTTACCTTCCCGCCAGAGCAGTACCTATTTATCTACTTGCACTTTGTGCTTTTGAACTGCTAGGTTGGCAGGAGCAGGGACCGAGCAACGGCAGCTCACCCCGTCGTGGGGATTCAAACTGCCGACCTTCTGATCGGCAAGCCCTAGGCTCTGTGGTTTAACCCACAGCGCCACCCACGTAGATGAGCTAAATTGCATAAGCTCTGGCACCCCTTGCTCTCCCAGCTGTTCAAGCCCCCTGTGGTGGATTTACTGCTTTGACTATTTCACCTACCTGGTCGGAAAGGTTCCTTCTCATTCTCTCCTTCCCTTTCCCCCTCCACCTGATGCATGCTAGCAGATAAACGTCAGTAATGGAATATCTGCATCCCATCTTTGAGTTGTAGCAGTTTAGTCATTGGGAGTTTTGATAGTGACTTGAGGTCAGTGCACACTTTAAGGTTACTTCTAAGAAGTCTGCTTTCAGCTTGACTCAAACTGACTCGTCAAAAAGGTCAATATTTCCATTCATTATCAGACAACTAGCATCAGAAGTTCTTAAAATGTTGTGCCTGTCCACGAATAGTTCTAATTCCAGATTCAAATGCTTCAAAAATTGCTGCAAGTATACCTGTCTTTCTGATGTACAGGAAATATAGAAGAGCCATTGAACTCCAGAAAAAATGGTCCCACATCCCATCTGACAAGATTGTTCCTCTGGAGACTAACGAGACAAGTCATGTTAGTCTGAAGGTAGGAAACAGCAGCCGTCTATGGCACATGTTCTCCTTCACAATAAAGTGGTACTGGGTGCCTCCTGAACATGGTAAACCATGATGTTGGAACCATAGACGCTATCTAGAAAACCGCTCTGTGATATCCTAATCTCTGTGTATGGCCTCACATTGGCTAGGATGGAAGGTGAGAGGGAGAATAGCTGGAGAAAAAATGTGTGCCATCTCTGTACAACCTGAGCCTAGATGGAGGTGGTTCAAAGCTTTACATTTCAAGAGTTTTCTGTTTCTCTCCTCACTGTAGTCTTGTGGCCCAGCAGCAAATCAGCCATGTCTCTCTAACTTCCTCCTGTCCGCTTACATCACATAGTTCCTACTAAGTTTTCATGGTCTCTCGCTTTTCTAACTCAGGGAGGGGTGCCATACTTTTGATATGCTAATTGATCATTATCCCCCAGGCCATTACCTCAGAGGAAATTAGGCTGACTCAATTTCCTTTCAACTCAGGTTGATTTCCTTGGATTAAGAAGTACCTAATACATAATTTAGTAAATTTGCCCAGCATAATTTGCTTTCACACATGCTAATTAAATGATTAGAAGCGTCTAGTACACAGGTCAAATGCACATCTTTAACACCCGTGAGTCTGGTTATTTCCCAGTTCTAACACCCCAACCTTAATTAAATTCTAACACTAACTTGATCTGGAATTTAGGGTTTCTTGCACCCACAGTAACAATATTTAGTAGATGTCTATCATCTTACATGACTTACATTCCAAACAACATTCACAATTCTGCTACTCTTACAATTATTTATTTTATTGGAGTGGCAGTTGAGGAAGGAACAAGCTTTTCCCAGACATTAAATGTCATGATCTAAATGCTTAGAAATACAGTCTTCTACCCCACAGCAGAGAAAATTATGAACTGTGAGTTCGAAGTGGTAAATGAGTATGCATGTATTGTTTAAAATCTCTTCAAGCGCAAAGGACCACAACACAACTCATGTTTGGAGAAGTATGATGGAGTCTGATGCCCTTACGAATTGTGGGAAACATGGGTGCTATGTTACATTTTTCTTGCACACACCATGATGGGATATATTACCTGTGGTGTTGTAATCTGAGGTTGTAGTGGGTGGAAGACCTGTTATTTCTGCAGCAAGGTCCTTGTCACCAGCATCCTAGAACCACCTAATCTGCATGAAACGGGAGCTTTCCAGCCACTATATGCTCCAAAGCCAAGCATTTAGGAACAAGGAAAACACAAGATGCTTAGTTTCAAGAGAATGGCGTGCAAGTGCTGCTAAGTACCATAGAACTTCAAGGAAAACATAACAAGTCACTCTGAAATATGATATTGGAGCATTCAAAATAATTTGCCAATATAATGTGCACAGAAGCAGTAGATCTAGCTGAAAGGCAACACAAGGGCACCTGCATTGATTAATTAAATGCATCCCTAATTATAAGGTTATTGTATAATATTAGAAAGAATGTGGCTGTGGTCATCATGAAGGGACCCTGCTCTTCTGAATCTAAAACTATGCTAAAACTAAAAAAAAATTCCTTCCAGTAGCACCTTAAAGACCAACTAAGTTAGTTCTTGGTATGAGCTTTCATGTGCATGCACACTTCTTCAGATACACACGAAAGCTCATACCAAGAACTAACTTAGTTGGTCTTTAAGGTGCTACTGGAAGGAATTTTGTTTTGTTTTGACTATGGCAGACCAACACGGCTACCTACCTGTAACTATGCTAAAACTATGCATCCCTGAAGTCAGCTAAATAAGCCTTCTTTGATTCTCAGATTGATGACGACACAAGGCGTGACACTAGCCAGAGACTGCGTCAAGGCAAATATGACAAGAAGGTACATTTACTCCAAAATCTCTGCTTTTCTCCTCTGGAAATGATCTTGTACAATATAAGGTGCCATATTATGCTCATTCCCAGTTACTTGCAAACCACAGGGATACAACAGAGCAGAGGTTCTTAAACTGTGGTGTGCCAACCATTTTTGGTCTATCTGCTCTATTTAGGTAGTCCTTGGAAAGGCTGCAGAACTATTGAAATTATCTATACTTGGCCTTGCAGTTGATTTATTTTTTTTACAATGATGAAGGTTGAGGCCATTTTGACACGGACTAGATTACTGAACAGGGCAACAAGTCTCTGTTTTGCACAGCACTGTTCTTAAACAAAGCCTCTGTATTAAAATTTTAAAAATATAAATAGGATCCAGCAGACAAAATATATAAAGAGGGATTGGCAGTGAAGGGAGACAGGAATGTGGAAGCAATGAGGTTAAGGGTAGCCTAAGAACACAGAGAGGGGTAAGAGTTGCAGGAGGAGAGGGTGCTTGAAGCTCCCTGAGATGGGAGTTGGGGCAAGAGGAGAAGTGCTGCTCTTTCTTAGCACAAAAGGAGTTTGGATTCATTTTCAGAAAATACCAACCAAATGGACAGATAACAATTAAGTCATCAGACCCATCAGAGACATTTTATATTCTAAAAGAACAATCTGAATAGTTGTGACTTAAGCTTTCCTTCATGAGAGATTATTAGATCGTCTGACTTTCCATGATAGCTTCCTGCAAGTGTCTGTAGTGCTTTGCTACATTTGGCTGTTAACCAAAAAGGTTGGTGGTTCAAGTCCAGCCATGGATGGTTTCTGTTGTTTTATTTTGCTCCCATCACAATTATTTCTCACTGTATCTAGGCAGAGGAATTGTGGGTGAGGCAGGGGGTGGAAGGGTACAGCTGTGAAATATGTGTGTCTATATATGTGGCCTGTTGGGTAAGAAGATGAAGTTACTAGGCGTCGGGAGGTACAGGCAGTACAACTCCAGCAGTTTAAAGGCTCTTTGAGAAGGATGAAAGGGTCTCCAGGTTGCCTGATCTTGCTTTTAAAAGAATATTGTCACAATTCCTTCCTTCCTTCCTTCCTTCCTTCCTTCCTTCCTTCCTTCCTTCCTTCCAATTCCTTTCAGCTTCACATATTTGTGAACGTTTTTTGTGTAACGTTTTGTGCTCTTGGTCCATCCAGCTTTCTAAGGCTGCTGTCCTAGCTATGTGTCCTCAGAAGTAAATCCTGTTTCATTCTAAGGGGGTTACTGCCAGGTAATTGAGATCAGGATTGCCGCCCAAGAAGCAAGCTACCACTACCTATCTCTCACTGTGATTAGTTCTGCTGCCCTCCACATCAGCTCAATTGAACTATGATGCAGCCAAAAGAAATATAATTATTCCTGTAAATAAAATAATCATCACTGAAGAGCAACTGGAGCAGTTGCATATTATGGCGTAAGGAGGTCTCATTGATGTATTGAGGTTTGGGTGGATATTGGGAGGACTTGCACACAATTGCAGAGAGGTAGGCAAATATCAGTCTTGTGCAAGACCTCCATTATTGAAGATTAAAATAAACAAACAAATGGAAATGGATACCCCCCCTCCTAAAAATATAATTTTGCATATTGTGAAGCATAATTGCTTAGGTTGGCACCATTTGCTTTTGTAGTCTTGTGCACTACTGGGAATTTTGTGGTTTTTGTTTTTTAAAATAGCTGCTTACACAGTTACAGAAATACATGGGCTCGTACCCATAAAGAAGGCAGGAAAGGAGTGATTGAGGGAAGAGACAATAATAAACACTTGAGATATTTTCCACCAAGCTCTACCAACTAATATGGATGGCAAGTGGTGGAAGAGCGATGAATATAGTAACTCAGAAAACAGGAGTGGACTTACTTGAGTCATTTGCGCAATGTGCATGCCAAAAGGAGAAAGTGTATCTGAAAAACCCATTTGCAGGGGTTGGGGAGCCTCTGTGTGGACCTGAACTGGATAAAGCTGACTGATGAAATGTTTGTTCACCTAGTTCTTCTCTTGTTACCTCTTTGTATGTATAAAGGATTGTCATTGCACTTAGATCATATCACAACCCTTGCAAAGGATAATGGTGTCCATTTCCCCATCAATGGTTAAGTAATGTAACATTTCATGTAAATGTATTTCTAAAATATAACCTACCTATCCAGACCTCTCATGACATTGTACAATACATGGATTACTCTGATGCTGCTATTCATTCCTACCAACCCTTTTCATTTTCCAGGTGATAATCCTGAAGGATTTAAAGCACAATGATGGGAATTTTACAGAGAAACAGAGAATAGACCTAAACAAGGTAAACACTAAACCCACAACCACAGCATATCCACTGAAAAATGTAGACCACAATTTCCTTTCTTCTTATTTCTTTCATATTGCAGATGTTAAGCGCTTCCTTTTCCAATAAGCCTTCTTCAGTGTGCCAGATCTCACTGCAGAGGCAATGTAGAAAGCTCACTTTTCAGAGCTTATTCAATGTAACCCTGCGGGCTTTGGCATACACCAGGGGTAGGCAACCTAAGGCCCGGGGGCCAGATGTGGCCCACTTCCTTTCTCAATCTGGCCTGCGGATGGTCCAGGAATCAGTGTGTTTTTACATGAGTAGAATGTGTCCTTTTATTTCAAATACATCTCAGGATTATTTGTGGGGCCTGCCTGGTGTTTTTACATGAGTAGAATGTGTGCTTTTATTTAAAATGCATCTCTGGGTTATTTGTGGGGCATAGAAATTTGTTCATATTTTTTTTCAAAATATAGTCCGGCCCACCACATGGTCTCAGGGTCGGTGGAATGGCCCATGGCTGAAAAAGGTTGCTGACTCCTGGCATACACTTTTGAACTGGAAAGCACTGAGTGATAGTAGCTGAACAATATATCCCCAAGCAGCATAGGAGGACATCATATTCCCATACCACTGTATCTAATTTTCCACGTCATCATTCTGCTTCTAACATGCCCATTATTTTTGCCCTAGCTCCTTCAGATTGACTATTACAATCTGACTAAGTTCTATGGAACTGTCAAGATGGACACGATGATCTATGGAGTGATTGAATACTGCGAGAGAGGATCATTGCGGGTAATTAGCTCTGTAGCTCACTCATCAGTTTGTACAAAGACAGGTGATAGCCCATCACATCAAAGACAAGTCCTTGCTGGCTCCAGAAATAGGCAGTGGGGAAGAAGGGCAGTTTGTGTTGCTCTTGGTCTTGTAAGTTTCTCAGTACTACCATCAATATTCCAACTGGAGAAGCACAATCTTTAGTGCTGAATTGCTATAAACAGCAGTTGGGCTTTCCAATGATTGCCATTTGTTCCAATTTATTGCTAAAGAATGAGTTTTCCAGGGGAAGGCGGTGGGGCAAAAGCAAAACCACTCAGCCCCTTCCCTTTTAGGCACAGGACAAGCGGAAGTTTGGATGAGCCCTTTGTGGCTTCAACATTAAGCCAGCTTTTCTATCCTGCAACCAATCACACCCTTTTGTTTACTAGTTAGCCTGATGAAGCGTTCTGGAGGGCTCAAAAGATTGCTCACTATTTTGTGACATGTTGGTTGGTTCTAATTAGCTTTGTTGTTGTTTAGTCGTTTAGTCGTGTCCAACTCTTCGTGACCCCATGGACCAGAGCTCTCCAGGCACTCCTGTCTTCCACTGCCTCCCGCAGTTTGGTCAGGCTCATGTTTGTAGCTTCAAGAACACTATCCAACCATCTTATCCTCTGTCGTCCCCTTCTCCTTGTGCCCTCCATCTTTCCCAACATCAGGGTCTTTTCCAGGTAGTCTTCTCTTCTCATGAGGTTGCCAAAGTATTGGAGCCTCAACTTCACGATCTGTCCTTCCAGTGAGCACTCAGGTCTGATTTCCTTAAGAATGGATGTGTTTGATCTTCTTGCAGTCCAGTCTAATTAGCTACCATGTATGAATTTTGGATTATTATTTTTTAAAAATGAAACAACACTACTTCCTTTGTTTTTAGAGAAGATTCTTACCGCAGCTTCTTTGTCACCTTTTCATCTCAGGATGTCTTGAATGATAAAATCTCCTACCCAGATGGCACCTTCATGGACTGGGAATTTAAGATTTCTGTCATGTATGATATTGCAAAAGTAAGTTGATGGATGGCAATGAGGAACTTAATGAGGCATAATCTTGCCTTGAGTAAATGATGGGATATAAGGTATTTTGCTGAAATGTCTAACAACAGGATTCTATAAGTACTGTTTGCCCTTTGATAGGAAATCTGTTTTTTTTTCCTGTTGAGAGCTGGGACACTTAATGCTTGTTAAATTCTGACATTTTGCTGAAATGAGAGAGGAAATAATAATACTGCACCTAAATGAAAGAGTGAGCTTTATTTAAGAAATTGAGATTGTGGTTACCATTTTTGTTTAGAAATGTAAAAATAACGCTCTCAGTAGGAAAAGGCTTTTCGGCTAAAGTGGAAAGAAATTCAAAATGAGCCACAAATTAAGAAGCCCTTACTGTGCATCCACAATGCTGGAGCTGAAGATAAAAGTTACCTTTACCTTTAGTGCTTTTAAAGGTATGAATTTCATGCATGGGGATTTTAATCACCCTTTTGCTCATGTGAGCCCCCACCTGCCAACAGATATACGTGACCCAGGTTTACAACTTCAGTGAGAACTAGGCCCTATACTGTATATGTCTATGCAAACCTGATTCTGGAGTTCAAAATGTTTTCTACTTTGGTACACATGTAAAATATTGTTGGCTTATAATCCTCTTCATTTAAATTTTTACGATATTTTGGTCATCTTATCAATGTCAGAATGGTGTTCCTGTTTCTAAGATTTTAGAATTATGGGAACAGTTTTGAAGGAAATATGTACATACACAAACCCCAAATCTGGCTCTGCTACCTATCAGCTCCCATATTGTCTTGTTTAATTGGACTAGTGTGTCCTGGGCCTATTTCTATGTAGCAACATATTATTATGAAGTTAATCATTTATTTTACATTTTTTGTTAACTACCCTTCAAAATATGAAATATCAAAATATTACAGAATGGTATACAACAATGTGAATAAAGACTAATTCACACACAACCCATAAATACAATTTAATTTAAAACTTAAAAATTTGGGGGCCGCTAGGGGCGCATTGGAAGATAGCCGACAATACCATCTCCCCGGCCCACACAAGGTAATTAAGAGGCTGATATGGGAGTATGTAGCCTCCCTTGTTACCCCAAGGGAATGGGGAACACTGCCTCGCCTGCAGTTGCCATAAATCACCCCCGAGTTTGAAAGAAGGGGGTGAGGGCACAAGGCGCACAGCACTTGTGTGGAACGGCTCTCCCGGACGCTGTCTCTGATCGCGCGGCCTGGTTGCAGCAACTCAAAATAAATAATTAGAGAGAGAAGCAAATGCACATATTTCGAGTGAAGAATGGGAGTTAAGACTGCTAATTGAAGTGACCTCTGTGAAGTGGAGTGACGGCTGGATTCAACAGGAAAATATATTGAAGAAGACACATCAAAGGGTGTCTCATGTTGGAATGAGACGGAATGGGGGGGACTTTTCTTTTTTTATCTTATGTGATTACCTAACAACCCCCCCCCCGGAAGAATCGTTGCAATTACTGATTATAAGCGGAATGATTAAGAACTGTGTGGAAATGAATTACTAATCAAAGACATGGCTTGTGAAATATTTGGAAAGGAATGAAAGGCCTTTGGAATGACGCAGCTATAAAAAGAGACTTGTTAGGAGCAGGCCTGGCGGCTGGCAGTGGCGTAGCGTGGGGGGTGCAGGGGGGGCCAGCCGCACCGGGCGCAACATCTGGGGGTTAGGGTTAGGGGGCGCAAATCCACAGGTTAGGGGGTGCAAATTACTTGCCTTGCCCCGGGTGCTGACAACCCACGCTACGCCACTGGCGGCTGGATTTATGATCGAGGGGGAGGAGACCACGGTTTTGTTATTATATTGGAATGTGAGTTTGACCTGGCAGAACCCCCTAAGAAGTTGGAGGAGTACAGGCCTGCGAGGATTAATGGGCACACTGTAAGAATGCTTTGTACCGAAGTGTTGAAATGGTGTCTGTCTGTTTGAATATGGCTCTTGGAGGAACGGAAAATCCACACAGGATATAACAACGTTTGTTTTTAACCCACTTGTGGAGACTATCAGAGGTCACAAAGAAAGGAATATATGATAACAACAAGAAGATGAAGAAAATAATAATAGAGAGAAGATTGGACAGAACTGTGAATACTATTTGGACAGAACTGTGAATATTAAAGCAGCAGCAAGAGAGATGTTTGGATCCCTTTCTGAGCTTGGGTACCCCCAACAAAAATTTAAAAATTTGGTTTTGTAATTTGTAATTAATGTGATCTGATTGGTTTGTTAATAAAAATTATATGAAAAAAATAATAATTTAAAACTTAAAAATTTAAAACTAGTGAACAAGCATTTAAAAATCAACAAATTTAAAGGAAATTTAAAAACCCCAATAAGATGAACAACTAAAGAACAAACTAGAACAAAGAGAAATAATTTAAAATCTACATCTGCCTGTGTATATAGGAAGATCTTCAGCTGGTGCTGGAAAGTGTATTCCTTTCTCTCAAATTTTAATTAAAAAATTTCAAAATAAAAAAAACTTGCCTCCTTGGGGAGGAAACTGCAAAGTTGGGGTGCCACAGCAGAAATGGTGAAGTTGGGGTCCCAGAATGAAATACAGTTCCAACAGGGGACCTGGAGACGGGTCTCTGCAGAAGACGTTAATCAGACATTAGCTCATTTTATGATCAGAAGGTACTGCCAGGTAGGGTCAGTCTGATCAGTTCCATTTGTTTCTCACATTATTAGCATAAATATATATATATTATTTATGGATTCTGGCTTACTTTGGATCTGGACACCTCTGCAGAATCTACACACTTGTTTACATTTTTTGTAGGGCAAATAACTGCAGGCTAAGATACAGCGGTTACTGAACGTTCTAGTCTCTGACACTTCTTTGATGCACGTTTAGGACAGAAGTTTGAGTTGCTGGGTCTTCACTGTGAACTTATACTACAAGGTCTCCGCCTCACAACAGAAGGGAACAGTGTCTGTTGCTATCCTTCTCCTCCTGATTTTGAGTTAATCCTTCCAGTCAGTGCTTGGATGTGAGGCAAAGATGGGCATTTCTAACAGCATCTGCCTATACTTCAGTTCTAAGGCAGATGTTTGACACCTCATTTTAAGATCAGGCAGCTGAGTGTCGCAATCTTCAGTTGGAACATGGCAGAAGTATTCCCTGGAAGAAACATAATCAGAACCATGGTGCAAGATGATAAACACAAAGAGCTGCGAGGTCCCCAACCCCATATTTGCCTGCAGTTTAACTCGGCTTAGAACATCTCTTGCGGCAGAGAGGCTTCTGCAACTCAAAAGAATTTCTGGCCACCGATGCAGGTTACACATTTGCATTACACATTGATTTAAGTAAAAGCTGCTTTAAGCTTCCTCTCTTCCTCTCTGAAAACTCTGACAGAGTGTACTCTTCCAGAATAAGGGCAGAGAGGTAAAACGTTTCTGTATCCTCTCAGCCTATCAAACAAAGAAAAGATCCACCAGACCTAATGAAGAAATTGGCTTTCACTCAAGCCAGCTTCTATCACATATGGCTTTCTGTGGGGGGTGGATGGTGCAATCCATGTAGTTTAGCCCTCTCACTGTGTCAAAAATGCCAGAAGAGAGGGTGTGTCAGGAAAAATAAGAAGCTTCTTCCACTTTTATTGCCTATTGGCATGTGCATATTTTTCCCCTCCCAAAAAACTAAGGAGGAGTGAGTGTACAGCTTCCAATTTTTATTTTTTATTATTTTTTAAATGGAGAGAACGCTGAGGAGAAATAGGGAAATATGTTGTCTCTGTGGTGGAAAGACAATCAGGTTGGTTGCTTCAGATCATACTATAATAGAATTGCAGAGTTGAAAGGGACCCCAAGGGTCATTCTAGTCCAACCCCCTGCAATGCAGGAATCTCAACTGAAGCATCCATGACAGATGGTCATCCAACCTCTGCTTCCAAGGAAGGAGAGTCCACTACCTTCCAAGGGAGTCCGTTCCTCTGTTTAACAACTCTTACCATCAAAAAGTTCTTTCTTATGTTTAGTTGGAATCTCCTTTCTTGTAACTTGAATCCATTGGTTCAAGTCCTACCCTCCGGAGCAGGAGAAAATAAGCTTGCTCCGTCTTTCCATGTGACAGCCCTTGATATATTGGAAGATGGCTATCATATCTCCCTCTCAGTCTCCTCTTTTCCAGGCTAAACATACTCGGCTCCTTCAACTGTTCCTCATAAGGATGGAGGAGCCTGATGCTCCTCTCTCAGCAGAGCCAATGGGGTGGGCCTGTGTTACTAATTCTGCTGCTGCTGCAGCCTCATGGAATGACTGCCGGGTGACAGTTGCTGGAGAGAAGAGCTTGGTGGAGCTGATCTCTCAGCAGTGCTGATGGAAATGGTCCTTCAGTCCTCCGACTTCCTCTGCCGCAGCCAGATAAAACAGTCATTCCCCCTCCCTAGGAAACTTGGGGCAGATACTAAAATTAGGCAGACACTTGTTGTTTTTTGTCTCTCTTCATATCCTAGGGAATGTCCTACCTGCATTCCAGCAAAACAGAGCTTCATGGCCGCCTGAAATCTACAAACTGTGTTGTGGATAGCCGCATGGTTGTGAAGATAACCGATTATGGCTGCAATTCTATTCTTCCGCCAAAAAAAGGTACATAAGGAAGATGAATTCCTCACTCGGGAATTCCTCATGAATATTTGTAGGCTGACTGCATCTTATAGGAGAACTGTCAGGAAATGTGGCATTAATATTCTGTTAAGTTATTTCAGTATAGCACTTTAGTTATGGTATGACTATATTTCCCCCCAAATGCCTCCACTAAGCCACACAGCACCACAGCTTGAAGCAGGAGTGTAGCTACGAGAATCCAAGAGTGGTATGATGTGATTTCTGATGCCATCTGAATGAGGATCAGAAACAGTTGAAAGTGGAAGGTATGCCTGTGCCCAGGGCCAACCCTACAATTGGGCCGACTGAGGCAACAGCTTGTGGTGACAAATGTTGCCCAACCATTTCTTCTGAGATGCAGGGCCAGCCATTCTCCTTTGTCTCAGGAAGTAAAATTTATTGGGCTAACCATACCAGTGTTTTGCTTGGTTTTAGTTCATTTCATAAATTTCGTAAATTGCTTTTCGCTGAGCCCAGAAAGCAGTTTCCAACAACTTGCAATTAAAATGAACTTCATACTGTACAACAATAAAAGGAGCAGGACAGTCTAAAACCACAGAGCAGAACAACCAACTCTTCTAAAGGCTTGGGAAAAGAGACAGGTATTGAGTAGACAATTGTCAACCAATTTCATCTGCTTGTTTTTGTCACACACACATAATTCTCTCTCTGCTCCTCAGATCTCTGGACTGCTCCTGAACACCTCCGCCATGGTGACATATCTCAGAAAGGCGATGTGTACAGCTTTGGAATTATAGCACAAGAGATCATACTGCGTAAGGAGACCTTCTACACTGACAATTGTCGGGATCATAAAGGTAAACATTGTGTGTAATGAAAAGGCTTGATGACAGGTTTTCCAAGGATTGCCATTTGCATTTGCCATTCAGCAGTAAAATGCAATTTTTCCTGGGGAAAGTTTGAACATATGAAGGGGTAATGAAAGGGCATGGGCCAAGCCTTGCCCTTTCATTAAGGCTGCATGCACTGGGCCAGTGCCCCACCCATGTGCTCTGGCCTTTAGTTTAAAGGAAGCTGCCTTGCTTTCATGTTGGATTTCTACCTGTGGAGCAGGTTAATTATAAATCTACTTAGACTTTCCAACATGGGGATAAGAACCTTGCTTGACCACAAATGTTCAAATACTTGTAACAGGAATGTGGTAGGATGCCCAGGATGTGAGATGGCTGGGCAGAGGGAGGGAGAAATGGGGGGGTGTAGATTCTTATTCCTCTTTTTCATCTTGCATCTTATCTTGGTGCTGTGCCAAAGAAATGCAGATATCTTCCTCAACCTGTCAGTTCACCCCAGTAGGCACTCTTAATTTTGCATGTCTCACAAATTGAAAAACCACCATATGCAGACCTTTATCAAAGAATGAGTGTGTTCATTCAGATCTAGGATTTTGGTCTAAGCCCATCTTGTTTCATATAATACAGCCTTGACACAATCTGCTTGCCTAGAAAAGCTCTGCTTCTTGTGTTAAAGTGTCTTCTTCATGTGCTGAATTGTTCTGTATGTTATATCTTTTCCCCTCTCCTGTTTTAGAGAAACTTTGCAGAGTAGAAAGCAATAAAGGAGCAAGACCTTTCCGGCCGGATCTTCTATTGCATTCAGAGGGAGAGAAAAAGCAAGAGGTAAGGCCATGTTGAAAGAAAGCCAAGCTCAACTGAATAGTAAGAGCTTGACCACAAATGTTCAAATACTTGTAACAGGAATGTGGTAGGATGCCCAGGATGTGAGATGGCTGGGCAGAGGGAGGGAGAAATGGGATGCACAGGTTAAAACTAGTAAGTTTGACAGAGAGGAGTGTAACCAACTTTTTTTCTTCCAGTGTTTTGCCTTTACACCACATTAACATCTCCTGTTAACAATCCCAATGCACAGAAGCCAATGTAATGAGCTTTAATACATCATAATAGCTCCTGACTTAGCTGCTGGTTATTTTAACAGTTTGGAGTGGGTATGGTATCGGGGAGGGAGGGGTGCTATAGGTTAACTTAGATAACACTGATTACCTGGCAAGTGTGACCTGCATTCTGATTGACTGAAAAAGTGCTAGGGAAAATCTGGGAAGTGATCAAGAGCAAAAATTACCAGAGTTATGCAGCCAGTTTAGTTAACATGTTTCACAACTGGCAGAAAAGAGGTGTGTCCTTTTTTTGTGATGGTGGGGCAATTTCTGTTTCTGTTTGCTTTAAATTAAAGGCTAAGGCCTTGCATAAGACTGATAAAGAAGTATTGTGCAAGACCTCTGTATTGTTGTTGTTGTTGTTGTTAATAATAATAATAATAATAATAATAATAATAATAATAATAATACAATGTCTGCATTGCTTTGTTGTCTGCTCTTAAACGGAGTGTGTGCCTTTGATCATGTGGCAAAGGTATTTGGGTTCAAATCTCCATTTTGAAAGGGAGTTGCCTTTTAGGCTCCTTAGGAGTGAGGATGTACAAATGAGCCTTTCCAAGAGTGACTACAGCTCCAGACAAAATGGAAGCTGTAAGGAGAGGGAGGCCTTCTAGGTCTGTTTGGAATTACATTTTATTTCTTATAAATGCTGAGCCTGTGCTGGACATGTACAAGATATTGTATGGGACTATTTGGGTGTATCTTTTATGTTTTGTTCTGTTTTGAATAAAATTTTGTAAGTAAAGCTTGAATCAAACTAATGGGTCTGGACAACAGTTTAGTCCGAAAGGAGTAGGTTTTTATGCATCCAGTTGCTTCAAGCTGCACATTATTAAAATCTACAATACTTTGAACAGGGCATCTGCCAACTGGTGAAAATAGGATCCGCCCCCCCCCTTTGGTATTGATGGGCCACCAGGAAAAAAAAAGGATAGTTTGTGCTTAGGTGAGGATCAAAAAGAGATATAGGTGTGGTTATGGAGATCACCCACTGAAATTTCACCACACACATTACAAACTGCTCACCATAATAAATAAATAAAACACACTAACAAGCTTCCATACCAGGAGTGACTGCAGATGTAAAATGAGTTATTTTACTAATCAGATTTTCCATGGCAAAGGAAAAACTGGATTAAAACTGGACATGAGCAGCACCAATTCCACAATGAACTCCTATCTGGAATAGGTGACCAGCAGCAACCCATTACACCTGGAAAGGGCATGTCTACCTGAGCTTGCAAAAATAAGGAGTGGAACTTGGTCCTCCAGAGAGTGGCTGATTGAGTTATGGAAATGGTGGGAAGAAGGTTGGATATTGTTACAACATAGTCTTTGAGGGCAGTTTGGGTTGCTAAGGATTATGTGGTGGGGGAGCACTATTTTAGTTTTCATCACGGAAACCAAAATATCTAAAGTAGTCCTGTATTGGATTGTGCATCCCTAGGTATATCTGCTCGTGGAAAGCTGCTGGGAGGAAGACCCAGAGAAGAGACCAGATTTTAAGAAAATTGAGACTACCTTGGCTAAGATATTTAGGTATGAAAGTGATTTACTTTGATAGAAAAAGTTATGCTAAACCAGAATGATAGTTCAGAGGGAGATGTCTGGCAGATTTCCACTCTGGCCACATGGCAGCCATACACTGGTGTCATGTACATGAACTTCCTGGTGTTGTCAGCCTTCAAATTCATCCTTGTCCTTACAACATTCCCAGCAATTACCACAGCCAAACCAATGAAAGCTACATGGACACCTTAATCCGACGCCTGCAGCTGTATTCACGGAACCTGGAGCACCTGGTGGAAGAGAGAACTGAGCTGTACAAAGCAGAGCGAGACAGAGCTGACAGGCTTAACTTCATGCTTCTTCCAGGGTGAGTGCTGTCCAATCAGACAAGAAATCACTGGGCAGGGGCGGGGCTCTAAACAAGTTATCGTTATTGCTTATTTATAGGATTGTGTGCACCCCAGTCTCTGAGGAGCATGTAACTCAAGGGGTTCCAGCATTAAGCCAGGGTTTGGTTTCTTTGGAATGAAGGCCAATTGAGACTTTGATGTATTTAGAATATATGGCCTTGTTTACACATATACACAATCTGACCATAGGATAAAAAGCCTCAAAATGTTGACACTCCAGCAGATCTTGCTTCCCTACTAGGTTTCCAGGCCTCACAAACCCATAGCTCTGGATTCAGCCCACAGAGAAATGCCAAGCGTCTCTGTCCAGCCCAGCTAAAACTCACAAATAAAAACCCTAGCAGGGGTGATGTCAGGGGCACGCTATGTTGGCTGCAGCCTTCTGCAGATGTGTGCCCAGCTGTGGGATTCTGCCAACCTGACGCTCATTTACTAAATGTCTCTTACATTTTGCCTTAGTTGTCCTTTACTAAAATGCTCCAACCTCTTAAGCATTTTGTAGGGAAGATGCTCCCTTTTTGGTAATCTTAGCTCACATTTTCTGGATCATCTGCAGCCTTATGTTCTTTTTTTAGAAGTTGTAACTAGAACTGCAGGTGCTCTGTTGTGTGTGAGAGACAGACAGACAGACAGACAGAGATTTAAATGACTGCTAAATAATGAAGGGCAAATAAACAGAATAGTATATATGAACATGAAGTCAATCCAAGTTTGGTTTCAAGATAGACTTGTACTTCCTGACCTTGTGTTAACTACAGGTTTGAATCACATATCTGGAAAGGGCACAATTGGACTTACCCCATATCTTCAAGGAAGCGCTGGTCTCTGCCGGCATGGGACACAACTGCCAATAAGCTTTTGCCTGCCCCAGCCACCAGCTGCCATGGTGTAGCAGAGACAGAAATTTAGTAAAACAGAATAGAATTACACAACCTGGAATTCTGCCAGGAAACAGAACTTCCATGTTAAGAGAAAGGAATTGTGTGCTTGAGTTTGTGCATACAAATAAGCAGTTTCAACACCAGTTTCCAATTCTGAGCAGGTAGGTTAGAGTCAAGCAGAAGAAGGTTTGTCTCCTCAATTATAACACGAGCACCAATAGCTTATATATCTGTACAGCTGAAATGTCCTTGGGAATGAAAGAGGATCAAAAGGTCATCCTGTCGAATCTGCAAAACATGACCATCTACCCACTGACCTCTAACATGTTTTGAAAGGAGATGGAGTGATTGCCCATATCATTTGTGATTTAAAATCTCAATTACTTAGAATGGTGTTGTCTTTTATCATTACCAGGATTAATAGAACTACTGTACTGCCATATATTTTTCTGTTTTTTAAAGTGCACTTTGAAATTGAGAAGCTTCCTTATCTTCTTCCTTTTGACAGGCCTGTGGTAAAGTCACTGAAGGAAACTGGACGGGTAGAGCCAGAACTGTTTAAAGAAGTCACCATCTACTTCAGTGACATTGTAGGCTTCACAACCCTTTGTAAATACAGCACCCCTATGGAAGTGGTGGACATGCTCAATGACATCTACAAGAACTTTGATCAAATTCTTGACCCTCATGATGTCTATAAGGTGACCAGAACTGGGAAGAGAGAACAGAAGGCTAGGTAGAATGATTTGTGGTGAAAGGAGGGGGGTAGCAGAGAATTGCCACCAATCCTTTAAGGGGCTAATCCATGCTTTACCCATTAGTGTGGACGGGAAATATTGCGATAGATTTCAGAGGCAGAAAATTGAAAGTGCTTATGTGTGGGCAAAGGTCTGTAAGGAAACAGCGAACCTCATGTGCATGAATTTCCCACTGTGGAAACAGTTTAAGAGAGACAAAATAAAAGGCGGGAAATGTTTTCTTCTGAGACAGAAAGCAAAACAATGCATATAAGAAAAACAAAAAATAAAAGGTAGTAGTTATTTTTGCTGTTTAAAATTGTTGTGCAAAATAGGGAAGAAGCTTGTTTCTCTTTAACATTTTAAAAGAACAGTTCTTCGCCTCAGAGAAAATTACAGTCACCTGTAGATATTATACTGAGTACTATTTGCAACTCCAAATACGTGTGTAAACATGTTTGTTAATTGGGATGTGATAAGCATTCCTGAGCAATAAAGAACAGGAACTTTCAGGTTTTTCCTATATTGGATTGCTCTTTCGTTAGATAAAAAAATAATGACTTTGGATCTTGCTTCAACAGGTAGAGACCATTGGGGATGCATATATGGTAGTAAGCGGTTTACCAAAGAGAAATGGCAACCGTCACGCAGTGGACATTTCCATGATGGCATTAGATATACTCAGCTTCATGGGCTCCTTTGAACTCGGACATCTTCCAGGTCTTCCTGTATGGATTCGAATAGGAATTCACTCTGGTATGGTGTGATACATATCAAATATTTGATCAAAATAAAATAAAGGAATGAGGATGGGAAAGAAACTTGGGTTGGCTTCCTTTGACATAAGCCTACCCAGTCTGCTTTTCCTGAAACTATACATGACATGACTATCCTTTGAAATTTGTACTTCTCCAAATTTTGCAAAGCCATTCTCCAACTAAATACTGTGTTCAGAAATGAGTATGTTAGGGGGGAGTGTGGATGAAAAATACATAGCGTGAAAATTATATTAAAAACCGTAATATTAGGGGGAATTTCTTTATAATATATGGGGAAATATACTTCAGTGCTTGTGGGTGCTTAGAGAATGAAATAAAACAAATGAAAAGCAAAGCAAAATGCACAGAAAACTATGGGCCATTTCAGCATGGAACTAGGTACCTCTCCTGATGTTCACCACTTTTCTCTTAAAAGGCTTGATGATCACTCCCATGTTGGAGAGGTACAATGAATAGAAAATTCAATCTCTAGAGCCTAAAGCATTGGAAACAAGAAAAAAAGTACAGTTACAAAAGCACATACAGAAAGTCATAAAATGGCATAGGAGAATGTTGTGCCATTTGCATCGATTTACATACCAGCAGCGTCCAATAGTTACCACTTACCATCACATTCTAAAAAGTAATAGCAATAACAATGGGCATATTATTCAGGATACAAATCACATTTTACCAGGCACAAAAAAAATAATACAGAGCATCCACTGGAAAATGCGATATTCCTGAAACAGAATGCCATCTCAAAGGGGAAGTATTCTCATCGGCACGCAATAAATAACAACTAGAAGTTTGCAATGCTAAAAACAGATTTCTGGGATGACCCTTAGAGGCTCTATTTTAAAATTAATTATCAAAATAATTACAGTTTCTGTAACTGGCTCAGCAGCACAGAAGAGATATAAGAGCAGGACGTCTACAGAGACCCTTATCACAAGCATTTTTGGGGGAAATGCATCTCTTCTTCCTTCCCTTCCCTCCCCTGACCCCAGTGCTTACGTTTCAGTCACATAGTGTTCCACTAGAGAGAGTTATGCAGCAGCTGAACACAGCTGCTCTTCACTGTCTGCTATCACTAATGTTTGCTTGGACAAAATATTCTACTAGCACCTTAAAAAACCCCCACAGAGAATGAAGAGCCTTCTGGAAATTGGTTGCTTTATAGTTCAGGTTGCAGTCCTTTGAGAGGAAAAGAATCAACAGATCAAAGACTGAAGTATGACTTAGCGAATAAATGTTTTAGGATATATAATTGTTTTCAGTTCTGAAGTTATGTACAATATAATAAGGGTTGATGAACTGTGCAAGTGATGGCATTTTCAAAGGCAATCTTGTATATCATAGGAAATGTTGGCTTAATGCACGTGTTCTGTTGACCTGTCAAAAACCCTTCTGAAATGAGAAGTTTCTTCATTTCCACTTTGGTTATTCTCCTATAACAGTGGCTGTCTAATTGCTGCCCTTTTCACCGCTCTTTAGAGGGTGACTTTGAACAGAGGAAATACAGAAGCAAGGTAGTACAGTGATGATACTTAAAACTTTTGTGGGTAGCTGAGAGTGGGGGGAGGCATTAAATCCACAAATGCTCCTACTGCCTCATAGCTTCTGCCCCGCTGGAAGTTAGTCACTCTGAAATTAATAGAGCTACATGCTACTGCAATTTCTAAGTGGTGTGAGGTGCACTTACCAGGGTCTGTGTTTTCTTTTGGGCAATGAAGCACTGTGGAGACTGTGGTGTCTTTATAATATATGGCTTATTTAGACATATCTACAACCTGAGCCTAGATGCAGAGAGTACAGAGCATTCACATCCTAAGAGGGTCCTGTTCCTTCCATTGCCGGATTCGAAGAGACCCCAAAACATTGTGCCTTACCTTCTCTGCAGCATAAAACAGACAGCCCCCTCATGCTCTGGCCCCCCCTCCAGCTTGCAAGAGTGACACTTTTGTCCTGTTCCTTTACCTCATCGCCCAGTGCAATTTTCCCCTTCCTCCGGAACCACTGGCCTTTTGTCTCTGCTAACTATCTGTCACGTCAGGTAAGGGTTTCCCCCCATTTTCTGGCCTGCCCAGAGAGTCTCTGTTAATGGCCCTCTTAATGGGTTCATGGTTCGGCCATTCCAATGATGAACATTTGATGGCTTCCTTGATGGGTTAATGACCGGCCATCACCAGCCTTTGTTCTTCCAAAGCCCTAGCTGGATGGGGGCCTGTTACAAGCCCACTTTTGAGCTGGCCTTGCTCGTTAGCATAAACTAACGAGTTTCTGTGTTTGGCACAGTTTAATCAAACCTTGATTAATTCTAACTTTTACTAATTCCAGGATTTATGGGTGACTTGCACCCACAGATTCTGGCCCTGAAAATTTATACCATAGAACCATAGAGTTGAAAGGGAACCAAAGGTCCAACCCCCTACAATGCAAGAATCTACAATAGCAATACTGTAGTGGAAGAGAGACAGGCATGCATACAGGAAGAGGACAGAGTGAGTTGATTCAGCAGATGTCTGTAGCCTGTTGCAAGCTGTCCATCAACACCTTCATTTATTATTCTCTGTATTTAATAGCTGCAAGTCTGTTCTGGGGTGGGGTAGGATGCCAAGAAAAGCGATGGAGTTCATGCATCTACCAACTGCCTCCACCTTCATGATTTGACAAGTTCCTCCCCAGAAACAGTAGTCTTCATTGCATCATAGAAAAAGTATCAGCAATGGCATTATCTGTGGATGGGGGAGACAGAATAAATCAAATCTGTGAAAGTGAATACCAGGATCTGTGTGGGCATTATGCTTTGTGGCAAAGCTCTAGATTTGCCTTGTCTGGCTCCTGAAGTGCCCAGTATTGAACCAAATTAATCCCTGGCTGTAGAAGCAGAGAGGAGCACTGCTTCAAAATCACAAATAGCAGTCTTTCATAGTGAATTCAATCTCTAGGTTGTATTCACTGCTCATCCTACTCAAAGTAGACCCATTAATGTTAATGGACATGACTATGATTATCTTAGAGTCATTCATTTCAGTGGGTCTACTTAAAGGTAAAGGTACCCCTGCCCGTACGGGCCAGTCTTGACAGACTCTAGGGTTGTGCGCCCATCTCACTCAAGAGGCCGGGGGCCAGCGCTGTCCGCAGACACTTCCGGGTCACGTGGCCAGCGTGACAAAGCTGCATCTGGCAAACCAGCGCAGCACACGGAAACGCCGTTTACCTTCCCACCAGTAAGCGGTCCCTATTTATCTACTTGCACCCGGGGGTGCTTTCGAACTGCTAGGTTGGCAGGCGCTGGGACCGAGCAATGGGAGCGCACCCCGCCGCGGGGATTCGAACCGCCGACCTTTCGATCGGCAAGCCCTAGGCGCTGAGGCTTTTACCCACAGCGCCACCCACATCCCTGTGGGTCTACTTAGGGATTAATAATAATAATAATTTATTTATATGTCACCCATCCACTCTGGGCAGCTTCCAACAAATTAAAGCATCAAACACAGTAAAACATCAATCATTAAAAACTTCCCTATACAGATGTCTTCTCTTCAGAGGTCTTCTAAAGGTCAGATAGTTGCTTATTTCCTTGACATCTGATGGGAGAGCATTCCATAGGGTAGGTGTGACTACCGAGAAGGCCTTCTGCCTGGTTCCCTGTAACCTCACTTCTAGCATTGAAGGAACTGCCAGAAGACCTTCGGAGCTGGACTAAATTGAATACAGTCCCAGTTGTGCTTAGTTGAGCAGAAAAAGCCCTTAGACTTCTTATGGGTAGTCCGATTTTCCTTAAAAACCTTTGCTGCTTATTGCTAGCCTTAAACTCTGACATACAGGAATCCCTATTTAGGGAGTGCTGTTTAATCTGATTGAATATCCTTTGCTTGCTTCTATCAAGATATTTGGCTAAATAATAAATTTTGTTGTATGTCTTCATTGTAGTTTTGCTTGCCTATCTTATGATAGAATTGTCCATTTGTTGTTATTGGACATGTTTTTGTGATTTTGAAACTTTTGTATATCATCTTGTGTGTTTTTATCTTTATTACTTTGTTCCCTGTTCCAAGCTATAAATTCTGTAAATGAAATATACACACATACTCAGGCAGGACAGACCTTGTATTGGCCTGGTCAGATCTTGGCACCTCGGAAATCTGATTCCTAATGAGTCACATTGATGACTTCAAATTAATTCCTGCTCAGTTTATGATGTGATCTTGAGAGTGTGTGGGCTAATCTTTTCCTAGGCAAACACTCCCTCTCCTTCTTAATTCCTGCTCTGTGCTTTATTGTTTTCAGGTCCATGTGCAGCTGGTGTGGTTGGGATTAAGATGCCTCGTTACTGCTTGTTTGGAGATACTGTGAACACAGCTTCAAGAATGGAATCTACAGGATTACGTAAGGACAAATTCACATCTACACTGCACATTACTTTTTAGGATCAAATCCAGAGCTCTTTACCCAGAAGAAACCCTATTTTATCATAATAAAGTAGAAGCTGACTAGGTGACCTTGAGCCAGTCACTTTCTCTGAACCATATAGGGATTGTGAAAATAAACTGAGAGGAGATGCACTACACACAGCACCCAGAGCTTTTTGGAGAAAGGGTAGGATAACATGTAGTAAATAATCACACCATTAGAAGGTTTTTCTCAAAGGACTGCTAGAGTTTCTATTTCTGCTGTATTTTAGGTGTTTTTCTTGGTCCTCTCCTCTGCTTGGTGAGACATCTAACCTTCCTTCCGGCTATAAATATTCGGATTAAAGTAGCCACAATAATTAGTTCAGGACAATCAGTCTGACTGAAGCCGGTAGGACAAGTCCAATATTACTTGAATGCCTTGAGGATTATGATGTCAGTTGCCTTGCTCTGCTTGCAAATGCTATTCAGAAGATGAGCATATTTTTGAGACAATTGCGTCAGCTCTTTTTACTAATGGAACACAAGACTCTCATTATCTTAACTACATTATAGACTGGCACAACACAAAACCAAACATTAAAAAAAGCAAATTAAAACACTGTATGTTTGTTTGCATGCCTATAGCTCTACGGATTCATGTAAGTGGTTCCACTATTGCTATTCTCAAGAGAACAGACTGCCAATTCCAATATGAAGAGCGAGGAGAGACATATTTGAAGGTAACAAACAAATGCACGTCCCGGTGACCCACAACATTTTGCTGACATAGGCGAAGGACAAGATTTGTACCAACCTCCACTTCTATCCAGAGAAGCTGACTGGGCGGACAGTAGAATTTTATTTCAACAACATCCTCCACCGCACTGGGAGGCAGCAGGCTAGTTTAGGTTTGGAGGGGAGTGCAGGGCAATGCACATGGCAAATACAGTTCTGTCTTCCAACAACTTGCTGCCAATACTGCACACTTCCCACCATCTACACCTGAGGCAGTTGCCTCACTCTGCCTAATAGAAGGCTGACCTAACACATGCAAACACACACATGCGTGTGTACACACACAGCATGTATTCAAATAGCCATAATTTTTCAAAATCAATCTAGAGGTGGCACATATCTAATAGGAGGAAACGTATTATTATTATTATTATTATTATTTTAAATTTCTAGTTGGGGCCATGATCCAGTGAATTTCATAGGTGGGTAGGCATTTGAACCTGCATTTTCCACATCTAGCCCAACCTTTCAACTACTTCATCACCCTGACTTTCTTGTTATCTCTAACAAGACTTGTTGCCATTGAGGCTAGACAAGATTCCTGCATTGCAGGGAGTAGGACTAGATGACCCTCAGGGTTCCTTCCAACTCCACAATTCTCTGATTCTGTGAACAGAACTGTAATCTCAGGTAGATTATTCTGGTTTCTTTTCCATATGTATTGGTTTTAGTTTAAAACACCCAGTAGGAATATGCCTTATGCTCCCCATGTTCGTTAAGTAAATTATGCAAAGATTACAAAGTGCTGCAATATAAAGAATATAAAAACATACAATACAGCAATCTAATCTCAAAGTATTATTCCTTATTTTGTATTAGGGCAAAGGAACTGAGATCACTTACTGGCTGACAGGAGTGAAAGACCAGAAATACAATCTTCCAACACCTCCTTCTGTGTAAGTGATTCTTGGAGAGTTGGTTGTTAACAGAATGCACAAATCAATATTTACAGTATCCTTTCTTTTCTCTCTTTCTGTGAATATCTTGTTTGGCGTGCACTTGGCAGAGATCAATATGGCAAGTGTGTAAATCTGCATGGGGACGCATGCACATATCCTAGGATCTCATGAATCCTCAATGTTGTGCAACCCACTATTCTCCCTCCAGCTTCTCCCAATGGGAAAAACCAGTGGAGGATGGAGTGTTGCATTATGCACCGTTTGTGCCATGGCCAAACACACACCTTTATACTGCAATTTTTTTGTATTGAATAACAAGGTCTAAAAATTATCCTTATTCATTCACACTTACTCAAGCATACTAAAGCAGATGTCCAGTCTGAACATAGGTTGTGAAGAGGTCAGAGTTCAGGCGATGCATCGCTACTACATGAATCTCCAACATCCTAGGTTCACAATTCCTTGCGTTACTCTTTTCATCTGATATGACAAAAGTTACCGGTATGTCTGGGTAGTGTTAATCAGTCTTATTTATACCCATATTTCTGGGAATAAGCTCCATTGAACTTGGTAAGACCTCCAAGTAAACTTGTAGGATCACACTGTCAATGACTTGATGAAACTGATAACAATGGATGTTAGTCATCTAATTTTTACCCAGAATAGACCCATCAGAACTAATGAACATGACCCAGTTAGAGCCATTAATTTCAGTTGGTCTACTCTGAGTAAAACTTAGTTGAATACCCCCCCCCCACAAAATTATTTAGCTAAAACATTTCAGCTTCTGCCTGCTTCATTAGCAAATTTGGTTGGATTTAAAATCAGGCAGTTGGTAGCCCAGGTGTTCTAAGAACCCCCGAGAACAGAGGGAATTTCCAGCAAGGTAGAAGCTGTTCTATAAGTGGGATAATTAAAAAAAGAATGAAAGGCAAAGGTAAAAGTTTAAGAATTATCCTCTAAGGCAAAGCCATGTGGCGTTATGGTGTTCAGTCTGTATCTATACAAGTCCTCTTGTTTTGACTGCCCCAGAACTAGGGTTGTTTTTTTCCACTGGAAATATTCCCAAGTCTGAAAGGTCAAAATGTTTTGTAACAGGTTGTTCAGGGGGGTTGTGTGTGTGTGATTACTGACTTAAGATTTCTGAAATAGGCATGAAAGACTGTAGTTGTTTTCCCAACATACTGCAGATGGCATTCAGGGCATTTGCATTCTGTAACATATATTATAGAACTAAGGTGGTATTTTGGTTTATATAATAGGTCTTGCCAGTCATTCTGCTCTTGAAGATGAGTTTCCCTAGTTGTGTTACAGCTGTGTTACAGATCTGTGACAAAGCTTAAACAATTAACACAGTAATTTCAGGCCTCTATTTTGTCAGTCACGTGTCTTAACTCCTGGTGTGAACATCCTGCTACTCCTTACAGGCTTGCACACTGGTGTGTTGGGAGGGGCCCATAAGTAGGCAACACTTTGACCTAAGGTGAATTACACATGTGGTGGCATCCCTGCCTTTTTATTTAAAAAGCATTTCTAAACCACTTTAGTTTTTTTTAAATTGCTAAGCAGTGCACACACTATATACAATACAAACACAATATCCATTGAAACAAGCATGTTTTTTAAAACAAAAACAAAAATGTTTGTTTAGGTTTGCTCTTACAAAAAGGTAAAAGATTGGGGGAGAGAGTAGGATATATTTCCTTTATCCAATTCTATTCAATCATTTTTATTGTTTGTAGCCAATGGCCATTACAATACAATATGAACACAAATCACAGGATATCACAGGCGACTGTTTTGAACAACATTTGGAAGTATACCACTGTGATTATTTTTTCTATCTGGCATCTTGATCCTGTGGGTCGATGAAAGATGTGATGTTAATACAGTGGTACCTCTGGTTATGAACTTAATTTGTTCTGGAGGTACATTCTTAACCTGAAACCGTTCTTAACCTGAGGTACCACTTTAGCTAATGGGGCCTCCTACTGCTGCTAGGCCGCTGGTGCGAGATTTGTGTTCTCATCCTGTTCTCATCTTCTGGGTTAGCGGAGTCTGTAACTCAAAGTGTTTGTAACCCGAGGTACTACTGTACTGACATGCACCACTGAAGCTGATGTGTGTGCGCTCTTACTTAGTTTTTCAGGTAGCTTCTCTACCTTTAATTTATGAGTGGTACAGCTTTGTTCATACGAGGTTATTCAAGGAAGGGGGAATGGGATCCTTTGCTCAAGTGACACTGGTGTCGGATTATAATTCTTGGAATGTTTATTACATTTTTCTGTACTGAGCCTTCCTTCTTTCTCTTGCATCACTTGTTTCCCAGTCACTCTCCTTTTTATTTTTCTTCTTTTATAGAGCTGAAATATTAAGTACCGTATTTTTCATGTATAAGAATAGGTTTTTTCCCCCTAAAAAATAATGTCCAAAATTTGGGAACGTCTTATACATGGGTAGATCTCTCCCCATTTTCTTAAATTGGAGTCCCTAAAAATAGGGGGCGTCTTATACATGGGGGCATCTTATAGACAGAAGAATACAGTAATTCTTCACTACTTTGAATATCTGCAATAATAGGCTTCCTATATTAATGTTGTTGATATATTGATGATATTGATCTATTTTATATTCCAAATAATAGAAGATACAGAAAGAGTAAAGGAAACAGAGAATAAAATTTGACAGCTGTTCTCCCAAAATCTAGAAGCTAAATTTTGGCTGGGCTTGACTTGGTACAGTAAGGGATATTATCCATGTCCAAGGCAAGTCCAGCTAAGCCTCTGATATAGATCTGAGTGTCACTAGCATACTGCCATAATACTAGAACTCAGGGGAGTTCAATGAAACTGAATGTTGGAAGAGTCAGGATAACCAAAAGAAAGCACTACTTCATACAGTGCATTGCTAAACTGTGAAATTTGCTTTCACAAGAGGTGATGGTGTTAACCAACTTCGGACAGCTTTAAAAGATTAAACAAATGCATGGAGGATATGGCTATCAATGGCCAGGATCACTGTGTTTGTGGTTATCCCAGAACCTTTGGGACCTTTCTGACCAGAGGTTAAGGTTCAAAGGAAGTAATGCCAGTGGAACTCCTAAGGAAGGTGACAGTCCTTGGAAGTTGGTTGCAGTGATGATCTGAAAAATTCTCCATCAAGAGCTCCAAACAGAGAGCTCCAGAATAATGTGTAGTTGGCCTTCAGCATTATGAACGGATTTCAAATATCAAGTAAGGAGGGTTGAATAGAAGAATCTTTGAATGCCTTATAATTAAGAATCATAGTAAATATATCTCTCGAGTCACTTAAACCAATTTTCTCCTTCTATTTCCAGGGAGAATCAGCAGCGTTTGCAAGCTGACTTTGCTGAGATGATAACCAATTGTCTTCTGAAAAAGCAAACAGAAGAATTTCAGGTGCGAGAGATTACACGTGTGCCTAGTTGTCGCAAAGGCACTCTGGAATACCTGCAGTTGGCTACAGAAAAAACCAGTACCTACCTGTAAAACTGGATAAACAGCACGACCCAAGAATCCCTGAAAGTTAGATGTAAATAATATAAGACAAATTTTACACAACCTACATATTTGCAGTATTGTATGGGTGGATTGAGGACAGAAATGATCCTACCTTTGTGAGTCCTCTGTAGTTAATATTCTGAGGGAAGAACATTCTTTCTACTACATTGGCAAAACTGCAAATGACTCAATGCAAGATGCTTCTTGATGGATTGGAAGCTTTACTGATATACTGCTTCCTAAAATTGAGGAGGAAGGAAACAGGGCAGCTCCCCCGAGGGCACCTCCCTTCACATCCAGTCTGGTGCTTGTGGGCTAAAGTAGCAGTGAAGGAAGACAGCAAAGCAGGCACCTGCACAATGCAGATACAATTTTGCACTATGATAAAGGTACAGTGGATGTCAGAGGGCAGTCCCATTCTTGCTATAGCCTGCATTGTCATGGATACAGCTGGAGTGAGGTCTGGTGCAATTTAGAAGTATGGGAAGACTGCATCCATCAAATATTTTGTAAGCCACTTTGAGAATTGGGGGAAGTGTTTTACATAAAATAAGCAAGCAGTACATGCACTGTATAAAACTGACTATGGGTCACATTCTAGCCAGTGTAAAGTTTTATAGTCACGTTAGACTTCAATTAGAGACCCATTTGAGCCGCAGTCCATGGGTATAAATATGCTAAGCCAGAAAAAATGACATTTTGGATAGCGTACCTGAATATATTTGGCAGTAACCCTCAATATCATGGGCAAAGGCTGCAATGGAACAAATAACTGAAAGCAGAAAGCAGTTAAATTGAACAAACTCCATAGCTGTATCATATAGTGTGATGAACATTTTTTTCATTTGTATTTGTCAGCTGTAAATCATAAACTGAAGCTACAATGTAACAGCTCATCTATTTCTCCTTGACAATAACTTGTAATTTAGAGAAGTGTGAAACAAGAAAAGTTGCTTTGTTGTGAAATAAAGTACACCTATAGCTGAAAAATCTTGTTTTGGTTTAAGAAAACAAAACCATAACTGCATACACGTCACTGTTTATTAGTAGAACTTTTATCCTTAACACCTGAAATAAGGCACACCAGCACTTCCTGTGGGTAACATCTGTAGCAGACTGCGTTTTTCCTGCCACAGGTTCCATGTAAAATCAGTTTGGGGCAGAAGTCCAGTGTGGATCACTCTTGAACTAATGATCTTCTGACCCACATGTGAGAATACTACAGGGAAATTAGAATGGTAACCATGGGTTTGTACACATCATTCTACATTCATATACTCACCATTTTGGCTTCTTGCAGCTGAGAACAGAACAGCACCCTCTCCCACACAGCAGAAAATCTATTTGACCTTGGGTTGATTTTTTTCCCTTAACTGTCATGAAGTTGGGGATTAAAAATACCACTACCTAAACAAACCTTTGGAACAAAAATATCCTTTGATCTTGCCTCTGGACTAAATCACAAGATTGCTTGGTGTCTTTAGAGTGGAACTTTGATAGGAGACTCTTTTCTTCATAGAGCACATGACTGGGATATTTTCTCAGAAAATGCCAATCCATGTGCTGTTTGGACAACTGAAAATGCTGGGTGTCTCACAATATAACAGCACAAAAGAGGTTTGTACACACAAAGATACTATAGAAAGTAATGCTTTTTCTTTTCATGTTTAGTGACATGGATTTGGCTAATCAAAGAATGGTCTTAAACTTGAGAGGTTTCAAATCCCTACTTAATTTGGTAGAACAATAGTTGTTTTCTGGTGTGGTGTGTAAAATTTAGAAATGATCTCAATTTGTTACAAAATGGACTTTAAAAAGAAATGAAACTCCAACCCAATACAGTATTACAGAGAAGCATGGCTACCTGCAATTTTTGTTTTTCTCATAAAATACAAGTTTAGCTTTCCAGAAAGTTATCCCACTCTACAATTGTAAAATGGGTAACACTACCTGGATCTGGCTTTACTGGCTCTTTCTCACTTCACCACCAAAAATTAATCTCCAGTTTTGCTAACATGTCAGATGTTTGGTATCTAACAGCCAGCTAATCTAATTAATAATATAGTCTAATAGAAAGAAATAAGCCCCATTGAGTCCAATGGAAATTACTCAGTGCAGCTTACTTCCAAGTTACAAACCACACACTTTGGCACTTTTCATGATACTGTTCAGCATCTTTCCCCCACCCCGAATTTTTTTGGATGGGATATTTATCACATTTTGTAAACTACCCCGGTCTGGAAACATTGCAGAAAGATAGCATCTGAGTCTTTCATATATTCATTCATGTGTGTGCGTGTGTTGTGCTTGCCTTACTTACTCACAGAGTATCTAGCCTGAAAAATAGCTTTGGAGAACTTGAATACCCATATTTTTTACCACTCTTTTAACAACACCTCAATAAGATCTAATTCCGTATAATGTGATCCCGAACAGAGACTCTTAAGCACGCCTTAGTAGGGTTTGGAAGGGTGGTTCATAACCCACTTTTAAAACACTTCATTTTATCCACCCCGATTAGCAACTACCACAGGGAAGCGAAAGCGCACGCGGGGCGAATCCCTTCGCGTTCAGTAACTTTAGGGAAACCACAGACCGTGCGTTTCATTCACGGAGAAACGCCTTCTTCCCAGCTGCGCCTGACTGGCCTTCAGCCTCCCTGCACAACTAATAATAATATATACAAAGAAATGAAAAAGTCGAAAAAGCCCGGGGCGGGAGAGGAGGTGGGTGGCGACGTTCCCGGTTTTCTAATCCCACCCCGCCAAGCCTGCTAGGGCGGGCCTGTTGTGGCTACCCCGGGGCAGCGGCGGGGCTGGCAGAGGGCGGGCCATGCCCTGACTGAGGACGGCAAAGTTAGCCAAGTCGCGGGGCGCCTCCGTCTGAGACACAACACGCACATACACCAGGCGCAACTCAGCATGGCCCGGCTCGGCGGCGGCGGCGCCTCTTTCCCGCCCCCTTCCCCCTCCTCCTCCTCCAGCCGGTGGTGGTCCTGCTCTTGGGGGCTTTTCCTTCTCTGGGCCGTGGCAGAAACTCGAGCAGGTGAGAAAGACCACAGACGCGTGTCTGGAAAGTCCCCGGGAACAGCTTGCCCAGGCTCGGTACTAGGATACGTTTAGGGGAAACCCGGTTCCAAGGGAGGAGGGAGGGAGGGAGGAGCAGCCGGACACCTTTCTGGAATAGGCTGCCTCTTGTTTTCACCCCCTGCTGCCCCTTGCTGAAAGAGATGCAACATTTTTAAAAAATGCTCACGGAGACGCCGCTCGTTCGGAGCTGAAACGGCGCCGAGCGCTGATAGGTCGAGGCTGCCCAGGTTCTAACATTTCAAAAGCAAAGGGACTTCTCCTGGAGGAGTTGGGGGTGCATGGCATCTCTGTGGGGCTGCAGGGTCTCCAAACTCATGCAGCTGTTTTGTTGCTCAAGAAAGACCCCATGTCTTGTCATAAGAGGATGTGTGTGTTTTTGTGTGTGTGTTTTGATGGATCCCAAAATGAGACATCTCCTCCAACTACCACCACCATCAATGGTAATTTTACTCTATACTACAAAAAGGCGTTTTTCCTTGTAGTTGTAACTTTTAATGTTCGTACCTTAGCCGCTGTCAGGCCACATGGATCGAAAAGTGTCATCCAACAGTAAAAAGAAATGCAGGCATAAGCTGCAGTTAAGCAAAGCTGCCTGCATAGCTTGCATAAAGTCTTCCATCCCTCAACTGCTCGTTCTGCTAGTCGGAGAACAAATTGTACACAACACTTAAGGGATGTGAGACACCATCAGGGCACTCTGTTTTCTGAATTATAAAAAAGCCTCAAGAGTCCACATCAAAGCTTGGAAATATTAGCGTTGTAGGAGCTATTGCCTTGCAGATGAAGTTGTGTTTCCTGTACAGTACTTTTAAAAGAAGCCTTGCAAAATAGAAGAAAAGCCACTGAATCCAATATTAGCATACTGTACTGTGTTAATGTAAAGTATTTTTATAGCACATCGTCATCATAACTATCACATGGCATTAACAATGGTGCTTGTAATCTTGGAATATATTATTAAACTGTGCATGAATCAGTTGAAGCTATGAATTAACGATGTTGCACAGTCTTCAGCTTTAATGAGAGCTGAAAGAGATGTGACAGCAGCCACATATATACCTCACTTGTGGCCCACCATGCAAATTGGTCCATCTGTGGAGAATCAGGACACCAGCAGATAATATGTACTGCTGGTGTATTAATTCTATGGGTGAATGGGCAAGCTGGCATAGTGAGTTCGATTATACATTCAAGTTGCTGCAACTCTTGCACAATTTCTGCCTCAACATATTCCCCCCCCCCCCGTCTCTGTTGTTTTAAATCTTTATTTAACATTGCCCAAACAACTTGGACGCACCTTTAGAGCTGCTGTCTTAAAAAAATAATCTAATATACAATATTATGGCATATCAACATATTTCCATTGGCCATATTATTCTTATGTCTCACTTTGTATTTCCTTTGAAGGGCATGCTAACCTTTTGGACGCAGGTGCATGTCAACTCAAAAAGCCTGGCTTTCTTAACTTTCTGACAGTAAGAGCTGTTTGACAGTAGAACAGACCTCTGGGGATCCCTTCCAACTCTTTGATTCTAGTGCTTCAGCAGAGACATAGACTATGTACACAATATAACTTTAAAGCATATTTGAAGCACATTAGTTGCCTCAAATAATTTCTGGAGCTACAGTTTAAGGGTTGCTGGGAACTGTAATTCCGTGAGGGGTAAACTACTGTGCTCAGAATTCTTTGAGGGGGAGAAAGTGCTTAGAAGGGTGTACATTACTGCAGTGGGACTAGAACATGGCAAAGAAGTAATACAGTAGTCTTGAAAAAGTTGTGCTTTCACAGCACCTCAGAAAAAGGAAACTTCAGCAACTGCGATGCTTCAGGGAAGCCCACAAGTAGGATAGGAAACCTTTTCCATTTGTTCAACCAGTTACTCCTTTTTAAGGGACACAGGTGGCGCTGTAGGCTAACCACAGAGCCTAGGGCTTGCCAATCAGAAGGTCAGTGGTTCGAATGCCCGCGATGGGGGTGAGCTTCCATTGCTCGGTCCCTGCTCCTGCCAGCTTAGCAGTTCGAAAGCACATCAAAGTGCAAGTAGATAAATAGGCCTGGAAGCTGTTTGCTGTCTCCCTTGGCCAGTAAAGCAAGATGAGCGCCGCAACCCCAGAGTCATCCGCGACTGGATCTAACGGTCAGGGGTCCCTTTACCCCTCTTTAGCGGATCTAATTGCAATCATAACCCTGATGAGCCAATATAAATAAAGCTACAGAATGCTTTGAAGCCAGAATTTGGCAAACTCAATGTTGTACAAATGTAGGTAAATGGATAGTTAGCTGAGCTACTTAAATGCTCAGTGAAATATCTGATTTGGCACCATCGGTCATTTCTGCCTGTACATCCAACTTCCGAAAGGGTACAAAAATTTTGTTTAATGTGTACAAATAATGTAATAATAACAGAAAGGAACTATGCATTTCTGAAGATGACAAATGTTAAGCTTGTCCTTTAACTTCAGGGTGTTGTTTTTGTGGCAGAAAGTGAAACAGGTAACTCTGATCAAGTTCTGCAATTGTGGCTACTCAGCAATTCAGAAATGATTTCCTCTAAAAGGAGATATGGGAAGAGAAACCATTTAGTTCCTTTGCTGTCATAAGTTTTAAAAGCAAAGAGATTTTGGGAAGAATGATTTCTGATCATGTTTTTGAAATCAAAGTTGACACTTTAAAAAATACAACTGACCAAAAAGGAAGATTTAAAAAGGTGTTGGTTTTTTTTTTTTAAAAATAAAAATAGTTCCCCCCTCCCATTTGTTAGTGCTTATTTGAAGCACTTGTATATTTATCTGGATAGAGTTAAGATTACCACAATAAGCTGAAAATAAGTGTCAAAGTAGTTCTACCATCCTGAACATAGTTCTTTCTTTAGTTTATCACACTTTAACATATGTATAGATGGAAAACCTGCAAATGGAACATTGTGACTTGTCTGGTATGCATGTTGTTATCTCCTTAGGTCTCATTTGTTGTCCATTCCCTTTGAGTCTAAGGGTGATGTTTGCAATTTTTCTTGTTTTTCCATTTTTGTGTACGCTTTGTGTCTTTGCATAACTTTGCACATCTAGATGACTAGAGGGTGGAAAATACCTGTAGAATATGCTTAGCTGTGCAATTCTTGCCAGAAAAAAGTGTCCACGCCCTTGCAAGAAGAACTAGAGGGAGGATAGAAATTGAACCACATTAAATTTATGCTAAGTCTAGATATGCAGCTATTTCTATGGCAGGGATCCATGCCTTTAAAAATCCAAAAAGTGCAGCTTTCTCCATCAGTATGTCTTTGTAGGAAGAAAAGCTGTACCATTTGGATTTCTGCCTGCAGGTGTTAAAAGCACAGGAACCCTGCTTTAAAAAAAAGGTGTAGCAGATCTATCTATAAAGCAGTGTACCTTAACAAAAAAAAAACAAAAAAAAAGCCTGCATTGATGTGCACTGTTCTGTGGCCTGTTGTTTGGTGGTTTTATTTTAGGCTTTTAATGTAAATGTTATTTGTTTTTAATTGTGATATTTTTGTAACCTACCCTGAAGCACAGTCCTTCAGAAATTCTGGCACATCCACGCTGAGGTCTGCCCAACATGGGCAGCTGAGCAGACAAATCACCTCAGCTCTGCCTCCCTTTTATACTTTGCATGCTGATTGCAGCATCTGGGCTTGATGAGGCAGGTGACCCTCACCTGCTCCAAGCCTCCTCCAGTTGAGGAATCACATACAGTGGTACCTTGGTTTACGAACTTAATCCGTTCCGGAAGTCTATTCTTAAACCAAGGCGTGCTTTCCCATAGCAGCGGGCGACTCAGTTTACAAATGGAACACACTCAACAGGTAGCGGAACATGTTCTGCTTCGAAGGCAAAGTTCACAAACCAAAACACCTACTTCCGGGTTTGCAGTGTTCTTAATCCAACTCGTTCATAAACTAAGCCGTTCTTAAACCAAGGTACCACTGTACTTCTTCCCAGAGCTAGTGAGCCCCACCTAGCCAGGTAGGGAGCTGGGCTGTGGGCCCTTGTCTGCCTCAGCCTCCTGGAGCACTCCTCTTACTGTTCCCTACGCCTCAGAGCCTGCCATATTTATGGAGACAGGAACCTCTGATGCGTCCTAATGCTCTGGTTCCTGTGCACTGACTCCCATCCCCTTGTCATCCTCTGTCACCCCGTGAGTGCTTCCTACACCAAACTCTCCTTCCCCATCCCCAGCTTGCCCTGGCGCGTCCCAGTCCTGGCTACACTCTTCACTGGGATCTTCTTCCTCTTCCACATTGTCCTACCAGTTCATGGCAGCTACTTGAACTTAGTCCGGTATTCCTTCCTTCCTTCCAACCTGAAAATATATTTCTTAAGAGAAACTCATTGACACATGTTGATTAAAATTATGTTGCCCTGCCAGTTAAAATTGCCTCAGGCTGAACCTGAGCTGGCTTCTGTAGCAGGCCCTCCCTTGTCTGTGAATAGGCATTCACTTCACAAACAGAAGTACCAGAGAAAATAGATGAAAAAATACAAATGGACTGTTAATATAGATTTGCCACCAGCGATTCACTGCTGTGTCAGTGAAGCAAGATGGCAAATGTTTTAATTATTAATACTTGGTTGGAAAATAGACCTCTCACGCCTGATAGACATTATAAATTGTTATTATCCCACATAGTAATTTTGGTTTTTGGGATCAGAAAATAAAATAAACTTCTGTGGCAACTTCTGTTTCAGTGTATCTGAAGAAGTGTGCATGCACACGAAAGCTCATACCAAGAACTAACTTAGTTGGTCTTTAAGGTGCTACTGGAAGGAATTTTTTTTGTTTTTAAAATAAAAGAGAATGCTTGCTGTTCTTAGGTTGCCCAAAAGAAGCAACATCATCTGTATTTTTGAAATGGAAGGCAATGTGAATTGCTCAGCCAAACAGTTCTGCCTTCACAGGAAATGTTGAGAAAGTTTACTGTAATTAAGTTGAACTAGCTATAAAAGTTAATCAACAAACACCAGCCATATGTAAACTGTGTGAAGGTTCATCTTTGCCAGACAGAAACATCAGGTAACCTTGAGGTGCAGTTATAAAGCTGGCAACAAAATGACCCTCTGAATTTAGTAATAACAACAATAAGTTCATTACCATTACATCTACAAGCAGAACTGAGGGTTGGGAATTTATATTGGCTAGTCTAGTTTTATCTGGATGCATTTTCTTCTGTTATTTTCATTTTTCTCTTATTGATAACTTTTCAATCTATTTTTAAAATAAGGGTGGGTTTTTTTTAGAAGATCTTCTCAAAAATGCATGTTACCATAAAAAAAACTTTCAAGTCAAAGCTGAGTGTGTTTGTTTTCGTGTGTCTGAGGTCTTATTAGTCGTCCCATATCTAATTGCCTCAGTTTGTTGTGCCAATTGGGTTGTTGCTTTTTTAAAGTTCCAAAGGTTAAGAGGCTTTTTAGTAATACAGTACGGTAAAAAGCCAACAACAATGAGAAAACACCCCATGGTATTTGTGGTTAAGCAGGTGTTGATTTACCTCATTTTCTTGCCTCCTTTTCCTCTAAGACTTTGCTGTCACAGTCATCTTAACATTTCATGTTTTCTTCTTTCTTTCTTTCCTCACCTTCATTTATAACTGCTCAAATCTTGCCTGGTGATAGCCTGGAGGCAAGAACACATCAGGTTATGCTTACAAGCAATTATAAGCAGACTGAGAGCGTGCTGTGTGTGAGTTTTACACACAAGCCTTAGACTGGGACATTGTTGTGGTAGATGTAAAAGGAAAAACGTTTCTCTTCAACCAGGCATTTGGCTGACTGACATTCTATGGCTTTTAAAATGTGTTGTGATGGGAGTTATTGGTTTGTTTTTCTATTACCATGTATTTAGTATTTTTATGTTGTGAATTGCCCAGGAATCTTCTGATGAAGGGCAGTATGCAAATTTAATAAACAATAATAATAATAATTTGCACAGTCATGAGGTCCTTGGAGAAAGTATATGATGAAAGTGAAACAAATAAAGCTTCACTTTCAGTCAGCTACTGTGAATCTGAAGTTGTCTGTAGCTCTGATTGGCACAAGTTATTTCTTTAGTTGTTGAGCTAATTTTACGAAAATTGGCCAAAATCTACACTTCCTAGACATTCCAGCTATTTCCGTCCACTGTTTACTACGGTTGTACTGCAGCTATGTCTGAGTTCTGGATGTATGGCAGCCCTAATCTAGAGGGTCACAAGTGAGTCAGCCTTGGTTTAGGAGCAAATTTGGTGCGGCAGGACTCAAGACATAGACTGTTTTCTCTTCACTTCTGGGAGAGCTTGCTCTCATGTAAAAGCTATGCTAAATTATCATCATTCCATCTATTTTATTTAAGAATCAACTGTATTGTTGTCAAGATAGCAAAACAATCAAACCACAAACATCATCATACACTGTTTGGTGTATTGTGAGAGAGTGAAGGAAAGAAAGATGTGTAAAATCAACCCAGGGTCCCTCACTGTTCTCTCTGGAATAAGAAAAATATTGCAACACTTGTCATAAAAGACTTAAAATACTTGGAGGCTGGAGTTGCTTGAACTGAACAAAGTTCTGTGCATGGTTTATTTAACAAAAGTTGCTGAGGAACACTGCTTACTAAGGAGAAGTTAATAAATTGTTTCTTGGAATGCTGTTGGATGATAAATTGAAGTGCTTCTTGGAAAGAAAACCCTGAACTTAAATACAGGCGCCCGCCATTTTGTGCAGGGGTTCCATTCCTGGGCCCTATGCGCATCAGGTTGCTAAAGCCCCATTACATCCTGCCCCTGTTCTGTCCTCTTCTGGGTCCAAAAGCACACATGCATCACTGCCTGTACTTGCTATTAAATAAGAGTTGCCTTGAAGAGTAATTACAACCTAGTAGCTGGAGTGATTAAAAGAATGACCTGCAATCCTGTGGACTGGGAAAGTGTATGTCCTGAATATGAATGTCAGTTCCTCCTACGATGACTCCCAATTTCTTTGTGTTCAAGGACATATTTCCATACACCTCTCCTTGAATGGACCTATGAACATTTGTTCTGCTAAACAAGATCCTAAGTGAAATATTTCAAATACATAGGTTAGTTGAAGAGTTTCTGTTGTTGTCATGTTGTGTTAAATTGGATGCTGCATCATCCAGGTTTTGCTCTGTGTGTGTGTGTTGTCTTTGCTGAGACTGTGGCTTACAACGGAGACTAGACGTATCGGTCAGGACCTGCCCACCCAGGAAGCAAGGTGCTGCTTCAGGGGAAATGACATCTGTGGCATGTTCCTTGGAGGCTGGATCTGATTCCTCCTTGGCAGCCCCACCCCACCCTTAAATGTTGCCTTGATAGGAACCTTTTGGCGAATAGGAGGCGCTGCTGGTCTCCCCCCACTCCTAGGGAAGAAATGAAGGGGGCTGCCCTCTGGGAACTTTTGGGTTCTGCACCTGCCCAGCATGATTCAGAGCACTCGTCCCACCCCACAATGGTCTTTGATTCTCACTTCAACCACCAGCTAAATTTGATTTGATTCCTTCCTACCACCACATGTTCCAAGTTTAGTTCGTCGCTCACCCCCCCCATTCATGACGTAGATATTCACTCCTCTCTTGTTCCTGATACAAATCTTTATTCCCCACTAGTTTTAAACTAGTTTTCCCCACTAGTTTTAACTAGTTTCCTCCACTATTTTAATGTTTCAGTATTTTAATGTTGTATTTTAATCTTGTTTTTAAGTTGTATTCATTCAACTTGTTTTTATTATTGCTTGTTAGCCACTCTGAGCCTGGCCTTGGCTGGGGAGGGCAGGGTATAAATTATTATTGTTGTTGTTGTTACTAAATTAGATCTTCACTCACCCCTACTTCCCTGGCATAGAGGACCCTGCCATTTTGGGGTTCTCCTCAGGTGCAAAAATGTATTGGGCCAACCCTGGTATCAATTCAAATAAGTTTATCACTTTGGTTTACATCAGATTGTATCCTGCAGCATAGCAGCTAAAGTCTGGATATATTCCTAGCTAAATGGGACAGGGGGACGCGGGTGGCGCTGTGGGTAAAAGCCTCAGCGCCTAGGGCTTGCCGATCGAAAGGTCGGCGGTTCGAATCCCCGCGGCGGGGTGCGCTCCCGCTGCTCGGTCCCAGCGCCTGCCAACCTAGCAGTTCGAAAGCACCCCCGGGTGCAAGTAGATAAATAGGGACCGCTTACCAGCGGGAAGGTAAACGGCGTTCCGTGTGCTGCGCTGGCTCGCCAGATGCAGCTTTGTCACGCTGGCCACGTGACCCGGAAGTGTCTCCGGACAGCGCTGGCCCCCGGCCTCTTGAGTGAGATGGGCGCACAACCCCAGAGTCTGTCAAGACTGGCCCGTACAGGCAGGGGTACCTTTACCTTTACCTTAAATGGGACAGATCTGGTTAACACTACAATTCATTATTAGAAATAGCTGTTGAAGGTTAACAAAAGCCTTCTGTGGGCGTCCGTGAACAAGCAAGGCTCATATGGAACTTATTTCCAAGTATAGATGTTTGTTTGCGTGTGTTTATGTATGGGTTTTTAAACAGTAGCATATTTCACAATGTTTAAGACAGGGGTCTGCAACCCGTGGCTCCGGAGCCGCATGTGGCTCTTTTACACCTTTGCCGCGGCTCTGGGGCAGATACTAGCGAGGGGAGGAGGCGCATTGTGCGCCCCGACACTCCCCACTGTGGTGGGCGCTGTACTGGCTGTGACGTCGCATGGGGGCGGTGCGTGCGTTAGTCACACACTGTCCCGGCGTCACCTTCCCGCCCGCTGTCAGATCGGAGGGCAGCGGCACGCATGCTTTAAATGTCGCAGTGGTTTTGCGGCTCCCAGTTTTTTTTCCTTCGGAAACGGGTCCAAGTGGCTCTTTTTGTCTTAAAGGTTGCAGACCCTTGGTTTAAGGTAAAAGCTCTCAAGTGGTTTTGTCACATAAAATGTGCTTCCTGGTGTGTGAAGGTATGAAACTGAAATGCTGTAACAAAGAGCATACTAATGAGAAAATTAGGTACAAGAATACCGTGGAGATTGGAAAATGCAGATGTTGAGAACAGAGAAAGTAAGTTACCTTATTTCAATCAGATAGGAACATTTTCATAGTGGTAAAAGAAACTAGCTTTTTATTTGCTATGTCAAAGTGTTCAGGCAAAATGGTTTCTTGTAGCTATCAGTGTGACAGATTAGGCCTACCTTGAAGCAGCATAAAATTACACAATCATCCAGAAATAGTTCAAAGAGAATAATTCAAAACCTGAATTTGTATGTAGAGAGTAAGTGCATGGTGCCTATACATCCTCTGGTCTTAACATTTATTGTTCAACATTTTTATGTGAGTGTTTATCTCTGATTGGCACAAAAACATCTTTTTCATTTCCTTTTGAAGTCTCCAAGGCTGAGCCATGGATGATGCCTTTTGGAGGAAATACTTCAAAATCTGAGCTTTAACATCCTTTAAAGTGCTTTTGTTTTTGTAAAGATCATGCATTTTCTATATTTTTGTGCTACAAATAGGCCAGAGACTTTAGGAGAGCATTGGGGGAGGGATGCAATTGGAAGTGGGAGGTATGAAAGTCCAATTTAGTGATTGAAAATCTTGTTGCAATTCTTAGGACTGAAGCCACTGTTCCTTTTGGGGGGGTTTTTTAGGGGAGCTAATTATTATTAATGCTGATATATTCTGGTCCTGGAAAATAATGGCCATGTTACAACAAACGTAAAAGAAAAAAATATCTGTTCTCTAGCTCTAATAAGCTAATGGAATTATCATAAGCCTGTCAGAAGAACCATTTATAATAATATGGGTTTTTATTATTGACAATCTGTTTTATGTACCCAACCAGACACACAACGGTTCTTAATGCACTAATTTGACTAGGAAGGAAATCTCTCCCACTCACATTTACTAATAGTCCCATGGGTGATATCCAGCAAAATCATACCCAGACTATTGAAATAAATGGATTTGAGTAACTGAAGTTAATTTATGTAAGTGGCTCAACTCTGACTGTAGGGCTTGCTGATTGGAAGGTCGGCGGTTCGAATCCACACGATGGGGTAAGCTCCCGTTGCTCAGTCCCAGCTCCTGCCAACCTAGCAGTTCAAAAGCACATGCAAGTAGATAAATAGGTGGGAAGGTAAACGGCATTTCCATGCGCTGCTCTGGTTTCGCCAGAAGCGGCTTAGTCATGCTGGCCACATGACCCGGAAAAACTGTCCGCGGACAAACGTCGGCTCCCTTGGCCAGTAAAGCAAGATGAGTGCCACAACCCAGAGTCGTTCGCGACTGGACTTAACTGTCAGGGGTCCTTTACCTTTACTTTTCCCTTACTCTGAGTGTAACTTAGAAACCACCCATGGAAGAACAGAAACATTGCCACCCGACCCCACTCCCACTCACTCCACCTCTTTCCCGCTTTTCTTCCTAAAGTAACACTAATGTCTCAACAAATGAAACTGATCTGTAGAAAATGTAACTTGAAAAAAGAGACATTGCACATACTTTAGTAAACCAATAAATCTTTAATAAAAATATGTTGTTGTTTTTAAAAGGAACCACCCGTTGATCTATATTTTCCTATTGAAATGAGTTATCCAGTACTTTCTGTGACTGCCATTTGCAGTATGGTATTCTATTTTTCCAATTTTCTCTTTGAATTATTTACAGATACTCACTATGCCACCGTATATTGGCAGAAAACTGAGAAGACCTTCCAGGTTAAGGATGTATTGGATAAGAATGGTGATGCTTATGGCTATTATAATGACACTGTACAGTCTACAGGATGGGGGGTTCTTGAGATCAAAGCAGGCTATGGTAACCAGCCCATAAGCAATGAAGACCTCATGTACGCTGCAGGTTACTTGGAGGGCTATCTCACTGCTTCGTAAGTACCTCTGAAAACTAAATGGAGTCATCTGGTGGGGCATTACAAGTATTTCCCACATACATGTTAGAAGAGAAGAAGAGCCAACTGAGCTCATTGTATATTTATTGTTACCAATCTATATTCCTTTTAATCATAAAACGTGTATTCAGTGAACAAACATGGAACCAATATATAAAGCAATATACATTTGAATCATCTGTAATACACAAATAATAAATAGCTGAGTCACACATCAGGGAACACGAATAGTAAGTTTTAGTAAATGTGTAAAATTTAATATTGAAGATGCTTGCTTAACATTAGCTGGAAGGGAATTCTAGGTATGTGGGGGATGTAATTGTTCATTAAGAGAGAGCTACATTGTACTATAATAGCTTTCAGGTTCCTGAAATCTGTCTGTGATCAGCTATAAGTAAAATACACATTATCCACAATTTATTTCTGAATGTGGTTTATAGCATCATATGTATTACTAAACATGGCTGGACAAAGCATCTTAATGTTCACTTGGCCTTAAAGTAATGGGTGGATGGGACGGAAATGATCTGTATTGATATGGTAGCGCTTCAGAGGCATCCAAACTTATTAGATGAAATGTGGTATCTTATTCAAAACTTGGGATAAACTGGATATTTGATTAGTGTTCTGGGCCCATCTTGCCAAAGCCAAATTGGGACTTCAAACCAACATTCATTACGCATTATGAAGTATCACAACGCATGACGTATGACTTGAGATACATGCTGGACATTTGGCCTGGAAGCAGATGGCCTGTTGTTTTTTTAAAAAATGCATTTTCATAGTTTGAGCTATAATTTGAGGGATGAGGAACGCCTTTTGAGCTGGTCTGTTCTAGCTCCTGCTGGGTTTCATCAGCAGATTGGGACAAGTTCCAACGAGCTGGGTGTTGCATGGCTAATGGCACTTTTCTCTTCCTGGAGCGCTTCCAGTTGTGTGCTATAACGCTATACTGAGTGGTGTGTCATTATGCTCTACTGGATGTGTGGGAACTGGGGATAACATGCCAACCTAAATATTATGCTTGTTCCTTCAGAAGTATGAACCAGTGAGAGAGGTTATAGTTGCCTCACCCTCCTACTATGCCAATATCTTTGCTCGCCCATCTCTTCTTCTAGAAGTTGTTGGCCAAAGCTAAAGTCCTGCTTGCTACAAGAAGTGGGTAGGTGGTGGTGCAAGGACCGTGGACTAGCTGAGCAAGGGGTCAGGAGGCATGGGGTGTTCCAGACCTTTTATTTGCAAATTTAACAAAACTTTTTTTAAAAAAGCAATAAAATAAAATTAACAGCTATCACTTCACAATGTGAATTCAGTAACCATCAGCACATACTTCTTGGGTTAAACATGTCAGTTAATATAAGTTCTCCAAATGTCCATATAGGTATCCACACAAAACTGAGGTCTATAGGAAAATAAGTCCAAATGTAGCCAGGGCCATGAGGTCCAAGACCATTGTCTAATGGACAGTGGGTATTTGTATTTATAACATTTCCCTCCTCTTTTTCCCCCCCCAGACACATGTGTGACCATCTTGCAAACCTGTATACACAGCTGATTAAGAATGTCCTCATTGAGAGAAAAGTTAAAGATTTTATGCGGTATGTTATAAAAAGAAAATGCTCTTTTCACAAATAGGAACAAAAGTTGCCTAGAAGTTCCAGTCACCCTGGTGATATTTTCTTGTTTTTGCTGAACAAGTTGATTCAGGAAAATATTGTGCCACAATAAATTTCTTAAGTCTTTAAGGTTGCGCAACATTAATGGATTTTTGTTTGAAATAGACAGTCCTCTAGAAGCATCCTGGGAGATGTTGCAAGAGTTGACAGTGTACGATGTCTATAGAGATGCAAGTGAACGCCCTGCACCACCCTGGTTCTTGGGCAAGTAAATTTCCCTGAGAGTATATAATATACAAACTGTTCCCATATAAAATGATAAGTGAAACAAGTTGAAAGGTGACCTGATTTAGTTATCTCTGAACAAAATAACATTTATTAACACAACCTGAGTTTTGTCAGCAGGCTACAATGTTTGTTTACTTGATAAATGTGTGATCTGAGCTAAGCATGTTTACTCAGGAGCAAGTGCCAATGGATCCCAGTTGGACTTAAGGCTATCTGGCCTGTGAAAACACACACTCTAAAGTCACATTTTCCTCTCTACAGGAAACAAGATAAGTGGACCAGACAACAAATTAAAAAAAACAAGAATGACCCCTTCTGGAGGCATGCCGGGTACATCATTGCCCAGTTGGATGGGCTGTACATGGGAACAATGGAGTGGGCTAAGCGACAGCAAAAAACAGTAAGGCTCATCACTTGAAGGGGAAAGAGAGTTTAGACAACACACAAAAACTGAAAGGGTGTTTTTACTGCTTTCTTCTTTCTTCTTTCTTTACAGCAAAGAATCATATTTACTGCAGCTATCAAATAGGTGCACAGTATCAGAGTTTAATATTAATTCCAGAAACTCTTGTTTGCAACTCTAGGCTTTTAGGAAACTTGGGTGGGGTGATGAAGGTCTGTCTGCACATGCTCTACCATGCACACAGAATGGGAAGTGACACTGCATGCAGCTGCTGTCATTGTAGCCATAATTGTTGTGTGGGCCGGCAGCCCTCTGGGATATCAATGAGGCGGCAGCATTGAGAATTAGCAAGTTGAGAACTGACTGGAGACAAATAGCTTTCACCTTTATTGCCAAGCTCAGCCATTTTATTTCACACTGGGAGAGTAGAGACACGAATAACTAACTGACCTTTCCACCTTTGTCTAAGCGCTGCAAGGAAACATGGAGCCCAGGGTTTATGAAGGCAGGATCAGCAGCATTTAAAATAAATAGCACTTATCCCCTGATGGTTTTGGTTCCAGCTTTCTCTGAAAGTAAGCTGCAGAAACAAAGAAGAAATGAAAAAGGTTGAGAAATGTTTCACAACCAGATCTGTGATCCTATTAAGCACCTTGGAAGTAAAAATACAGTTGAAATACATTGACCTTGCTTCTGGATAAAATACATTTTGAACATGTGTGTATTATACTAGAAGTTAACACAAATATGTTGTAACCTTCACATACCACATTGGCCTGAATATAAGCCTTTCCCCCCCCAAATTCTGACTGTGAAAAGTTAAAGTGCTGCTTAAATTCGTGAGCTTACAAAATGGGCTTTTACGATATCACTGCTGAAACAGACATACCGTAAAATGGAACGGGTGTGAGTGCCTAAACGGGTGTGAGTGTTCTAAATGATTTCTCACAAATGGTGAGATTGCAGCTGTGTATAAGGGAGGATTCATTTTGGGGATAAGGGCTGTGGTGCAGAAATGAACAGTCCTCAAATATTCTCAAAACTTAGGAGTGTTGCTCCATTATTGTTTATCTGTCTCCGTGTGCACACATGTAATACCAAATGTATTAATTATCATGACTTCCACCCTTTGCATAATGTCCTGGGAGTAAGCTGCATTGAACTCAGTGGTGCTTAATTCTGACTGCATAGGTTCACTTTGTAAAACGCACTGATCTTTAACAAAAGAACTTTAACCTGCTGAAATGCAACAGTTGTCTTTTAATTAGACATGCAAACAATCTTGCAAAGAAGTGTTCCCTTTGAAAGTTCTAGCATGAAGTAGGGACACCATCAGAGTAAAAGAAAAACATATCTCACCTCTGCAGGATTTTTGTTCTCATTCTCTGACTTTGGTCACATCAGATGAAGTGCATGTTTCACAAAATTTGCATGGAGGTAATTTTGATGTCAAGCATAGTATTTTGCAAGAAACTACAGGATAGAACTGCACCATGGATAACATTATGTGTACACAGATTAAAAAATTGTGAGTGCACAGGAGCCAGAGTACAGTATACAATAATGTATACACAGGACTCATCCCATTCTGTCCCTCATTTAGTCACTTAGAAAATTAACTTAACCCTGTGTGTACCAAAATTAGGAGCAGTTTTTCATATGATACCAGCTGTAGCAATATTTGGCCAGTGCCACACGCTGTTGTGCACAACCTTCCCCCCAGAGTTTTTGTTTGTGTTGCACTGATCGAGTCAGTAGTAGTGATGTACCGTATTTTTTGCTCTATAAGACGCACCAGACCACAAGACGCACCTAGTTTTTGGAGGAGGAAAACAAAAAAAATATTCTGAATCTCAGAAGCCAGAACAGCAAGAGGGATCGCTGCGCAGTGAAAGCAGCAATCCCTCTTGCTGTTCTGGCTTCTGGGATAGCTGCGCAGCCTGCATTCGCTCCATAAGACGCACACACATTTCCCCTTACTTTTTAGGAGGGAAAAAGTGAGTCTTATAGAGCAAAAAATACGGTACATGTCTTTTCTGTGCCTTACTTGTCAATCTGGTACTTAAAAGCACTACAGTTCTTAAAGTGGGTCATTCATTCTCCCTCTTCAGCATCTGAGGCACAGCAATCTGAAGAAATTAAATTATACACAGCACAGAGCAAAATGGGACCCAGGAAGAGAGCATAAAATCAAATCTGTTACAACAGCTGGTCTGTCTTTGCATATTCTGGATGGCTATGATAGAAGTAGTATATAAACTGTCTTCTACCTGTTCTGAGCTCCATTAGAAGCATCTGGCAGAATTCCATGAGCTGCTTTTGAATCCATTCTCTTTGCCTTCTTACAAAATAAGCTCTGGGCAATAATCACCTATATTTGTTTTTCAAGGATCCATATGCCTATATAAACAAAAGTCTATTCCATCTGTCTCTTTGTTAGGTCAGTTGTTACTGCAGCATCCCATGCTTGCCAGATCCAATAACTCTTTAACTTCTGACATGCAAAACATTCCTTAGTCAAGCAACTTGGTTGGTTAGAGCAGGTGCTGATAATGCCAAGGTTGCAGATTCAATCCCCGTATGGGACAGCTGCATATTCCTGCATTGCATGGGGTTGGACTAGATGTTCCTCAGGGTCCCACCCTACTTCACAGTTCTGTTATTCTGTCTGTTTAAATACCTCACATAACTTTGAGCACCACCTTTCCAATGCACTGTCAAGCATCCTTTGCTCTGTCATTAGTCTAGATCTTAGGACCAAAGCATAACTCTTTGCTGAAGGAATTTATTTATAGTCACATTTTCCCAAAGAAATGAGGGGTTTAAATATTGAATATATTTAGAGAACTATGTATACATAACATACAGTTGCTTTCCTTAATTTCATAATTTCAGTGTTTAAAGTCTCTGTCTAAACCACTTCTTGCAAATATCTTGGCAAATAGTATATTTTGGTACTAGCTGCATCTAAACTCTTATATTCAAACTCCACATAATTCTCTACCCTTCTTAATCTTAAAGAAGGCTAGGAAAACAATCTTATTCCCTGCTATATTCTGAAGAAGCGTACTGAGAGGATAATTTTTTTGAACAACTTTATTGCTACACAGTACTTTTGATTAGGAAACCAACTTCTACCATGTCATGATAATTCTGCAAGAATTATTAGCAAAGAGTTTGGATTTCCTGTTTCTCAAGGCAAAACTAATTCTAAAAATGATATTGAGAAGAAACATACTGACTTGCTGTAGATTCTCTTCTGTTCTAGCTGTTTCATAATATTACATGCTCAGCTTGTATTATTCCACAGTACTAGGAAATCTGCTGTTTTCACAGCTACCAGCTACAGTTTCCTCTGCTGACATGGTTTCCTTGAGCTCCTAATCCCCAGCCCATCAACCATGCTGAAGGAGGGAGGCTTGCCCTGGCTCTGTCATTCACTAATTGTGCATTTTTTGAGGGAAGAACCACCTTCCCTCTGTCTCCTCCACCAGTCCTACCTAGTAACAGGAAGAACTGCAGAGGGAAGTTTTGTCCTACCACATCTTTCTGCATAGGAACAAAGGAAACCGCCTTGTGGCAAGTCAAATCATTGGTTCTTCTAGCTTAGTATTGTCAACACCTGACTTTCTGGGGTGCCATGCAGGAGTCCTTCTTGGCCCAACTTGGAGATGCCAGGGATTAAATCTGGGACTCCTTGCATGTAAAGCATGTGTTCTACCCCCTCAGCTACATTCTCAGTATAAAGAGAATGGGATACAAAATCGCCATTAATGGACAGCCACCTCTTCTGAGGGAACCAGAACCGTGTTCACCATCTACATGGCAGCCATATTGTTAATCGAGTTCCTCAACGAACCCCTTTTCAAAATTGGCATTGCAGTGGCTTTTTTTCAGCTCTTGAGTAAAGAGGCCAACATTGGTGATGTTGCATATCCGTTTGCAGAAAAACGGCAGTTTCACATCTGATCTCTTCAAGAAATTTCAGGCCTGGACTATATCCAGGCCTGGTAATTTGTTAATTTTTGATTTGTGCACTAGAACTAAAATTTCATTACTTGTCACTTGACTTAGTTCTTCAGACTCCCTCCTTGGGAAAAAAAGTCATTCAGGCATAGACAGCTATTACTGTGTTGGGTACCACTGTCATGGGAAACTTGAGTCTAAAATTACAAATATCTCATCTCTCTTTACTTCCAGCCTCTCACTCCCTTCCAAGTCTATTTCCTGAATGCAGTTGGAGATCTGCTTGACCTCATTCCTGCCTTATTCTCAGGTTCAGCAATGACTAATTTAATGACAGGAGACTCTACACAGTACCTATGGGATATGGGCCATTGCTCTGCTCTGATTAAGGTGAGACCAACAACATTCCTGTTTCTATGTTTAGGCCTAAAAGAAAAGATGTAACCAACTGCACCCCAAAATGGAATTTATACTTTGGACCCCATTTTTCTAAGCCTCATGCATACATAGCATTGATAATTAAATCTCATACTGTTGGTTTTACAATACTTTTTTTTAAAAAAATAATAATAATTGTCTTTGTCTGTTCTCTCTAAAATAGCCCCACTTTATTCTGGGAGAAAGTTTCAGAAGTGTCCCAGTCAAAAATGTAATCAAGATATTGGATATGCAATAGTTTGAAAGAAAAGTCAAGTCCTAAGAATTCCCTCTCTCAATCAGACCAATATTTGCATAAAATGCATATTTTACTAAAACTGATGTTCACAGAAATGGCAAATACCAAACTAAAATATATTATTGAAGAGAGAATTTTGGATTTATAAATTTTTCATATACACCTTGGAAATATACAACAGGTATTCTGATATGGAATCTAAGCAGATGTGCAACATAAGAATTCAAATATAAGTAAATGGAAGGTTTAAGATGCACCCTACTGACAGTGTTTTGACAGGCAATCGAAAATGTTGAACAAAAATGTTACAAGGAATATCCGATTCAGGGATATGGATGCTATTTCCTTTTAAAAGAAGAAAAATAAAATTAGTCTGTCTTTAAGCTGCCACAAGACTCTGTCATTTTGACTGCATGAGACTAACATGGCTACTACTTCTCTTGGCTAGGTCCTCCCTGGATATGAAAATATATTATTTGCTCATTCTAGCTGGTTCACATATGCGGCTACTTTGAGAATCTATAAGCATTGGGACTTTAAAGTTGATGATCCACAAACGAGCTCAGGCCGTGCTTCATTCAGCAGTTACCCAGGTAACTTAGATGTGTGAATGGAATTCTGTGTGAGTTTGTTACGTTTGAATGCAGGAGTCTTGCCTGTATGCTGTAGAATCTCATAGTTTGCTGCCCTGTAGGAACTTGAATTCAAAGGCAGATAGGGCAACAAAGACTTTATTATCCAAATAAACCTGCAGATTAATACGTAGCAAAATTTGCTAAATGGTTAGACAAATTGGATATGGATTTGGGCTGGTAAGGAGGTTGTGCTTCTTCAGTGGACTAAATCCAAAACTTTATTGCTTAGCCAAAGGTCATCACTCATAAAACAGCACAATAAAAATGGGAAGACCATTCAAAATTTGATTAATACAAACTAATAGCATGACCACCAGCTGACGTAATCTCCCTCACCCTCACTGAACCAGTACCATTGAGTTTGCCCTAAGGAGACTCACATCCCTGTGTGTGTGATCTTGGCACCAGCCCAGTGATACTGGATATCACGAGCCTGCTTTTCAAGTCTGCCACACAAGCTTCAACCACAAACCATTACAAACCACCCAAGTGCCTAGTAGTGTTTTTGTAGTGTCGCACCTACTGAGAACACCGCATCCTTCAGTCAAAATATTTCAAGATGCCTCTAGCTGGCCCTGAATTAATTCCAGTTAGTGTGCGTAGGAAAAGGTAGATGGAATAACTTTCCTTCTTAAAGCTATGCCCCAAACTTTTAACAGCATGTTTTTAACTGGCTTTTTTACCTGCTGTTGTCATTTTGGTGCCTGGCAGATAATTTATTTTTAATTTTTAACTGCAGTTGTAATCCTGTCAACTGCTTTATGCTGCTTTTATAATTTTGTAGTTTTTAGTTTATGTTTTTTAAATATATTTGTACTGTAATCTTTTTATAAACCACCCTGGGAATATGGTTGAAAGGCAGTATAAAAGGTATTAATAAACAAATACCTTGCATCCTATGTTTGTGCAAGCAGAAGGCAGCTTGAAAAGTCAGTCACTCCTTCCCTGCCTCCAAGGGTGGTTGGAAGCCTTTTCAACAGTGTGGGCAACAGTGTGCTAGGAACCTGCAGAGCACAGCGTGGGGAACCGCTGGTACAAAATTCCTCAGCTCGGTTAGCAATCACATGGGACGGGGGCAAAACAGCACCTCTCCAAACTTTGTGAGGGAGAAACTTTGTGAGTGCAAGATTTTGCATGTGCTGAGTATAAGGGTTTGATTGTTAAGTGTGCCTGCTTTTAACAACAGTGCAATATTGTACATGCATGATTGGGTGCAAGAGAAGAAACATGGGTATAGGAAGAGAGACGTTAAGAAAAGGAAGAGGTCCAGAGAGGTGGCATGTGTGTGGTATGGGATCCCTGTGTGAATGTGCCACTGGTCTTATTATTTTATTTATTTCTTGCATCTATACCCACCTTCCCTTCCAAGGAGCTCGAGGTGGCATACATGGTTCTTCCCTCCTCAATTAATCTCCACAACAGCCCTGTGAGGTAGGCTAGGCTGAGAGGCAATGATGAGCCCAAGGTTGCCTAGTGAGTTTCGTGGCTGAGTGGGAATTCTAATCCTGGTTTCCCAGGTCCTGGTCTGACACTCTTAACCATTACACAACACTTGGCACTTGTAGAAGATTTCTGTTCCCTTGCTGTGGTGAGAATGGATGGATGCTGCGGTATACATTTATATGCACAAAATTTAAAACAGCTTGCCTGGAAATACTTTGTGCAGTGCTTGTAGTGGTCATGCTGTAGCCTTCCCACATGCTGCTGCCTTTCTACCTGTGCAACACCCCACAATGGAGCATGCTTTTATTTTATTTTTTATCACAATAGGGACTGTATTTTATTTTATTATATTTCATGCTTGTACCATTTTCAGCACAGTCACTCCTGTTTCTGATCATGTCTGGCCCTTTGGGGGAACTGCTTGAACATCACCTCTCATTAATAAGGCTGTGGTGAATGAGGCTGCAAGGGCCCAGTGTTCTCTACAAGGTTTGCTGAGTAGCTACATGGCTTGGATCCAGAAGATGCAATCAGAAACACTTTTGTTTGCATTGATAGAATTATGGGGCTCATTCAAGGATCCTTGAGAATGAGCGATAGGGAGACTGGCTTACAGATGAAGTAGATAAACCGTGTCAAGAGGCAATTTCAATTACATCAAATTCTCATAAGCCCATGCAAATAGAGAAACACAATGCTGACTAGGCAGAACTTCAGAGAGCCGCCGGTGCTTGTAGTTTTCATTTTCAAGTACTTTTCCTTAGGGGTGCTGATTTCCCCCTGCTATTTTCCAGGGCACATACCTGTTACAGAATCACAACCTACAAAATTAGTTCTTTTTTTTTTTTTTGCAAGTAAATTTTTATTCAAAATTTGTAGAGAGAAAAAGAAAAAAGTACAAACACATACAAAAATAAACATTTTAACATAACTTATTCATCCTATTTTCATGCTATACAAAAATAAAAACATACAATCATACCAACAAATAATATAAACCTTGGGCTCTACTTAGCCTTTGACTTCCCTTCACCCTTTTGGTAAGTATCAAATAAATCCCAGGTAGCGTAATTAGTTTATTAAAGTTTATAGTTATTAGCTGATAAAGTTTTTCTAATACCGCCAGTTCCTCCTATATATCCGTTCCAATATATTTCCAAAATTTACACCAATTTTTTTGAAATTTCTGGTCATCTTGGTCTCGTATTCTGCTTGTTAATCTATCTAGCTCAGCATAATTAATCATTTTGACCTGCCAGTCACTTACATTAGGTATAGTTTCTATTTTCCAGTTTTGTGCCAGCATAATTCTTGCGGCTGTGGTGGCATAGAGAAATATTTTTTTATCTTCATTTTTTATTTCCTTACCCATAATTCCCAGCAAAAAGGCCTCAGGTCTTTTGGGGAAAGTATATTTAAAGACTTTTTTAAGTTCATTATAAATTACTTCCCAAAAAACCTTCACCTTGTTGCATTGCCACCACATATGGTAAAGGTCTCCCTGCACTTCACCACATTTCCAGCATGTCTTATTTTCTGATCTATACATTTTAGCCAATTTTGCCGGCGTGAGGTACCATCTATAGAGCATTTTCCAAACATTTTCTCTCAAGCTCGTACAGGCCGTAAATTTAATATCTCTATTCCACAATTTCAACCACTTTTCAAATTCGATGTTATAGCCGAAGTCAGATGCCCATTTAATCATTGCCTCTTTGACTTCCTCGTTCTTTGTATGCCATTCCAGTAATATGTCATATAATTTAGACAAAGTTTTGTTTTTACCTTCTATTATTTCTATATTGAATTTTGATTTCTTATCCTCAAAGCCCATTTTTCTTTTATCTTGCTTTAACATATCATTCACCTGATGATATTGTAACCAACCGGTGAATTGATCCTTTATTTCCTCATACGGTTTAAGTTTAGGCCCTTGTTCTGAATTTCTTACCAAATCTTCGTAAGTGGCTGTCTTCCCTTCCATGTTGATCTTTTTTATTGTTAAGACCTCTACCGGTGAGATCCACCATGGTGTTTTTCTTTCAAGAAGATTCTTATTTCTTTCCCAGACCTGATATATTGGGCCCCTGAAAATATGATTTAGGAAAGCCCGATGGACTTTCACCTTCTCATACCAGAGATATGCGTGCCACCCATAGCAATTATTAAAACCTTCTAAATCCAATAGATCTCTGTTCTCCAATTTTATCCAATCTTTTAGCCAAAGTAGGCACGCTGCTTCATAGTATAAACTCAAATCTGGGAGAGCAAAACCTCCTCTTTCCTTTTTATCAGTTAATATTTTCATTTTAATCCTTGGTCTTTTCCCCTGCCAGATGAATTTCATCAGGGTTCTCTGCCATTCTTTACATTGTTTTAAACCTTTAATAACTGGAAGAGTTTGAAATAAGAACAGCATCCTCGGCAAAACATTCATTTTAACCACTGCTATCCTCCCTAAGAAATTAGTTCTAAGGGCTGTGTACATGTCTCTGTGTGATACCTTTTAGAAACCTATGTGGAACCAGTGAATGTGAACACCTAGGAAATTGTCATGTCAGCTGTTTTGCCATCTGCAGTTTTTAGATGTCTCTGTAAGAGAGTTATAAGCTCATGTCACATAAGCAGCCCATTGTGAAGCTCATAATGGAACTGAATTGTGACTTTGATGTTGTTCATTTAACTTAAACAAAGCATTCATTTCATCTTTCTTTAATACTGTATTTTATAAAATATTATTCGGTCCTCCATGGACTACAGAGGTTTCATCCAATGTCAGGGGATTCTCTGGTAAATGGCTGGGTGGTTGTGGTGTAAGTCAGTCTGGTCAATTTTATTTTATATAGCCAAAGGCCTTTACAATGGACAACAGAGAATAAAAGGAAAACTTTCTTCTAAAATCATACAACGTAGCCTGTAGGAGTTTACAACGTAAAAAGAAATTGACTACATTAAAATTTTAAATTGGAGTTCATTCACATAGCTGGAACGGAGCTTCTTGGCTGCCAGCGCAAATTTGGCTCCCTGGTGTGTAATATATAGATGTTTATCTGCTAGGAATTCAACTGTCACTTCCTGTGTGGATTGGCCTGGAAGCCAATTAAGAATTGGCAGTATAAAGTTTCCTCTGGGCATTGTGTACAGGGGGCAAATCAGAAGGTAGTGTATGATGTCCTCTACCTGACTGCATCCATATATACATTTCAATCCTTATGGGGAATTATTTGATAACTAAATATTTTGAGGGCATCTGTTGGAATCTTAGTTCTACAAAGGCCCTGTGTAGCTGTGGGAAGGTCAGTCTCTCAAGGTGATGAGGCCTTAATTGATTGGTCATAATTTAGGAAGATTTCTGGACTCCTAATCACTTAAAAATAGGAACAACAAAATGACTCTAAATTAGACTGCAGAAATGAAGACAGGTGGGCAAGCCAGGGATGGATTTTTGTGTGGAAGGTCTGTGAGCTCTCTTAATCCCTGTGTTCAGATGTTCAGAGGCATTGGTTCCTTTCATTCTTAGCTCCAGATGGCGGATCTTGGAGTTCCACTAAAATATGAAATAGATCCTGCAGAACTGACACCTCCCCTCCCCTGTTATACATCTATGGACTGCGCTCAAGAAAGGTGGCTTATAAATTAAATTTACAAAAATCATCCCAGTCAACGGACTGCTTTGCTAAGCCTCATAGCAGTATGTTATTATGTCCATTGATTGACAAGAAGATATTGTGAACTGATTGCCTAGTATTTGACCATAGTCCATTATTGCCAAATATTCCATGAAGTCAGGAATGTCTGACTGTATAGGTGGCAGTTCCCCATTTAAAATTGTTTATAAGGGTGTCCTTTCCTAGTAAGGTTGGGGTGAGGACTGCTTGTCCCCTGGCCTTGCAGCAGTCAGAGACAATCCAGGAGCCCAGCAAAATTTGTTGGAGAAGCCTCAGAATAAACACTGTGAAGCATTCATTTATGAATAACAAACCATCTCCTTTTATTTCGTATTCAGGTTTTTTGGTATCCCTAGATGACTTTTACATACTTGGCAATGGCTTGATCATGTTGCAGACCACAAACAGCGTATACAACCATTCTCTTCTCAAGCAAGTGGTACCTGAGAGTCTCTTTGCATGGCAGAGAGTCCGCATTGCTAACATGATGGCCCACTGCGGAAAGTCCTGGGCACAAGCCTTCGAAAGGGAAAATTCTGGTTGGTATATTTGAAGTGAATCTCTTTGTGTACAATTCTCTCAATCCTCTTGTCCCAAAAGTTAAAAGTTTAACTGTCTCCTCACTGACTTTAGGTACTTATAACAACCAGTACATGATACTGAATACAAACAGGGTCAAACTGCAAGAGAGTCTTGGTGAAGGAACCCTCTATGTCGTTGAACAGATCCCAAAACTTGTGGAATATTCTGATCAGACAAGTGTTCTCCGTAAAGGTAAAAGCTTCAATAGGAGTTCTGGAGTTTGGGTTTGGGTTGTTTTTTTAAAAAAGTCTCTGCTGAAAGTTATCACTTTTGCTTAACTAGGGAGAATTAGAAAATAGTCTAGGATAAATTTGTAACACACCAGTAATTCCAGATTTGTATTTGTGCAAAAAGGGTGTGTGTGTAGTAGTGTAATGTTTGCAGGTGACTCCAGCACACAGCAGCATAAATGATAATAGATGGTGCTCAGAAGACTTCCACTGTTTTTGGGTAAATGCTGAGATTCTTTGGTATGTCAGCCTCTCCAAGTGAAATTTGCTTTTACAACTGTTACATTCCTTCCAATGCAAGTTCTGTCCCACTCATTTATTTCCTTGTGAGTGACAGCAAGCTCTAGAAAGAGGGTTGTGTTTCTTGCAGTTCAGCTTTCAAATTCAAAACTTTGGGAACTTTCAAGCAGTGTCCAAAACCTCTTCTCCAATGCTCCTTACCCTTTCGTGTCTGCTTTTACAGGATACTGGCCTTCTTACAACGTCCCTTTTCATGAAAATATCTACAATCTGAGCGGATATACAGAGTATGTTAAAAAATACGGCCTAGACTTCTCTTATGAGATGGCTCCCAGAGCAAAAATCTTCCGACGGGACCAAGGAAAAGTGACCGACATGGAGACCATGAAGCACATAATGAGATACAACAGTATGACATTTTTAATTATCCTTTAACATATGGCCAGGGAACCTTTTTTCTGCCTAAGATGACATTTCCTCTGGTGTAATTATTGAGGTCCAAATGCCAGCAGTGGGGCAGGGCAGAAGCTGATGGTGGATGGGGCCATCCCAATTTTTTATCTCTCTTTCTGCCATAGCCTGCTGTCTGTCCTTGCCACCCATTTCTTTCCTCTTCCTTGCCATCCAGGGAGGGATCACTCTTGTCAGAGGTGTGATATGATCACTTGCAGAGGGCTTCTCAATCTAGGCTGATGGCACAGGTTGTCCACCCCTATTTTACAGTCATTTCCCCTCCCATCTCCACAACATGAAAAGGCTCATTGCAAGGAATTAGCACTGCCATCATCTGTGTGCTTGCTAGCCTTTTCAGGCAACTCAGAAGAAATCATAAGAGTTTTCCCTTGCTGTTTTGGTTTCTGAACCAAACTGGGACAAGGAAAGAAAGTTGTTGAACTTTAACTACCTGGATACAGTTTTCAAAACCCATTGAGATTTTGAGGTGGGAGCCCAAATCTAACAACATATTAGTCCTCCCCCTAAAAAAATACAAAAAACTTCTCAGATCTTTGGGTTTAGTCCCTTACATTTCTGTTTATTCAGCATCCATCGTGATTTGCTTGCAGAAAGTTAATGCAGAGGTTAGATTATACCTAGAATCATAGAATAGAATCATAGAATCATAGAGTTGGAATAGACCACAAGGGCCATCGAGTCCAACCCCCTGCCAAGCAGGAAACACCATCAGAGCACTCCTGACATATGGTTGTCAAGCCTCTGCTATTGAGACCTATTGAGTCTGATTTGTTTGAGGGTGTTTACATGTCTTCTCATTAAACACTTTTTCATTCCACAGTTTTCAAAGCATTTCTATGTCACTTTCCAAAACTTTAAAAAGCCTGTGGTGTTGTTGTTTTTAAGCAGATTTTTTGCTAGGGTGATAAAGTGCTTTTCGTCCACTTTAAATGTGCAGACTTGAAGTTTTGGTATGCAATCAAATCCCATTCCCACAAAATACAGAGTCTGGAGAGCTTCATTAATGTGTGACCCCAAAATTTTGGATCCCCCTCCAAACTGATGCCAAGTCTGGCAGTCCCACAGTGTTGTCAAAATACCTCCCAGTGTGAATGAGACTCAAGTTGAACTGCGGTTAAAATCCTGTCTGTAAATACCTAACTCTGTGAGCAGTCAGGGCCATTTGCATTCTGCGCTGTAACCCCTGAGGCATTTGACATCTAGCACAGAATGGCTGAAGCATTTGTTTTCAATGCAAGGGTATGAGTCACCATTGCCTTTGCTCTCCCTTTAGCCCTGTGATCAGCCCAGGCTTAGCCATGAACCTCACAGAGTGATCTTGGGCCTCTCTCTCTCTCTCTCTCACCTACCTTATAGAAGTGCTGTGAGAATAAAAGCCGGAGAGGGCATAAACTCTTTGAGGTCAGGCCAGGCAGGAGGATGCGAATGTAAATTAACAAATACAGTGGTACCTCGGGTTACAGAAGCTCCATGTTACAGACGCTTCAGGTTACAGACTCCACTAACCCAGAAATAGTACATCGGGTTAAGAACTTTGCTTCAGGATGAGAACAGAAATTGCGCAGCGGGGGCAGGGGGAGGCCCCATTATCTAAAGTGGTACCTCAGGTTAAGAACAGTTTCATGTTAAGAATGGACCTCCCGAATGAATTAAGTTCTTAACCCGAGGTACCACTGTACAGAGAAATGAGGTGGGTCCTCATGGCTATGAACACTTACTTAAATCCTCATTCTCTGGTTCCTTTGTTTTCTAGACTACACAAAAGATCCCTATACAAGGCACAATCCCTGTAATACCATTTGCTGCAGAGGAGACCTGAACCCTGAGTCTCCAATGCCAGCTGGCTGCTATGACTCCAAGGTAAAGACTCCCAGAAGAACTGGCCTGTTCTAGATGCTTGTGGGGAGGGTGGATTCATTCATTCATCCATTCATTCATTCATTCTCTCTCTCACACATGCACACACTTCCTCCTCTGTTATGTCATTATATGCAGCCCAAAGGTAAGGACAGTGACAGATTTATATGTGGGCTGGGCGGCTGCAGGCCAGGGCCTCATAATGTAGGAGGGCCTCAACCTCTTGCCAAAAAAAGTTAGAAAACAGATACCTTGGCTCAGTTGCTTGGTAACATTCAACCTGTGACATATGAGTCTATGACTCTGTAACAGTTACACAAGTGCATATTTACTGTTTAGTAAAGTTTGTGGAGATAGGGACGCGGGTGGCGCTGTGGGTTAAAGCCTCAGCGCCTAGGACTTGCTGATCTCATGGTCGGCGGTTCGAATCCCCGCGGCGGGGTGCGCTCCCGTCATTCGGTCCCAGCGCCTGCCAACCTAGCAGTTCGAAAGCACCTTCGGGTGCAAGTAGATAAATAGGGACCGCTTACCAGCGGGAAGGTAAACAGCGTTCCGTGTGCTGCGCTGGCTCGCCAGATGCAGCTTGTCACGGTGGCCACGTGACCCGGAAGTGTCTGCGGACAGCGCTGGCTCCCGGCCTATAGAGTGAGATGAGCGCACAACCCTAGAGTCTGTCAAGACTGGCCCGTACGGGCAGGGGTACCTTTACCTTTAAAGTTTGTGGAGGCTTTAAATCTTCTCATAGAGTTATATGATAAATAAGTGGTGCTCTACTTTCACAGAGTAGTAGAGAAAGAAGAGAGTGAGGTTTTGTTTCTCATGATCAGATTCTATTAAGTTTTGGTCTCCCAAGGTCTCCTAGCCCAGGGCTGGAGTTGCTTTAATCCGGCCCTGGGTAAGAATGCAGCCTGCCCTTTCTTGCAGAAGGCACATTCGCGGTATTTTTAAAACTGCTCTTTTTGTGCAGAACTCTTCATGCACAAAATAGTTACCGGTATATTAAAAAATAAGATTTGCCCTTCTTTTCATTGTAAGCCGCCTTGAGACTTTGGAAAGGAGACAAATAAATTGAGATAAATAATTGGGAGCAACGGAAGCTGAGCAAAATGGAGAAGGAAAGAGGTTAGATAAGTTTTGGACCAGTAGTGTGCTGGTGTTGAGAGAGAGAGAGAGAGTAGCTCTGTGACTTTTGGGGTGTGTGATGATACTGCCCCCTTTCCTTTTACAATGAAGTATTCTCCTATGATCCTCCGCAGGTATCAGACCTCTCTATGGCTACGAACTTTGCAGCCTATGCCATTAATGGACCAACTGTGGAAGAGGACCTGCCTGTGTTCAGCTGGACGCGTTTCAACAAAACAAAGCACCAGGGCTTGCCAGATTCATATAACTTTGATTTTGTCATTATGAAGCCAGTGCTGTGAAATAAGCATCAGAAGCTTTAACATCTAGGGAGGGGGGAAATAAGTTTAAAAAAAAATTAATTTGCGCTTTTACTGCCATACCAAATAAACCGGCCTGTGCCCACCTGGGATTCTGCCTCATGGTTTCCAAACTAGCATTTAGTGAGATGGATGTAGGCCAAGGATGCCGTGCAATGACATCACCTGCCTGCAACAAAATGAAAGTGCAGCAGAAAATGGGGTGCAGACTACTCCAAAGCAAGTAACTTCGCTGCATTTGCAGCTGTTTACTTATCTCTACAATAGGGAAGATGGTTGCTATCTTGCGGGAAAGGCTTTCAGTTCTCAATATTACACATAACAGGTTCAAGTTCAGATTAGACTGGCCTGATCTGGTTCCCAGAATAGGTTTTACATGCCTGATTACTGTAGGACCCAGATGAAAGATTCAGGAGTGGCCCTGCTGTTAGGCAGAATGAGGTTGCCACCTCAAGCAGCAGGTGCTGGGGAGCAGGAGAGCAGCAGTGACGTACAGGAGAACATTGTCGTCTTGCCACCTGCCCAAACTAATAAGGCTCTGTTTACAAAACCTTAATTTAATCCAAGTTGCAAATTTCAGCTTTTCTTAATGCAGAATTTTGTATGAGTGTTTTGGGGCATTTAAAGCTACTGACCAAGGAAATGGCTGCAAGAATAATGCTCCTTCTCTTTCAGTGGAATACAAATCAAGCCTGTTTTCTGTATCTTCAACATAGTCATGCAACAAGCAAGAAAAGTTGTGTTGCAGCTGTCGAGAAAACATTGGGCATACACGGAACACACTGGACCTATTTGCTTCTCCACACCCCTAATACAGAGACAGCTGTGCGAGGAGAGGAATACCACCCACAGGTCAGCTTTCAGGATGCTGGATTTTGGCAACTTGTCCAGAGCATGACAATCACAAAGCTTCCCAGCCAATTTCACCCCTTTACGCAACCTAGCTTGAAAAAGGAGCTCACTACACAGTTGCTCTGAAAGCAAGCGTCTGATAGACACAGGGAGGTTGCTTGAATCTACCCTATGTTTTCTACACAGTTATGTACTTTCAGCTGTGCTGGGCTCCTGGCTTTGTATAGCATCTCTGAAAAGCTACACTTGGTTCCATGCCAGAACAATACTTACGGAGAAGCGGTAAAATATGGTTTCTGGTGTAATTAGAAGACTCCTTTGGGTACACAGCTGGATGTACCTGCCTCTCGCCTCTCTGATTTCGCTTTGTGTTCTTGACTATAGTAATCACTCCTCAACACAGAACAGGAATTATCTTTTTGACATTTGGCAGCTTAAATTGCACAGACGCGTTGTGACTGAGCACCTGCGGCTCTTGCGGAACGATTTTATTTCAACTAAGGCAAAGGAGAGAATATCTTCACACAAATTTCAAACATTTGAAACATTCAAACAGTCCTTCCTTCCAGTGAAGTTCCAGGTCTTCAAAATCCCCTGCAGGTTGGAACCTGAACAAAAAGACCAGCAAGCACCAGGTAGGACAGCAGAGTTTTCATGCTCTGCTTTGATTGGCTCTTGCATTCTCTATAGAAGCCACTAGGTGGCAGCAGAATCTCATGTGTGCTACAGTCTGAAGATACCCAAGCAAATTTATGGCAGTTCTAACACAAATCTCAAGACCTCTAGTCCTCCCGTGATATATAAACTAATAAATTAGTTTTAATTCAGTAAATTTGAATATTTTTCCTCTATTCAGATGGAAGAACAAAGTCTCTTTATTCCTTAAAACGGGTCTGGACTTTTTATTACCGTATTTTTCGCCCTATAAGACACACTTTTCCCCCTCCAAAAATGAAGGGGAAATGTGTGTGCGTCCTATGGGGCGAATGCAGGCTTTCGCTGAAGCCTGGAGAGTGAGGGGGGTCGGTGCGCACCGACCCCTCTCGCTCTCCAGGCTTCAGGAAGCTATCCGCTAGCCGTGGGAGACCCAGCTCTCCCAGGGCTAGCGGAGAGCTTGCCTGCACCCAGAAGCTTGTGGCGCGCTGAGGTCCGCACGCCCCAAGCTTCGGGATTAGCGCAGCGCACCTGGGGGGGGGGAGGGAATAATTTTCCCCCCTTTACTTCCCCCCAAAAAACTAGGTGTGTCCTATGGGCCGGTGCATCCTATGGGGCGAAAAATACGGTAGATAGATATAAATTTATTATTGTGCCTTAATTGTTACTTTCTACAGTGATGGTACAACAGACTAACCCAGCTACCCTTCTGGACATTATCACAGATGTAATGAGACTTCAATATTAGGTAAAATACATACCCTAGAAGTGGAACATATATCTGTTGTTGATATATACTGCAATCTTGCACAATATTAAATTGCAGCTTCCAACTATATTTCGATTAGAACTGCCTTAAGCATTTTCTCTCCCCTGCCCTCCTTTCCTGTCCCCCACTGCTTCAACCACCAGCTAGCAACCGATCATACTCAACTCCTATTGGTCTGTTTTGGGATCCTCCGCCATTGGGGTTTTGTTTGTTTTGTGTTTCTGCAAACATTGGGATTTCCCCCCCGCCCCCAGCCTCTTGCATGGAGGAAAAATGTGTTTTTGGCTAACTAAGGTTCACAGAGAATGAGGAAAGTATTGCTTTCAGAACTTCCTATTGCCAAGAGATTTATTTTGCACATTAGGCCCATCTTCTTTAAGTCATCTATGGCGTCTTTGGCATACATTCAGACCAGGAGGGCTTGAACTCCACCCAGACACTGCCCCCATGGGAGGAACTGCTGTTGGAGTGATGGCTGCTCTTCCAGACATCACAGCTGCATTTAACACAGCCTGTCTTGTCTGCCTGCCTGGCATCCCCCTTTCCTTTCTATTTGTCTCACTTTGCTTCTTCCTCTCCTACACCTCTTCAAGTATGGTCTATGTAGGGTCTTTGTTTTTCCCTTATAAAAGAGGAGGAAACATGAAGCCAACACAAAACCTAGTAAAATAAAGACACTTGTGCATAAAGCTTGTCACATTCCTCACCTAGCTCAGCACTTGTCTACACTGTAGTAGGTGGAAGCTCTCCAAGGTTTCAGACCCAGGTCTCTCCTGGGATTGAAGCTACAACCTTTTACAGGCAAATGAGTATCTAGTGACCCTTAAGGGCAAAGTAGCCCATAGTGTAAATTGTCAAAGAGGCCTCGTTTATCTAAGCATCAGACAAGAAGCCAGCAAGTTGACATTCAGAATGGCTTATTGCAAATGATTTGAAGTCCTCTGTCATTCGTTAGGCAGGCAAGTTGCTAAACCTGGTTGACTTTTCAGCCTTTGAACCTCTCAAATGTTAGGTTGGGTTTTCCTTCACTACATTGGCAGCACATGCAAGGTAGACATCACAGGGAATATCTGTTTCATTTGTATCTGACTTTCACTCCAATGTGCTGTAGGTGGTTCTTTCTCCTTGTTGCATACCCTCACAACACCCCTGTGAGGTAGGTTAGACTGAGACAGGACCGCCAGCTCAAGTTACCTAGTTTGCTTCAACACAGCTTTCATCCTTTAAGCCCATGTGCTACTTAATGGGTCCCTGAAAAGGCTGCAGGATAGTGATGAGCTCACAACCCAATAATGGGACTCTGGGTTACATAATTTTCAAACACTTACTTATTCATTAATTGCATTTATATCCCACCATTTTCTACAAGGAGATCAAGGAAGAGTTCCTGCTTCTCCCTACTAGGTATTGCTAGCAAATTTGGCCCCAAGTGACTTAAATAGTTTACTGCATTTTATACCTTACAGGTGTCACTTAAAAGCAATACAATAAAACAACAACAAAATAGCAATAATAGGCAGCACCTACAAATTTATCCCCTAGTATAGGGGATCCAAAGACTACTATGATTGTCTTTTCTTCTGCTGTCTCACAAGCGATCGGTGTGTTCCTCAACAAATAAAGCAACAAGTAGGCGAAGCCAGGGGAAGGGAACCCCAGCCCAGAGGCCACCCTCCAGCCAATCAAGACTTGCTCACGCATCCTTTTTTCTTCACATTCTCTTTTCTTCTCCTGTTCTGCCCCTTGCTTGAGGGTTTTTGCCAGTATGGAATGTGTCTTTGAACTATGACAATACCTCTTGCTTGGCTGAATGCAATGGTGACTGGTGCTTATTGGCATTGGTAGGACAGAAGGCAGGGAGTCTAATAATAGGTGGCGCCAGAGCCAACTAATTCAGGTTTTGTCCTCTTCCTAATTCCTGCTGAGTTCTGCAAGAGTCAATACTGAGTTGAAAGAGAGCTATCTTCTCCTGGTCTGGGAGCAAGAAGGCAGGCAGATGGGGGCTGACCGAAGGCAGGCTGAGGTTGGTGGGGTAGGGCCCCATTTGCTGTAATGGACCAACATACACTGTCTGAATCTATATGCAGCTGGAGATGGGAGAAACCTCTAGCTTTTTCATAGACAGACTAGTCTATGCATACTGAAAGCCTGCCCTTCCCCCTGCCCAAAGAAATCCTGGCTGTACTCATGGAGTCCATTCTCGCCACTCTATTCTGCCTTGGTCAGACCCCACCTGGAGTCGTCTGCAGTTCTGGGTGCAACAATTTAAGGAGGACATTGACAAGCTGGAACGTGTGCAGAGGAGGGCAACAAATATGATCAAGGATATGTAAACCAGTCCTTCCAACAGTTGAGGGAGTTGGGTATATTCAGCCTAGAAAAGAGGGGACTGAGAGGGAGATTTGATAGCCATCTTCAAATGTCTAAAGGGCTGTCACGTGGAAGATGGAGCAAGCTTGTTTTCTTCTGCGCCGGAGACTGGGACCCGAAGCAATGACTTCATATTACAAGAAATTCCAACTAAACATCAAGAAGAACTTTCTCACGGTAAGAGCTGCTCAAGAGTGGAATGGTCTCCCTCAGAAGGTGGTTTGATGGCCATCTGTCATGGATCCTTTTGCTAAGATTCCTGCATTGCAGGGTGTTGGACTCAATAACCCTGGAAGTCCAGCTGTACAATTCTACAATTCTATTATTCATCCTACATGAACAATATCCTAAAAAACTGCCAAGCATTTATTTACAGCTAGACATTGCAGAGGACTGGTAAAGAGAGCTGTCTTTCAGGATACTTTGTCTAAACCCTGATGAGCTTGTAAGGAAACTCTAGTTTCCTGCAAGGCAGCTTGAAAAACGCAACACTTAACCCAGAATGATCTAGCTGAACTACGCCTGAAAGGATATCCATAATATCCATGTGAATCAAGTTCATTTTGTGGTAAACTTTTAAATGAGTTCATTTTCATGTTCATTTCTGCAAGAGGCCTGGGCTGTTTTCATTAAAAACCAAAACCAAAAGCTAAGTCAATTGGGAAAGTATAAAGACCACTAGGAAGCAAAATGCTGAGGTGATGTTCTAAGGCTTATTAGGCAGATATGGAGGCACTGTTTTTGACATCACATAAGTAACTGTTGCCAAGTAATCAGAAAAAAGCATTTCCTATATTTTTGCTGGAGAGTAGCATAACACAAGCAGCTTGCTAATCAGTATGGAGAATACTGAACTAGATGGGCCAATGGCCTGACTCGATGTAAGAGTCTTTCTTGTACAATCTTCTTCCCTGGAATCGACTTTGGTGAAGCCTCTTAGTTTGCGCAGAAGCTACATTTCAACACTGATTGGTTGGCCCTTGTGTCAGTTGTGGAAGACAAGATATTCCTCGCTGTTGCAGCGCATTTTTTTAAGTGAAGAAACAACACACCAGCTTGTTAAAATATTTAAAAGTAAAGAACCAAATAGATGTTTGAACAGGTAAGTAAATATTTTTAAATAGGGAGGTATTCAAAACGAAGTTTAACAACAAATTTTTGTGTCTGCCTCCCTACATTTTTATTTGCGTCATTGCTAGATATAACATTTCGCATTTGACTATTAAAAATAAATTCAATATATTTAGCTTATTAGTACACACATAATTTTACCAAAGAACCCAGTGCAATATGTGCCCTTAAAGAAAACATTCAAGTTAAGAGAAAAAAAAGGAGTGGGGAGCCTTGAACACAGGTCAAGTTGCTGTCATAGAAAGGCTTGTGGTCAGCTTTTTAAAAACAATGCAGTACTGCCTTGATGAGAACCAACCACACAAGACGCCGAAGGTTAAAAACCCAGTAGTTTATTTCAAAGTATAAATCTCAGGCTTGTCAGACAAAACCCCACTACAATTAACACGTATACAGACACTAATCTACAATGCATACAAAAGTCTGGGAGAACTTGCCATTGCCCTGCTCAAAATGGACTTTTTGGTACGTCCTACATTATCTTTATTTACACGTTCTTCTGTAGAAAGAAAAAGGGAAAAAAGAGTGCAAGTTTCTATAAGGAGTTTTGTAGGAGTTTATTTGCCAGTGGCTGATAAGTTACTGAAGTCCAACAAGTACCTCAAGGTTTTGGCTGTCCAATTACTTTATTTACAGATAAAACTTCAACTTAGACAGCACTTAAAATATATTTTCAAACAGGGAAAGCCAGCACAATAATGTGAGAAACCATGTGTTATAAAATATTGATTAAATTCAATGATAAAATATCACATTTTAATTTGTACTCATGTCTACATTCACCTCTCGACATAAAACTGGTTCCAAGAAGGATGGGATCACTTGTTTTTGGCAATACTAAAAGACCTTCCTTTGTGTTAACAAAACACTGTGTGCCAAAACACACTAAAAGAAAGCAGTATTTTCAATATATCAAGCTTTCGGTATTTTTTGCTGTTGACTGAATAAAAATACTAAAGGGGTTCCATCTAGACTTTTGTGTACTGCAATTGTAGCTCTCCTACTTAATACTGTAATGTGGCAATTTGAGGGAACAAGGTACTTATAGGCTGACCTTACATGTAACATGGGTTCTCAGATCACAGACCACTTAGTATTCAACAGAGCTTTAAATGAAAAGGTGAACCAATGTGATTTATTGCAGCACAACTTGCATCATCCCAGACAGCAATAGCTTTGCCACTATTTCTCATGAGTCCCTTTTGTGCAAAATGTACCTTAAGTAGCACTGTAATCATGCTGAAAATGCAGCCCAGAACTAATCTTAGTGCTTCAGCAATCCCTGAAGAACAAACAACTTCTTAAGTTCAGAGAACACTTGCCAACCAGCTTGGACATTCCACCTTTCCCCATTAAGTGGCAAGTACAGAAAAATGTATGCTGTACCCCCCACCCCTTCCAAGTCTCCAGTCTCCTAGCCACTGAGGTCTTCCTGAAAAGGCCTTCTAGCTGTAATCTGAGAAATAAAATGGGAGAGACAAACAAACAAGTTAACCTAAGGGACTCACAATAATTTAGCAGCAATAGTCACACCACTTTCTAATTTTAAACAGTGAAAACATTTCACTTGTCCTTTCCTAAGACATGGAACTTGTTACTAACTAGAACATGGATTCTCAAGTATTAAAGGCAAAGAAGAGAAAACAGCAGAAATACAGATGGAGACATACTTCAGTATCACATTTAAATAGAAGTAGAAAACAGAATTTTCAAGCATGGGCCAGCCATATACTGCAGTAAGGAAAACACGGTGGGTGGGTGGGTGGGGAGAAATACTGACACAAGAAAGTGTGGATGCTGAAATCCCTCCATGCCCCCTTTCTTTTCTTTAAGAACTTTAGGTTTGCCTAATCCATAACACACACAGAGAGTGCTGAGCTGAACAGTTTCTCAATAAGCACAGAGTAGTAAAATTCCAATGACTCTGCAGCTTGGTATTTGTGCAATCCAGTTTAGCTTATAATACTTTGATAAAAAGGAAATATTATTTTCCAATGTCTGTTATAAAGATTTGTAAACTCTCATTTCTTTGGGGCAAAAGCAAAAAAGAAATACAGCACCAGATACAAGGCCAAAAAGTCACTAATTATGAGCACTTGTTGACAACTAACTCAATTAAAGCCTGTTTCTGCCTTTCCCTTTGTGGTGCCCTACATAATTTGCCTGACCAGATCAATTCTGCTTGAGAAAGTGCAAGTCCCACCCCCACAATAGCCTCACTGCCATTTTCTAGTCACAGATCTAAAGACAAAGTCCCAAGGTACGCATCTTGGATCCAACTTAACAGAAGCTGTAATTAGTACACCTTATAGCTGATTGATAATGGAATAGTATCTAGTCCTAGAGAAAGAAGAGTAAGCAACAGTAAAATCTTAGCTAATTATCTGCTGTATCGCCATAACAAGGGGCAAGAGGTACAAAGTATGCAGATGTACTTTTCTCAGACTAGGGTTCACATTTTTCTCCTGCATATATTTAGGGAATGTTCATCCGTATTTTTTTTCCTTTCCGGTGGCAAGGTCTTGAATAGAATGTGACCCAGCTTCCTCCAGTGCTACAAGCCCTACAAAAACACATTTCTCTTCAAGTTGCACCCAGGCTTGACTTTATTGCCCAAGTTCAATAAAAAAAGTGAAGAGGAACTTCTCCAGCGCTAAGGACCCAGTGCAGATAATAAACTACATCTTTGGCTACACATAACTGATATTGTTGAGTCAACAGCAGAGTGGTAAGCCCCTTCCCCAATAAAACTATTTTTGTAATGAAATTCTCCCTTGGTTTTTGGTATACTTCCAATGGGAGTTGATTCTGCCCCTCCCCCCATTATACTTATTAAAATTAGAGGTGGCCCTAAAAAAATATCATTTTTGTAGGTGATTGCATCACTGTTAGGCAAGTGAGACAAAGTGTTGAAATGCCAGCTGTTTGCTTTGGGGGTGAAGTATTCCATATACATACGATCTAGCTCTAAGACAGTTCTTGACTTTAGTCATTAGATAGATAAGCCAGAAATTTACAAGAAAAGCTTTCATGTCACTCAAAACGAATATAACTCAGAGGACATAAGGCATACCATATAAAAAATGTAAGGAAATTTACTTTGTGTTCTCACAATGAGAGAATTAAGACCCTGTCTTTCCAAAACATACAGCATCAACAAACTTTAGACCATCCTCTTACAAACCTTAAATTTCAGTTTCAACTCTTATCAGATTTGAAGTAACAAGTTAAGGAAACTGCTGGACCCTGGTCAGTCAATGAAGTGGGAACAGCTGCCACCCACTTCCCAACTGGAGCTGATACACCAGGAAGACAATAGATGTGCTGCTTTTCTCTGGAAGACGGCATAGTGAAACTTTCTTCAACATCTGTCAGGTGTGGTTCAAGTGTTCGTGGTGGGCACTAACTCTTGTTGGGATGTAAGGACGTGGAGGTACTGTATATTGTGTTGGCTCAGCCATTGAAAGAATGAAAGGTTCTATTAGAAGATTGAGTTGATTGCTTTCTTTTAAGTGACCTTATCAGATTGGCTTAGCATAGCAAAAAGTGTTCATGTATGTGAGGAGAAGGAAGTGTCTTAGGCTGCCCACATCTCCTTTGGCCAATCCACAGGGCACACCAACTTCCCAAGGAGAATTGTCAAATACTGTCTGCATGACCCAACTTCACAGACCAGTCAGAACTAGCAGGTTAAATGATGGCCTGAATGATCTCAAGTGGGAATTAACTCAGGAAGGTTTTGTGTGCTACACTTTTGGGGAATCTATGAGGGAAGGTTATGACACTCTGGGGCTAAAAAGAAAGAGCAAAAGAAGTAAGCGGGCACATGATATGTGACTACATTTACTGTTGAAATTATTGTTTTAAGGCACAAATAAATCTTTTTTAAAAAAGAGGACATAGAGATGAGGATCAGGAAACTATTGGAAATGCAATTGAAGTTTTCTATAAATCTGTTTTCAGACTGGCTTCAGAATGTTCCCTGGTTTTGGTGGCAAGTATTCTACAAACCAGCCAGAGGGCTGCTTAATCCCTCACCCCTCAAATAAGCAGACACACCTACATTTCTCAAGCACTGGCCACATACAAGGTCTTTTGCCTTCTAGAAAGCAGGCTGTGCCTTGTAAGACTAGTCACTGTTCCAAAACAAAAGAAAGCAAGACCCTGAATCCTGACTTCCCTCCTAACCTGACCCTTGAACACTCCTTCTGCCCTTTGGCCTGTGCATGACACTCCTCTTCAGCCTAGGTCAGCTGGAAGCCAAATTCCCAGGGGTCACTGTCTTACGGCTTAACAGGCAGAGCAGCTTGTGAGGGAAGCAGAGAGGACTTCGTACTTCAAGAGCTTATCAGAAATACAGGCTCTCCCACTGCAGGCTAGGAATTTATTTTGGTTTTGGTTATGGAGTTTGTGTAGTGTATGACATTGCTGTCCAAAACAATCCTGCAGGGGGGATTTCTTACAGTGAGTTTCATGCATGAGAATAAACCCAAAACCAGAGTAAGCCACAATTGTGGGGCAAGAAGAGAAGCCTTCAGAGTCTGAAGTTTAACTGCTTTGAGAAGCAATCACATCTGTTGACTGGGGATCACAGAAGGGTCCAAAGCGTCCGTAGATGTCTTTAGCACGAACTGCAAAATAGTATTTGCTTCCAGACACAAACTGTGTAAGTGTGCATGCCATAGGCAGGGGGAGGGCCTTTACTTCCCCAATCTTTTTCCACTGAGAGGGCACAGTAGCACTGGGGTCCTCGTGGTATGCATACAGATGGTAGCTATCCACACTGGCACAGCTCCGGTCCACTTCCAAAACACTCCAGGATAGAACTATGCCATTCTGACTTTCTACACGTGCGAGCTTCAGGTGTGGCTTCTGAGGCAGAGAGGTGTTGGCAGCTTCAGGAGGCAAGCGTGATGGCTGTGGGGCCTCTGGCAGTGGGGCTGGATGCACAGGCCGCAGTGGCTCCTGAGGAATAAGGAAGAGACGCAATGAGGATGGCAGAGGAGACTGTCTCATCCTGTTGTTAAAATGCATATATTACCATCCAAGTATTCCCAAGACCAATTCTCAGCAAACGCAAGATTACGTTTAAAACTAGCAAGTCTGAAATGACAATAAAACACTCATGCGCTTCAAGGTGGAGAAGTCAAAAGGAGTAAGGCTGAAACCTATTTAATATTGGCCTATTCTTCAAAGTGGGAGTAACTGACCCTTTACCCCCATCCAGCCCCTCTAAAAGCTTCATAATGGCTCCCAACTCCTCTAAAATTTATCATTCTAAAAAAATGCAAGAAAGTGCTGCAAATGATGTGTCCATTAAAGTAACCAAATTAGTCTGCTGCAGTGTGTGGTGTTACTTCAGAATGAAGAGCTGACAAATATGCAATGGGGACTAACGGTAGACACTGCATATTACACCTTGTGGGGAGTAAATGTATTGTGTGAAGAAACACTATTTTGTCCACCCTGAATCTCCCCACATGCAGCCGCACTAGATAACCTCATTTCTAGTATTAGAAGAGAGGGGAAAGTTTTTCTTGATTCATTTTCTCCACACTTATACAATTCACTCATCTATTCATTTTCTCCACACATACAAAAGGGTGTAATTTTTCTACCCTTTTATTATTTCCCTCCTTACTTACTCCCCCCCCTAAATGACATAGCCTCCAAAGTTGTAATCTTTCATTAGGGACTTGCTCCAGCTACCGATTATTATAGTTGCCCCTTTCTGTGCTACTTCAAGCTTTACAATATCCTTTTTAGGATACGTGAACCAGAAATGTACACAGTATTCCTAGTGTGTGGTTTCACGATAATGGTGTATACATACTTTCTTTTTAATTTTGTTTTTTATTGTTTTATCATAGTTTCCCACCTAGAACTCTTTTGAGAAAGGTAGGATAATTTTAAATGAATGAATGAATGAATGAATGACTGTAAGACCATTTAAAGTAGTGACTGTCCAGCTATGCAAGTCCCCAATTGCTAACAGATACTGCTAAAAAACAATAGCATATATGACATGGGAGATAAATTCTTCTCCAAACATTCATCTCAACAACTGGACACAGGTGCTTACTGAATGCACTTGAGCTGGCCGATGGTGAACTGTGAGTTGAGGTCCTCCAGATCCCAAGGTTAGCCCATTGTTTACAACATACGCAGTTGTCTGAGGCACTCGTACTGTCACACCTAGAGCGATACACAAAGGCACAATATGTTAAAGAAGTTAAAAATATAATGATACATTGTGATGAGTTTAGGTCATTTATTTGCTTAACACTGCAAACTATCACAAAAAATATTTGGCAGACACAAAAAGATAGTATTAAAGCTTGCCATAACTATACTTTCTTTTACATGTACATGTTATAAAAACACAGTCAGATATCATATACACCCTAAAGTCCAATCTCAAAATGCTTTGAATATGTATGTTTGCACCTTGCTTTCTGGGCAAGCTTTCTGCTGCAATATATTTGTCTAATTCTAACAAAATTGGCATCTCCATTCGAACCAAGGTACAGCTGCACATCTGCTAATATATAAACCGTTCTCTGACAGATGAGCTTACCAGAGTTTTGTGGGTTGACCTGCCTTAAACTAGGGCTCTGCATGACTGTGGTTCGCACAGGATTCTGTCCTGATGGTGTAGGAAGAGTAGTATAGACTACTTGATGGTTAGCAGGGGCTCTTGGTATTGGGAGCCTGGCAGGAGTCTGAGTCACTGGACGATGGGTTACATTCACAGTTGTCTGGGCTAGAAGCAAAATTGTAATCAAAAGAGTATAAAATGTTCTCAGCCTAGAAAGCATATGCTGCACAAAACCAAAGCAAACAAATCAAGCAATTTCTCAGAGTTCATTGACACTTAAATTTTAGTAATGTGATTTACCGAATAAAGAAAAGATTAAAAAGATAGCTTTCAAAATTACTGAATGACTACAGTAAAAAATAATTTATAAAACCCAACTGGATTCTTCAGAACATGGATCAGTCTGGTGCATACACACAAATGTCTTTCTCCCCTATAATTTTCTGAACCTCAGTCTGTAAGTTCAGCATCCCTTTGGTGATTAATGGATGTAAGCTCTTCAGAGCTAAGCAGGCATTCTCATAGTAGTTCCCTCTAGGTCAACAATATTTTAATGCATTATCCCCTCTGGGCATCATTTAAGTGTAAAAAAATAACATTTTCTATAGCCGCCTGCAAATACTGCACCCAAGAGGCAATTCACTGTTCTGGAATCTCTCTCCTTCCATACTGAACTATTTCCTTTCCCTAGGCTATGCAGTCTTACCTGTGGGGAGAACATGTATGGTTGTCTGCGACAGGCCAGTTGTTGGCATGCCTGCTTGTTGGAGAGGGCTTGTCTGTACTGGCTGCAGAGGACGAGCTACAGACTGGGTTGACAGGCTCAATGCAGGTACAGATTGGTTCTGCTTCTTGCCACCTGCTTAGAAAAGAAAAAAAAATCAATGTGCAATTATAAACAGAAACAAGCAGCTGAAAAACTGCTGAAAAATTTGCTAAAGTGGCAGTCAATTGCAACACAGATTCTCCTTTCAGTTTTTACAATGAAATAAAAACATCCAATTAAAGGATCTTACCTGTACAGTTCACAGCTTCATTTTAAATGCTCAAATTGGGGCCAACAACCAAAATATTGTAACCTAACTGGGCTTTGAAGGGAAAGATATAATACCTACCCCACTATCTGTCTCCTGCTCCTCTAAGGATAGATTAACAAACAGACGGGGGTTGAAACTTATGGAGTTTTGTATTGCTCATACAAATGGACTGCATAACTTTCCTGCTGACGATGAGTTTACTTTTATCCCATCAAGGGGTCATAGTGTAGTATTGTATCTGTTCTCTAAATCTACACTCTGATGTTAACTTTTCTTTTATCGGCCCGAAAGCAAGATGAGCACTGCAACCCCATAGTTCCCTTTGACTGGACTTAACCATCCAGGGGTCCTGTACCTTTACTTATTGGAGTCCATACAGAAAGTGACCACTCCTCCTTGCGTCTGACTATATAATGTGACCCAGCAAATAAGCCTCGTAACTCAGATCAGAAGTTTCATAGCATTCTGAAAAGGATTAGACGATCCCCGCAATTTGAAGGGGTGGTCGCCAAATTCCTGGACTCAGACAAAATATTGCATTTGAGAGCAACCCTTACTAACTCACATTCTATTAACGTAGTAATAACAAAATTTGGATGACTTTGGATGATTTTATGATTTTACTATTTTAACTTATGCCAATAAAGGCTAGCAGTAGTAGTAGCTTCATTTTATAAGGTTTCATAATGTCTGTGAATGGCAGCAATGACCAGAGTTCAAGAATATTACACTAGTCAAGTATCTGTATGAAATTTCGACATCCTCAAGACATGGTGTCAACTGCCTTATTTAGAGTAATATAGGATGTAGCAAGATACGCTGGCAGCAAATTCCACATTTAATTAAACATAATTATGCCAGCCAATTTCAATGGGAGTAAATGTACATGACTGTAGGCTCATAGCTCCATTATGCACGTGTTTAAGGGATTATTGGGTACTGCTCTACAAGGTCCTCTTGTTTATTTACATCTTCTAAACCAGGGATGGGAAACCTCCAGCCTGTAGGCCAAACATGACCTTCCAGGGGTTCAAATGTGGCCTGCAAAGCTGTTTTCTCCAAACCATGCCTGTCTCACACCTGAATCCACTATGTCTGCACATTTCATCAAATATAAAAACGGGAGAAAGTTAGTATCTTGTTTGATATTTTCCATTGTAAGTGAGGGTAGGAGGCACAAAGCCAGCTTGGACTAGAAGATAGAAGTATTGAAACATGTAAGAACAAATATCTAAACACTAAGTTCAGATGGTGGGAACAATCCTATACACTCATGGAAAACACATTCAAACAGAACGGTAGGATATCTGTCAAAACTTGAACATACTTTAATGATGTAAGGACACACTGCCCAAATATATTACTAATACCTACATTAGAATTGCTGCCTAGAAAACTGGATGGCATTTTAAGTTTAAAACTTCAATAGTGCCGTCTGATGGAATCTTTTGACTTGGCAAATATTTATCATCTTTGGCAGTTAACATTTACCAAAAAGCAGGAGATGTCCAGTTAGTCATGCATATCTTCTGGCTTACCTTGAGAAGAGCCATCATCTTCATCATCCAGTGTGAGATCAATTACTCCACTGCCTGTGGCCTTTCCACTCTGGAAGACAAATATTTGTTTGTTTGTTTGTCCACTCCCTTTCCAACAAAGTTTTAAAAGTAGCATGCAATAAAATCTAAAATCTTCACAAGAAAACATAAAACAAACTCAATAAATCCCAGCAAATGCCTTGACAAATCTAAAGGGTTTTATCTGACAGCTGAAACTATAGAAATAAGCAGACAATTTAAGGAAGTCCTTTACTTTTCCAAAGACATCACTAAGGTAGTTTGTTCTACATATACAGAGGGCCACATAGATCTAAAGCAGAGTAAAGGAAGAGAGATTATGTGGCAGCTTATGGGACTCCCAAGTTCTTTAAGAAGGAAGGAAACAAACTTCGTTTGTTTTTTTTAAATGTTTAAATATTATAGAATGTTAGCATATACTACAAAAGGAACATCCAAATGTTGGCCATAGGAGTTGTGGATGGAAAGGTGCTGCAGTCTCTTCCTGGAAGCATGTTAATGCACTGTGTTTGGGAGAGGTAGATTTGGTTCTATAATGTCCTGCAAGGGCACTTGTGTGCAACATTACAACTGATGACTGAGGGTTGCCAGGATGGAGTGGGAGTGGCTGCTGGTGTCTATTATCTCATTTCTACTGCCAGGCAAGATGCAAAAAAAATGTTGATTATTAAAATAAATTGTAAATACCAAATTTTACTAAAATAATATCAATAATAAATTATCTGAATATAAGCACCTTAGTTCTACAGGTAATCTGTAGATTGAGAGTGCTTTCAGACAGGCAAACTCAATTTGGTTCTATTTTATAGGATTTTTAAAAATGCATTTATTAGCATGGAAGTTCATCTGTGTTGGCCAGACTACTAAATCTTCATTCAAATAAACACTGTCTGCCCATTGTACAATTTTAATCCTTGAACTTTGCTGTTTCTCTAACTGCTATGGATAATGATTCAGATGCTATCTGAGGCTATTAAAATAAGTATAAAACACAGATAAAGGACAGAACTTTTGAAATATTCTATTTACTCTCCACTTAGTCAAATGCTTTTTCAGCATCTAAAATAAAGTGAGCTTTCTTTTATATTATGAATGTTTATTAGGTCCCATACTTTCCAACTACTAGTACTTACTAATACTACTAAGTATTAGTCTTATTGATGTTGGTTAACTGGAGACCTGGTTCAGCTCAATATGGTTCTTTCAAGGCAGACATTTAGCTTGGCCAATGACCAGTAACTGCTTCATTCTGTCTCACTTTGCCTATATATACAAGTATCAGGAAAAGAAAATATTAATGAAAAGGGTTGTAAATCTTTCATCTACGTGAGATAATGCAGACTAGTAACTTCATTTCTAGTACTTGTCCAATGGTATAGAAGGGCTGGATACTCAGCTCACATATCTTACTTGCTTTAACCCATATATACCCACCCACTCAACTTGATATGTGGAACTGGCAGTTTTATAACTGTCACATGATGTCTGTTCTGCACTTGTGAGGAACCAATCTTTCACTGGGGTAGAACAGACACACTTGAACTCCCTGCCTATTGGTATTAGGTAGGTACATTTGTTCTGCTACTTCTGGTGCCCGATAAAAAAATTTGTTTATGGAAGCCTGCACAGACATGTTTTAATATTAGTACAAAGGTGGCTTCCGGTTCCGGTCTGAATAGATGCAGCTCCCATGACTGGGGAGATCGTTGGCGAAGGAAAAACAAGGATGTTTGAGGGTAATTATCCTTGCAAATTCCCCCTAGGGACAAGGGGGAATGGGCTTCACTTGCAGTTCGTCTTGGTACCTGGCTCTCGCTCTGGCATGGATTGCGGGAGGCAGGGAGGCGCTGAGTGCAAAAGCCTGCTGAAAACCCTCCGCCATTAAAAAACAGAGGTTCTCCTGTTAATTAGTTTAATTGGACTAAAGTACAGGCACATGCTAGAAAAGATGAGATCATAAACTGCAGAACATAAACAACTGCAAAGACTTTAAAGTTTGAATTTGAGATTTACTGAATCATTTGCAGTTCAACAAACCACTCTTCTTCCCAGGCTGAGAGGGAAAATGGTGAAAACGGGTTATTTATTGGGACAGTCATTTTTGCAGCTGTTGTTAAAGTTGCAAAACAACAAAGCACGGGACGGAGCAATGGATAATTTTTTGAAACAACAATGGAATATCAGCTTCGCCCATGGCAACAACTGGTAGAAAGAAAGACATAACATCTTACCGGGACAGAAAGAAACACTGCAGACAGAATAATCGCCACACACAGAAAGGACAAGGATATAGTTTGAGTTCCTCACTTGTAGTTTTAAAATGTTAAATTAAGATCTTTTCTGTTCTAAAGAAAATGCTTTTGCAGATTTTTTTTTATATCTCTGCATCCATAGTCTCCTTTTAATGCCTTTTTTTCATTTTAATGCTGTCCTTATATTTGTTGTTAATTTTTATAGGAGTTTTACAGTTTTACAGGAGTTAACTTTTTAACTTGCAGAGTCTCTTGTTCTTCCATATAAACACACATTTACCTCTTCTCATAATTTAGGGTACATATACAAGCAGTGACCATTTCACACAGGGGGGAACGTTCCTGACCCCCATGCATGTAGGTGGAGCACACATAAGGTTTATGTTCAATTGTGTTAGGGCTTTTCAAGCTTTAGTTAAAGATCTGTGTTCTTTCACAGATGAAGTCATTTTGGCATGTAAGTGGTAAATAAAATAAATATAATCTTGTATATCAACTACCTGTCACATACTGGTATAATTTTTTTAGTAACATTAATTTTCTGCTAGCATTTTGAAAAACAAAATCTGTATTTGCTAAAAATGTAACAACGTCCAAGTTGATTTACTGAATGAGGAAGAAACTGAAACCATATAAAGAAAAATAAAAACCAACCTACCTGTGCAGCTGCCTCAGGTGCTTTTTTGTTTGCTGAAATATCTGCTGGTGGCAGCGAGGGTAGTAGCAACCTGGATGTTTGACTCTCTGAAGGAGGCGAGAAACCACCACATTTCATTGGCTATTCAGCAATGTACTTTATAACACATATACTTAGTTTAACAGCAATCATTGTAAAACACTTAACTGTCAATCATATATGGTGAACTGAGTACTAAATATGGAACTCTGAAAGTTCAGATTTCTTTCAAAATCAACATGTTCCCCCGTACACCAGTTTTCTACCCTAGTGCAAGTGCAGTGGACATATAAAACTTACCAACTCTAGGTGCTGCTGCAGTGCTTGCTTCAGAAGGAGTTGTACTGCTGAAGGCTGACAGAGGTATCTTCATCTGTATGGAATTCCTATTGATGGGAGGAGTATACACCCCTGATGTGCTTACAGTAGCCAAAGTAGTCCTTGCGGCTTGTGCAACAGGGTGTGCTGTTGATACAGCCTGCACAGCTAGAGTTGTCCCTATAGAACACCCAACACCGGCCGAAGTGTTCCTCTGAATGTTAGAGCTGGGCACAGATGAGCTGCTTGGTTTTATTGAATTAGCCGATGACAGAGACAATGGAGTTTTGGTCAAGTTGCCAACATTAGATTGACTTTGTACAGGTATAAATTCCACGTTGCCAGATTGCTGGTTAGTAACCAAAGTACCAGTATGGCCTTGCAGGATCTGAGGCTGGGAGGACATTGCAACAGGTACATGCAGTATTACTGGCAAAGATTGCAATGAAACAGACATTGGCTGTGCGGTTCCACCAGCCACTTGACTCGTGCCGACTACTGTTGCTGTGTTGGCCGCAGGTAGAACAGAAGTTGACAAGGAGCCAGAAGTCAATGGTGCAGAGGTGACAGGAGTCTGTGGTTTGGGATGTCCACTGACAGCTGTCTGTGGAGTACTAAGAGGGGTAGCAGACACTACAAAATAGTAAAAAGATAATTGTTTTAAAAATCTATGCCAATTGAACTACTTCCATCAATACAGTAGAAAATATCAACTTGATATCTGAGGTCAAGATGGACTGAAGAAGCCTGTACAGGACTGGAAACAGGAATCATGATTATAGAGAACATTCTTTGGAACTCACTCTTTAAAACATGTTGTAATGGCGTGTGCTAATTAGAACCTTTTTCTGTGGTTTATTTCTATAGATCATGGCACCAGTAAAGTTGTCATAGTTTGATATAAAATATACCCTCCAATTAAGTATTTTAAACTTGGTACAAGGCCTTATCTTAAAATGTATCCTGGAAGGCACTCTAAATATCCTGACCTCTTAATACTTAATGTAAGGAACAGCACAGGAAGCTGGTATTATCAGCAAACTTAATTATCATCCCCTGTAGTTCTGCATAGATAATAGACTCTTCCCCTAAAAGTAATCTCAGAATTCAGGGAATATATAGATAACCAATTAGTCATTTCTCACTGGGGTCATGCCCTTTCAAATTTCAAAATGACCATGGTAAATAAAATAGAAGATAGAAACATGTAGGAAATAAACAATAAAACAAAGAAATAAAATTTTAATGACTATTAGTCATTCCCTTTCCATAAGGATACATTGACTAAAAATAGTACAATGGTTGGGTAGCTCACAGCTCAAAAGGGAACCCCTCTTTGCCGCTCAATGATCTCACGGAACAGCCCCATGCTTCACTGGATCATGGACCAAGAATAGGGTGAGAGTGACTCTGAAGCCTTGCTCGTACAGGTTACTGATGTGGAGAGCAAACCTCTCAAACAGAGAGAACCTAGCAAAAGATTCTAAACCTCTTGGGAGTATGTGTAGGACACAAGTGTTGAGTCAGACACATCTTGTTACATAAGACTGGTAGAGAAAGCTGGCAGCAAGAGTGACTTGAGATGCAAAATTTAACCTGACATGTTTATTTGTAATGTATGCCACTTGGAGAACATGAAGCAAGTTATGTGTGTTTCCTTCTTTTTTCTATACTATGCCACTATATGGCTAAATTAGAGATATAATTCAGATGGTAGTCTGAATTTTTTGAAGGAAAAAAGGTTTCCTATGAATGTTACTTCCTTCTGGCTGCTCTTGGCAACAAAGCCTGTTTGCAATGAGTGAGGCAGGTTTTGCAAACTGTGTGCAAATGGTGGAAACTGAGCAGTAAAAAAGTTTTAGCTCTAGAGAGCTTTGACTGATATGAGTTTCCCCCTTGATTGGCAACTTTTAGAAATTTTAAAAGATCTTATGACCAAAGGTTTACAGCTTTGAATTTTATTTGTATGGTTAAGGGTTTGAAGCCCTAAACCATTAAAATCTGTCCCTGAATAGTTGGCAGCAACATCTGTGAATCCCTAAATTTATGTAACACACCCCTTCCTTGCATGCAAAGCCTTGGTCTTTTGAGGATAATTGTCTCACATAAAAGTTTATGCTTAACAGAACAGAAATTTGTTTTGCAAATTCACAGGGTTCTTTGTGGAACCTTTGTGGAATCCCAATTTTCATTGTTTCTTTAAAGTTTGGGTGACTCTGTCCCTGTGGTTCCCTTGAAACATTATCGGCCAACAGCATTCCTTGGAAGCCACTGGAAACAGAGTAAGACTAGCATTCTATATATTACAACACAGAGGTGTATGTCAAATTTTTTCTTTGTCTGTTGCATCAGTACCTGCGTTGACTTAGATGTTTTATTGGTTTCAGAATATCTGAAGAAGTGTGCATGCGTTGGTCTCTAAAGGTGCTTCTAGACATTTTTTATATATATTTGGTTTCAGAATTGATATGGAAAATGTTCTTACGTAAACATCTATTGTAGTAGTTTGGATGAGTACTATTTAATTACACCTGAGGATGCTGACAAGAGCAGACAAGTTTCTAACAGAAATCTTAAGTTGCAACCCTTGTTTTCCTTGGCTTCTAATGGGCTAGTTGGCATACACTGAACCTCTTAGTCAGCATGAAGCTTAATGCATCCTTCTTGGAGGATGCCAGAGGAGAGATGTAAGGGGTACAACCCTGGATTTTCCAGTAGTTTTCAATACTACAGTATTCTTCTGGGTTGGAAATTGTGGTGTGTGTGCTGTGTTGTGGTGGTTCTGCTTCTTTTCTTGACAGAAGGTTATGGGAAGTGGTGCTAGAATAGTATTCTTCCTCAAATTTCTGTTTTTTCTTCTTTGCTTTGAAACATCTACATGAAACAACTGATAAAATTAATCTGAAGTATGGGGCTCTATGTCATCAGAATGCTTATGGCATGTAGTTCTTTCATTTATTTCAGATGAGATGGCGGCATCCCTAAACGCACTATTGATATCAGGACTGATTTATGAAAGGAGAGGCCAGGGGAGGGGACGAGAGAGAACACAGGAGAGCAGAAGTGTCCCGCACTAAGCAGAAAAACTGAGAGCAAACACTTTTCATTTCTGTGTTCATTACAGCTCTTGAATAATAAAAGGTGGTAGTAGTGAATAGATGTTGTTTCTATAACAAGACATCATATACTGTCACCACTGAGTTCAAAAAAGGAGAGCAACATCTGCTGCTGCTTTTGATACTCATAACTTTCTTCTGAAAGATTTATAATAAGGCACTTTTCTTAGATAAAGAAGGGGGGAGAGGTTAAATACATATCTGAGACGTGAGAAACATTCTACCTGTATTCACAGGGGACTGTAAAGTATTTGATGTGGTATCTCCTACATTTCTCTTGGATTCCAGCATTTGTCTCACTGTTCCGGCATTTCTGTGGAATAAAGATTCTTGTTAGCTGTACTTGTTAGCTGTTAGGTGAAGCAAAGAGCAGTACAGGGGAAAGCTATTTTTGAAATTTGAAGTAATTTATCTCTATCCATTTATTCAGCAGTATCTCACAATATCACTAGTTCCATTGTATATGTGTAGGAGTGTAATAAGCCACCCAGAGGGGCTGGGACAACTCAGTCAGATGGATGGGGTATAAATTATTATTATTATTATATTAAGCTGAATTCCTGAAAAATTGAGAACCAAAACTATTATTGTCTCTAATTTATACAGGTATGTTAATTTTTGATGACTGCATGAGAACTGACAATAACATTCATATTTTTAACAGTAGAAGAGAACAGGGCACAACTACCTAGTTCACATGTCATTATACACCATAGTGAAAAACAAACTATGGTTTAATGTAAACTAGCAGCATGTTCAGTGGTTCTTGCTCTGTCTCTGTGCTGTTGGCCTGTTATGAACCTCGACTTGTGGTTTGTCTCCCTCAAACAAACCACAGTAGTAAGCCAAGAACAGATCTAAAGATATGCTCATGGTTTATTTGGAAAGAAATTGAGCTTGGATTTGGATGTCATGAAAAGTCAGATGCTGGCTTATTTCCCAGCAGAGGTGCAGCAACAGGGAAGAAGTGGAACGACAACATGTGCACAGTGTGCACTAGCATGCAGATTGTTCACATTAAACCAAACTTTGTTTTTAATTACGGTTAAATATGATGTGTGAACTGGGCTAGTATATAAACAGGAAAACCAGTCCATCAGCCAAGATATATTGTATTTTTATGCAAATGTGTCATTCCAAGTACATAAGGCAAGTTCCACAAGTCCACAATATGAGTGTAACAGCTATATTCTCAAAGCTTACCGATACGCCACGCTGTTGATATTGCTGTGTCGCCCACTGCTTTTCCTGGGGAATGGGGTGTGTTTTTGTAGATTCTAAAAAGTAACGCAAACCAAGGTGAGACCTATGTCTTCAAAGTCACAAAGCATACATGGTATACTTTTTTACTGTAAGGACTCCAAAAATATTAAGCTGCTTTGTGAGCACCTCGTTATACAGTTGACTCACAACTTGCATATATTTAACTTGCGCAATCGCAGCTTTATGTTATTGATGGCTGGCCAACTGAAATTACACAAATTAAACGCACACAAGGGCCATCCAAGATCTTATGAGAGCCTCCCAAGCATGTATGAGAGCTTCCCAGAGCATCCTTCACTGCCAAATCCAGAGTCCCACTACTCCCAGCCAGACAGGCTGAAAATATGGGTGGGAGGGATGCTTGGGGAGGCATAAAATGCCTGCTTTGCTGAGTAAGTGCCCTGGTTGGTGCAGTGAAGAGGCCTAAACTGGGGCAGTTTGCTGTCACATGGCAGAAAGTAGGAGAGTTCAGGATCTCACAGATCCTGTTCTGGCTCTGCCCCCTCAATACCCCATTTCAGGGGTTTCTGCTGGTGACACTTCTGCTTTCCCATTTGGAAGGCGGCATTAGAGATCTCATTGCCATCTCAAACCAAAACCCCTCCAGAGCAGATTGGGTGTTAAATAACAGAGCCATTCCAATCACAGACTATACTTTTGCATCTCATTAACATTCAACTTTTGCCATCCTGTTTTCTGCTTTATATACCTGTTAACTAAGATTTCACCATGCATTCTAGTGAAGTGGGCTTGAGTCCATAAAACTGAATAAATGTATTAATCTTTATTTCTCCTTCCTACTTCAAGAAGAAAACTGTGGTCTTTTAAGTTCTTCACTGTGAGCTATGGTCATTCAATAAAGTCCAATTTGATTACCACCAAGTCCAATCTGATTACCACCAAGGTAATTTTTTGATCTAAACAGTAATCAGAAAACATAATAAAAATATCTGTCCTTACTTCTTGTCTTTTCTTTGAATCCTCTCTGGCTGCTCCAAAACGTCTAGTTAATCTTGCAATTTTAGCCTTAAAAAAAGAGAAATATGACAGAGAATCAAATACAATCTCAAAAAGTATTTTAGTTTATCCCTCTCTACACCTCCATTCGCTTCTATAATTGCTGCCAAGAGCCAGACCCTTCTCTTCTGTGAGAGTGGTTAAGCTGTAAGGTAAAGGTAAGGGACCCCTGACCGTTAGGTCCAGTCATGACCGACTCTGGGGTTGCGGCGCTCATCTCGTTTTAGTGGCCGAGGG